AGGGTCTTGAGACGAGTCCACCTTCACCCTCTTAACCTATGTGTTATGCTGGCTGATACCGTGCTCCTGAGATCATAAGGACACCATTATGGCTGGAGGGAGACTTGATGTGGGGCCATCATGAGAGAGGTCAAATAATGGAGAATCTAAAAATCAGGCAGAAGACATTAGACTTTGTCTAGGACATATTGGTTTTTCATCGGTGTGGAAACATGGTAGACGTTTGTTTTAGAAAGATTAGTCAGCCATAGACAGAAAGGATTGAGAGACAAATAAGGATAAGAGTGACAACTATTAGATGGAAACTATTAGAAGGAGCTTTCTATAATCCAGGTGTGGGTGATAGGTGATTAGACCTGGAGTAGGATAGCAGGAGAAATGAAAAGGATGTAATGGTGATAAGGACTGAAACTGGTGCTGAATCAACGGGTGAGTCTATGCCAGGTGATTTCCCAAGAGCAGCTTCAGATCCAGGTGGTATTACCCCCATTTTACAGATGAGGATATGGAGGCTCCAAGAGGTTAGTTAATTTGGGCAATTAAGTATTGGAGCAGAGATTTGAACCTGTATCAACTTTTCTTGGCGTCTTCTCTTTAAGTTAAAATAGTACAGTCTGGTGATAAAGTAGAGTTGCTGATAAGGCTTGAATAATTCCTCCCATAATAAGAGACACCTAAAGTCATGGGGAGAAATCAACGTTCAGAGGGAGCAATAATATCAGAGAAAAGGCAGAGCCCAAATATTAAAAAACACTGGAGGTGGGGAGGAGGGATAGGATTGAAGAACTACCTATCAGGTACTATGCTTATCACCTGGGAGATGAAATAATCTGTACACCAAACCCCCATGACACACAGTTTACCTATTTAAAAAAATGTACACATGTACCCCTGAACCTTAAAGTTAAAAAAAAAAAAAGAATACAGAGAAGAATGGAGCAAGTGGAAGAGGCTTCCAGAAGAAAACAAGTTAGAGGTATAGGGAGGGAATCTAGGGCTCCTAAGGCCACAGCAGCTGACAAGGAGATAACAGTCAGTGACTCCAAGTGAAACTGCTGTTGGATTGTCAAGTGGAGAAGGAGACTGCATGCACGCAGCCCAATGTTCTTAGTAACCCTCAACAAACAAAGGCAGGTTCAGGTGTGTGAAGGGCAAGTAGTGTTGCAGGTGGGAGGATATGGGAATGCTGCCCGTGATGGGGTGGAGAACGGAAGCAAAGTCTGGTGTGAGGAGAAAGAGATCTGACACGTCCGATGCCTCACTCTGCACAAGTTGAGTCAAGCCAGCTGGGGTCAAGGGAGGTTACCGTGAGGCTGAATGGCTGGAGGGGAGGCAGAGAGGACTTCTGTAATCCAGTGGCAAGTGCCTGGCAAGAGGCCAGGAAGACGTGAAGGGACTCTAATGTGTGGTAGACAAAGTAAGGAGCTGAGGGAATGACTGTTCCATCAGCTAGATGTAGTGGTACAATGGACTGGCACGCATTCTAGGAGCCCCCCCACCCCCTTCAACAGAAGGTCTTATCCTCCCACCCTGGCTCACTTGCCAGGACCTGCTGAGGAGCTTACAACCCTACCCACTCTCATCCAGTCTCACAAGAGAGTTAAGCAAGCTTCTCACCTCAGCCTCCCAAGTGGCTGGGACTATAGGTGCATGCCACCACACTCAGCTAATTCTTAAATTTTTTGTAGAGACAAGGTCACACTATATTGTCCAGACTGGTCTCCCAACTTCTCAACTCAAACAGTCCTCCTATCTCAGCCTCCCAAAGTGCTGGGATTACAGGTGTGAGCCATTGCACCCATCTGTACATTGCTTTTTAAATAATAATTGTTGAATAGGTGGGTGGGTGGAGAATGATTTCTATTAAGGCATTTTTCTCTGCTTCTTGTTACTCTGATTTGTGCCTTAATTCGAGTTTATAAATGATTACTAATATTCAGGATATTAAGACAGTTACATGGGCCATTTGGGAGGGGAAGTATTTTGATAGCAGCACTTAAGTTGGATTTACAGTATTAATTCTTTAGAGAATTAATTTTGGTGTATACAAGCATTGATGGTTGTGCTTTAAAATTGGCAGCCTGTTGATGTTAGCAGGACCAGCCAAGTGGCAGGCACTGCAGTAGAGCAACACTGGGTTAGAAGTCAGATGGCCAAGCTCCCATGCCTGGCATACACAGCTCAGAGGGTCCTCGTGCAGAATGCTCCTTTCCAGCCTGAGCGATGCCTCCTTATCCTCCAGTTACTGCATAACTGGCCACATTCTCAGAACTGCCTGTCTCAACTATCCACTGAACTAGCTATGGTTCCCTCATCTACATTCTTATGGAACACTATGACTTTCCTTTGTAGCAAATAATTGTTGGAGTGATTATTTTACTATTGCCATCTTTGACTAAGCTATAGATTTCATAAGGACAGGGATTTGCCTCTTGGTTTCACTACTGTGTCCCCAGCACCTGACACAGTACCTGGCACAGACAGTATTCTGAATAAATACTTGGGGAGCCAATTAACTCTGGTAAAATCTTGAACATGGGATTCCATTTTTTCCCATCTGTTTAAAACCTGTGTATTAAAGCTTGTATTAAACCTTATCACTAAGGTGCTTTCTCTTTGAAAATCTATGGATTAACTCTTCACAATTTTTTATTATAAACGTTATCTGCATCAATGATAGGAAATTCAAACAATACAAAAGAATATAAAATGAAAGCATATTCAGTCCTTCACCAGAGATTACAAATATTGAAAGTTGCTTGTCTTTACAGAGAGAATAAAAACTGAACAAGCTGCAATAAGCCGGAGTCGAATGGGTTAATAATGGGGTGGGCATATTCACCATTTCTAACTCCCATGAAGCAGCTTTCATATTTCAATTTTAAAATGGTTAGTGTCTTAGTGAGGGCAGGAATCTGTGCTGCCAACAGGGGCCTGCTCCTTGGTCTGAATTCCCACTAAACCCTGCTCCATTGCTGATTTATAGCTATTCTATGTAGAGATTTTACTGTTGATGGGGGTCCTTTGAAAGTTATTTCCTTTCTGGAATTTGAGGATCACTTCAAGATATTGTTTAATAAAGTAAAAAGGCAGGCTAGACAATTCAAGGCTGTGTGATTTTAGGAATGATTTAATACATTTGGATGTGTGGAAAATAAGTTAATGTCTACCTAAAGATTTTTAGGTTCAGAAGCCCTTTCATACAGAGTGTTTAGTTTCTATGTTGGTGTTGCATGGTTGAGGGGAATTATTAAAGGAATGGAATGCAGCAAAGTAGAATTTCCTGAGTTTGGATGGAAATTTGTACAACCAATTCTACTTGCAGAAGGATAGAATTATATAAATATGCGGACATTATTCCCCATAACGTTTAAAAAATATTTTCAAGGAAAAAAGTGGATATTCATATATTTTTTCATTAATTTGACAGAGGGAAAATCTATCTTGGTTTATCTTCCAGTTTTCAATACCAAAAAGAATGTGAGAGAGGCCATTCTGTGCCCTGCTACAGTGACCGGGGCTTGATTGTGTGTGTGTGTGTGTGTGTGTGTGTGTGTGTGTGTGTATTTGGGTGGAAGAGAGTGTCCAGTTGGTGCCTAAGGGTTCTCAGGAATAGTTATGTTTATATGATTATTTTTTAAACATAAGTATACTAACACTTTGGATTTCTATATGTAAATTATGATAGTTTAACTACAAGCATCAGTGTGTTCTACATTAACTGAGGTTTGTGGGGAAGTGATTTTGTTCATGGGCCATAGGCTATAGTGGGTTTCATACAATCACCTTGAGTGGTAGTGTATTGGGGATGGGGGAAGGTAAGGGAGAAGCAGGGATGTGCTCATGCTGCCCTGTGACTCAGCCTTTGAATTGGCTTTGGGCCACGCATTGGAGACAGAGTGAGGTCCATCTTATAGGCTTCCCTGGGTATTGTTGGCAGGGTAGCAGCTGTTTTACTGACAGTTACTTAAGAAGGAAGCTCATGTCAGATGGAATCCCTGGGCTCTAAAACCTAATAGACTTAAATGTAAAGGAGCTTCCAATGAGTCTGGGTAGGAGTTTGCAAAGATGATAATTATCTGTTTAATATTAACCAGTGTAATACAAGTTAAGTACTTGAATAGTACTCCAAACCATGCATGCATCCACAGGCACATCCCAGTACTTAGATGACTGGATCACAGGGCTGGCTCCACCACTGCAAGCATCCAAAGAAGGGTGTTTTTTGAATACTTCAGTTACTATTCATCACCTCTTGCCTTCTAAAGAAGAGCCTAGATGAGATGAATAACACAGCAGAATTCCCTCTGCAACCTTGTCTCCACCTTCTCTTTCTTACATGTCACTGAAAGGATGGTTCACATCCACCCAAGTCTATTTCCAGGAGTTTTGTCCTCGTTCCTTCTTTCTTATGTATTAGGAATAACGCACTGGCAATTTAATGAGCATCTACAATTTGCCAGACATTTTGTGCACATCATCTCAAATACAACCTTGCAAGTAGATGTTATTGGGCTTTATTTGTATATGGACCTGGAAAACTAAGGCTCAGAGTCACAGAGCTTGCAATTGACAGAGCCGGGGTTTGAACAAAATTTTGTTGAGTTGCAAAATCCATGTTTTTTTCTGAAAATCACATAAACAGTAATTATAATAATATTTACTGAGCAGCCATTATATGTCAGGGAGTAATTCTTATTAAACTTTCAAGGTAGTTGTTAACTACCAAAGAAAAATTGAGGCTGGGAAACTGAAGATAATAAAATTTAAGTATCTTACTTGAGATTGTTTAGTAAATAGCAGACCCAAATTTTTAAACTATTTGATCTGGTTACAAAGGCTTTCACTGCTGGACACCACCTCCTACTAGATTTTTGTGCTCTAAACTGGGTAAAACCAAGATGAAGAGACAAGGGCAGTATGATTAAGAGGAGCTGAAGGACCATGTAGATTGCAGGTTAAAGGGAATCAAACTTTCTATTTCTTTCTTTCCTTTCTAGGTGTCAGCTTCCTCTGGTGCAACCAGCAAGTCTTCCAGTATGAATCCCACGGAAACCAAGGTATGAAGAAAACCGAGTGAATGCTAATTTAAGTTGATTGTGCTGCAAAGCAAAACAAATGTAGGTTAATTGTTGACAATAAGCTCTGTGTGCTAGGAAGTTTTAATTATGGAAGTAAACATTTTCTTCCTAATTGATGGGGGTCTTAGAAAACTCAGCTTTCCTTTCAATGCTTATGTCAAACATCAGCTCCATGGTTTTAGATTATCTATAAAAGTGGAGCCAGCTAGAGTTGTTTCGTTTTGTTTTGAGACAAGGTCTTGCTCTGTCACCCAGGCTGGAGTGATTACGCTCACTGCAGCCTCAACCTCCTGGACTCAAGTTATCCTTCCATCTTGGCCTCTTAAGTACCTGGGAAATACAGAGGCACACCACCATGTCCAGCTTATTATTTTGTTATTGTTGTTGTTTATTTGTAGAGACAGAGTCTCACTAAGTTGCCCAAGTTGGTCTCAAATTCCTGGGCTGAAGCGATCCTTCCACTTGGGCCACCCAAAGTGCTGGGATTATAGGAGTGAGCCACCATGCCTATGGCCAGTTTTGTTTTTGTTTTGATCCTAGATTTGATTGAGTTTTTTAGTTGACATTGTTTCTCTCCATTACTCTACATTGAAATGAGAACATAAATTATTAATTTCTTGCTAAAATGGTCTTATTATTCTGGTCATTTAAAAATAAATATAAAAATGAAAGATTATACTAAATAAACATAAAAACATACTGGTTAGTTCAGATGCCTTCCTTAGTTTTCTATTTTTTTCTGATATTTGAGTCTTGTGGGGTACCATTTTATTGACAAACCTTTCTTGAGCTCTATTTAGGATTTATTCTTAAAATTATTTTTTTGAATTTCAGAATAAAAAATTTTCTCTAATGGGATTGTTCACTTTGTTCTGAAGAGCTGGCTGAAGCTGACTTTTAAACCTTCTCCCTAAGTTACTGTATCTCAAGCTCTGTCTCTTGGGAATATTTCAGGGGAGGGAATTAAAGAGGGAGCGTTTTCAAAATTCTCTCAACTAATTTTTGTGTGCCAATTTTTTTTAATGCCTTTAAGAGCTACCCCAACTCCATTATTATTACATTGCCCTTGTTTAAAGTTACCAATCTACTTTTGTTTTCATATCACCTTGCTCTCCCTAGAGTTTCCTATCCCAGGTAGTGTGGCACTATAACTTAGTACTTTCAAAGGATCATATGGCCTCATCTTGAATCATCTTCAAAAAACATTACAAATATCTAGAAACACACTATCTACATCTAAGTTCTTATAAATGTCATTTAGCATTCATTTAAAATTGTAATCTAAAATTATTGTTTTTTTAAATTTAGTATTTCAATTTACATTGATTTCTAAATTGCTTTCAAAATATACATTATATAATCTCTAATCTCTGATTAATCTCTAATCAATAATTAATCTAATAGATTATGTCTATCTTAAAAAATTAAAAATCTTTTTTTTTTTTCTTGAGTCAGGGTCTCACTCTGTCACCCAGTCTGGAGTACAGCAGAATGATCATAGCTTGCTGCAACCTTGACCTCCTGGGTGCAAGTGATCCTCCCACCTCAGCCTCCTGAGTAGCTGGAACTGCAGGGGCACACCACTATGCCTGGCTAGTAGTTTTATTTTTCTGTAGAGACAGGGTCCTGCTATGTTGCCCAGGCTGACCTCAAACTCCTGGACTCAAGCAGTCCTTGCATCTTAGCCTCCCAAAGTGCTGGCATTACAGGCATGAGCCACTGTGTCCAGCCTAAAATTAAAAACCTTAATTAAAAAATATACCAGAAGCGTCTACAAAATAAAAATTCTCATTAAGGCCAGGCGCAGTGGCTCACACCTATAATCCCAGCATTTTGGGAGGTCAAGGCAGGAGGATCACTTGAGCCCAGGAGTTTGAGACCAGCCTGGGCAACATAGCGAGATCCTGTGTCTACAAAAAATTACTCAGGTGTGGTGGTGCACTTTTGTAGTCTCAGCTACTTGGGAGGCTGAGGCAGGAGGATGGCTTGAGCCCATGAGATCAAGGCTGCATTGAGCTGTGACTGTACCACTGTACTCCAGCCTGGGTGACAGAGCAAGACCCTGTCTCAAAAATAAACAAACAAACTCATTGCATTTAGAAAGCATGAAAACCAATGAGAGATAGGAAAGAGAGGCAGAAACACAGGATTTCCTTTTTATTCTTTCGGTTCTTTTTCATCCTGTTGCCTGATTCTAATCCCCTGTGCCTCAGCTCAAGGACCAATGTTTATTTCAAGCATGCCCTGTTATCTAGAACAAATGTCAGCAAACTCTTCACCCTTCTCTGAGAATTAATCATGAGAATTCTTGGCAGTCCTGTCAAACTGGACAAAAGTAGGAGGGAGAAGAGAGGGAGAGACAAAAATAAGATGCACATAATGAAGTGTCCCCAGTGGCTGACTAGGGACCGCTTTTGGCCTCAAGTCTCTTTCCCTGGAAATTGGTTCCACATCAGCTGTGATATTGGGCAATCTCTTTTTGCTTTGGTTCCTGTATCAGTACAGTTTTGAAGAAGGTGATAATAGTACCTATCTCAAAAGACTGTGTAAGGAAACATAATGTATATTGGACAATGCCTGTCCTATAGCAAGTGTCCAGATGGAGTTGTCTGTTGGCCAAGGCTGGAGAGGCAGTGCAGTGTGGTGACTGGAACACACAACCTCAGGTCCATCATGGATGTCTAACCTCAATTTCTCATCTCTGAAATGGGTATAACATACTTGTCTCATAGGATCATTATGAAGTTAAAGTGAGTTGACACATGAGAGGTGATTGATACACATTAGTCATTATGGTCATCATTATTATGTTCAGCACAACCACTACAAGAATAAATTTAGTCATTAGTGATATAAATGTACATTGCACTATAAGCTGCCAGTGTCTGTGAGCATACATTCTTAATTGTAGGGTAGAGTTCTCCCATGCAAAATCTTGATTGCCAAATTACAAATTGGAAGCTATTAATAGATTCAAACCACTCTACTACCAGCTGGCTTATTTTCCTTGTTAGTCATTTAATAAATTTTATTTGCATAAACTGAAAGGATAGTACCATAAATAGAAACTCATTAATGAGGATGTAGTATGAAAGGATCCAATTTAAAATTTTCTTTAAAAACACTTCAATCATAAGCTTTGTTTTCTTCCCAAAATAGTGTGTTGGCATAGCAAGGGGCCATTATTTGAGGAAAGTATGTCTCTTCATTGCTGAAGTAGAAGACATGATAAATTAAGAAGGTATTTGACTTTAGCCTCTTCAAATTAAAAATAAAACAACAACAACAAAAAAACAGAAGTTTGTGCTGATACCACAAAGCAGACAAAAAGGAAAGAAAAAGCAGGAAGCATTAGACCCTAGTTTGTAATCTCTGACTTTGAAAAGTCCATGAAATGTTTAATCAAGTTTTATTCCTGATTTTATATCTTGCCTATACTGAGAATGCATGCATGTACTTACGTTTTTTTTTGTTTTCGTTTTTGTTTTAGTTTTAGCACAAGTAATGTTTAGTTGGATAAAACTGTAAAATATCATGCTAAAGATGCTAAATTACAACCAGTTCTTTAGAAGCATTTCTAGAAACTTTAAATTAGATATCTGCATACAGGGCTATGCTGTGCTCAGTAAAAATCCATGCACTAAATAATTATAATATTTTTAGGATTATCTTGACAGAATGTCATAAAACTTTCAATTACATCTGTTACTACTTGATCATAAACCAAATTTTGGGTACATAGGAAAAAATTATATTCACGTAGTCTTTACATAGGGAAAGGAAAGCAATGAGAAATTAATTTTATTAATGGAAACCTTCGCTGAAAAAAACCTTCACTGAAAAAACGTAAACACAAACTGAAATATTTTCTCAGGACCTTAGAATGTAAGTGCTTACAACTTCTTGGAGTTATACACATATGCATCAGGTAGATGCAATAAAGGAGTAGAATGAATCTTGGTATAATCATTTTAACCCTTTTTATACATGTTACTTATTTGACTGACAGATAAAATAAAATTATACCTGGGGCTGTGCTCTTATATTAGGCCATTCCAATCAGCCAACAGATGGAAGGACCACATCCTCCTAACAAGAAAAAACATAAAAAACAGGTGATGTTGTTCATTATACTAGGGCATCACTATTTACTAATGGTTACATCACCCGCTCAGCATGTGCTAATAACTGCAATTCACAGTCTTCTGTTAACGCTCAAATCCCATCATGGACTTTCTGTAGGCTTAGCTGCTCATCAGCCACAGTCTGGCACTAAAAATAATTTTCACTGCTTTCTGTGCCCTCAATTCTGTCACCATCCCATTGTGTTACACTGTCAGCCAGAATCTGTGATGAGTATTTGACTGATAAAAACATCTTGTTAGTGGCATAGAAGCACAGTGCCCTTGGCTTTGTGGTGAGGGTTTTTATTTTCTGTTGCACATGTATTAGCTACAATGTAAATAGTAACAAATCTTTACATATCTTTGATATACATAGCAAGAAGACATCAACTGCTCCCTGAATAGTAAGAGCAGAATATTAACTAGTATGCTTAATTTTCTCTGAAGAGTTGCAATTTCAAGCAAAATGCAACAAACTTAACTGATAAAGTTTATAATTACATCAAAAAATCTCTTTTGAGTTTCTTCAGTTGAAGAAAACCTATGATAATCTTTGTAAAACTATGTCTGTCTTTCTTTTCATTCTTTCTTTTTTTCCTTTTCTCTCAATTTAGGCTGTAAAAACAGAACCCGAAAAGAAGTCGCAATCAACCAAGGTAAATGATTTTAAGTCTGCTAGTGAGTTATTTGGATTTTTTAAAATAATAATGAATAACTGACTTCCTATCTTGGAACTGCTGTGAATGGTAAAGGGGGTTGCTGGCTAATTTATTTAATTTTGGACTTCCCTTTTGAATGGCTGTGTACACGTAGAATATATAAAATATTCATAACCTTAAGTCCATATATTGTTAAAAAGAATGTTCAATCTTTTGTAGATGAAAACTGTATTTCAGAAGTATTTTGTTCAATTCTAGTTTTTTGTTTTATGTATAGGGATTGTTTTCAAAAAGAAAAAAGCAAGAGGAGCAAAGGAAAAAAGGCAAAGGGTAGTGAATATCCAATTCCAATTCCAATTCGGCATCAAGAACAATGCGTCTGCTGAACTCAGCATCTAGGTGACAGGGATGAGAATCTTTCCTAAGAAATGGGCTGTGTTTATTATGACAGTCTTATCTCAGTTGATGGAGCTAGTTATCAGTCAGGAGGATAGCTTCTGTTGGGGAGGGGAACCCCAGGATGTGTATGGCAGCACAAATGTTTCTCTTTAATAAGGTGCTGCATTTTATTTTGTCAAGCCCTTAAGCAAGTACTAAGACAAGACCACAAGGCTTCCTGTGGAAAAGCACAGATATTTGAGCCCAGGTACTTCAAGCACAGGTGAAGGAATGGAAAAAGATATAAAAGGTGAAAGGTGAGGCTTGTCTGATTTTGTGGAAGGCCTCCTGGTGGCCCCTGAGGATGGTAGAACATAGAGTACTCAAGAGTGAAGAATTCAGCATCTAAGTGGAAGTTGTCTTCTGTTCCACTTCAAATACTTTTGATTATCTACTGAATCTTGAGAAAATTGGGTTTCTGGTGATAAGATCTTCTTTACTAGCAAAGAAAAAATCTTTGTAAATCCTTTGAAAGGAGATTTTTAAAAATACGTTTTCTAGAATGGGATCACCTGTCAACAGACTCATTAGTCACATGGATCATGCGTTATCTGTGCAAATTGTGAAAAACAACCAGCAATTTAGAGCTATACATGTATTTCAAAATATTATTTGGATGAAATACTAAATTTTTCATTATTCTGATAATCACCATTTCCAGAGACTGCTGACAGGGTTACTGTTGACCTGAGAGCACATGTCTACTTCTGTGACCTTAAAGAATGGGCCTAAGTGGGTATTTCCTTAAAAAGGCAGAATGTTTTAGTTGGAATTTTGTTCTTGTTCTTGTTTAAAAGTATTAAAACATTGGATTCCAATGTAATCAAATTTAGTCTTTTGAAATTGACAGCTGTCTGTGGTTCATGAGAAAAAATCCCAAGAAGGAAAGCCGAAAGAACACACAGAGGTAAGTGATTATCATGAGGACTTACATTATAAGGCAACATCTTCTGGTGGGATGTAATTAACATTGTTCATCATTCAAAAGTAATCCCTACAGTGGAGAGTTGGATCTTAGTGTTTTCAGCTAAAATGGTGCCATCATGTGGCAATAGCAGTGTTTACAATTTATTTTATGATTCTTGCTGAATGTTGCTGAATTAAAACATTGGATTCCAATGTAATCAAGTTTAATCCTTTGAAATTGACAGCTATCTGTGGTTCATGAGAAAAAATCCCAAGAAGGAAAGCCGAAAGAACACACAGAGGTAAATGATTATCATGAAGACTTATATTATAAGGCAACATTTTCTGGTGGAATGTAATTAAAATCGTTCATCATTCAAAACTAATCCCTACAGTGGAGAGTTGGATATTAGTTTTTTCAGCTAAAATGGTGCCATCATGTGGCAATAGCAGTGTTTACAATTTATTTATGTATACAATTCTTGCTGAATTTTAGGGGAAGGATTTGCACTATTGCAAATTTTGTACCTAAAATGAAATTGTTGCACGTACATCACACTAATTCACATTCACATAATTTAGAACCACAGACAGCACAGCTGTTATGAACAATTTTTATTCTATAGAGAAAACTATCAATATTATGTTTAGGACTACCATCTTCTTAACAATGTCTTTATATGTGTGTGGGCACCTGTGTATGTACTTTCAGCCAAAAAGCCTACCCAAGCCGGCATCAGATACAGGAAGTAAGGATGCTCACAATAAAAAAGCAGTTTCCAGATCAGCTGAGCAGCAGCCGTCAGAGAAATCAACAGAACCAAAGGTAAATGAAGCAGATTGATAGGAAAACATTAACATCAACTAGGTAATAAGATACAGTTCCCCTATTCACACTGAGATGTGTAGTTAAATCTGTGGGGCTGTGCTAAATATATTTTGTACTGTAGTGATTTGGTATTATTATTTTGTTGGTTTTGCATATAGCCTTATAGAAACTTGGGTGTATGGATGGCCTTAGAAAGCTGAAATTGGTCTAGGGGATGTGCTCTTCATCCTTCTCCCACTGCCCAGCAATGACCAGCTGTGACTGTAGGCTCTGGTATCTCCCAGCCAGGCAGCTGTGGATTGAGGCTGTCTACTGGAACCCTCCCCTCCCTAACCCCAACACACCTGGGCTGGGGAACATATTTGCCCTGAATTTTATCTGGTTCTTTAAATGGAAGTCCTAAAGCATTTTTAGGGTCTTGTTGTAGAAGAGCTGAACTTACAGAGCCAAAAATCAGAAATTGCTTTCATAATTATGTGGTTAATAGCAGTCAGCTTTTAGAAGAATTAACATTTACAAGCAGTACTTTTCAAAAAAAATAAAATAAATAAAAATAAATACTTTTTCATTGAGAGCACTTAGAAGATAATAATGAGGCCTGCTTCACAATATATTTTATACCAGAGATCACAAATTTGTGATCTGCCAGTTAAATGCCATATATGTATTTTATTTGGCTTACAATGTTGTTAAAAATATTTTAATAAATTGCCATCAATTAAAATTAGAGTATTTCACGTAACATCCCAAGTTTGAACTTCTCTTGAAAAATCAGACTATCTAACCACAGTGGACTCACATGGCAGCAATTGACTAGAGCCATTACACCTGGTATGTGTACACCAGTACAGTTACCACAGTCCCTATCTAGCCTGACTGACCTACTCATGTTACCTGAACGTACAATTTAGGCTCGAGTCCACTTTTACCTGGTGCCTAGCACTGTACCACGTACAATAAAAGCAAGTAAACATTCCCTTATCATGGTGTCCATGAGGGTGAACTGGCATATGTTAGTGACATTTGAAACTGATGAACTTGATAATAGCCATGCAGACATACTTGTTCTGTCAACCTTTTATCCTCACTGTCTTAGACGAAACCACAAGATATGATTTCTGCTGGTGGAGAGAGTGTTGCTGGTGTGGCTGCAGCATCTGACAAGCTGGGTGACAAGGTGAGCGCATACAAGCAGACAGAAACGTGGGCCTCTGTGCTTCTCAAGTTTCTTTTATAAGAAACATATGCTCAGTTAACCTATCATTTGGCAAAACTGAGCACTGTTTATATGTAAAATTTTGTGAAGAGCGTGCATTTAAGGGATCTAGAGTGAACAATATACCAAAAATGATTTTTAAATTTGTATATTCAATAAATGCTTACTGAGCACGTGCCATATATAAGGTACTGATATCAATACCAAGGACATTGAAATGTGGGTTGGCTCAGACCCTGCCCTCTAAATGTATAGATATGAAATAAAGCAAATAAAATGTCCTTGAGCATTTGAATAGGCTTTTTCAGCTTTCAGTGTTGACACCAGCTATCTTGAAACTAGCGTATCACAACCATGACATCAACATGAATGGACATGAGAAGTTTTTAAGGAAAATATTTCAAGCCCTCTCAGGATCAAGTAGATGTATTGAGCTGGCTGATTGTGGACACACCTTCCTTAGATTTTTTTTTGAAGAGCTGCTTCAGATACCGGCCCAGAAATATAAGATGAGAAGTTATCTACCTTTTCTACCCATAGCAATATAGAATTAGTAATCAGTTTGGAGAGCATGTGATCAATTTGAAGCCACAAGTAAGCAACTGAAAGAACACTGAGAAGATGAAAATGAAAAACTTTAAAGTAGGATAAATTTATTTATACTTTGGCTTCTGTAAATGGGACTGGTATCCTGCTACAGGCCAAAAGGTAAAGAACGTCATAGAGTAAGTGATTTCTAGGGTAAAAGTATGGGACATCTCCCTGAAACATCATTTTTTTCCCCCTGGGATTTTGGGAGAAAAGGCACATTATTTTATCCAATTTAATACAGGTCCCCTATGGAGCAAAGGCGATATTTACAAAAACTTTTAAATGAAAATGTCAAACTTCAAATTGTTTCTTCTTGCAACAGATCACTTGTATACTACCTTGAGACTCACAGCCTCAACCCAGTAATACACATCACTCTCTTGTGCCATCGAGGAACACTTAGATGAAGTGGTTTGAAAGTGGATACATTTAAGACAGAGGATTAGATACGTTAAGATAGATTTTTAAATGTAATCAATGTTTTCAGTTTGAAAATGGATAGATTTAAGGCAGGGGATTAGGGCCACTAAAATATACATACATATGTATATGTTTTTTGAGATGGAGTGCTCTGTCGCCAGGCTGGAGTGCAGTGGCGTGATCTCAGCTCACTGAAATCTCTTCCTCCTGGGTTCAAGCAGTTCTCCTGCCTCAGCCTCCCAAGTAGCTGGGACCAAGTAGCTGGGACTACAGGCACATGTTACCACGCCCATCTAATTTTTGTATTTTTAGTAGAGATGGAATTTCACTATGTTGGCCAGGATGGTCTCTATCTCTTGACCTTATGATCTCCCCACCTCAGCCTCCCAAAGTGCTGGGATTACAGGTGTGAGCCATCGTGTCCAGCCATAGATTTTTAAATCAGAATTTTCAGTTTTGAACTAAATGTAAATTAGTGTTATAAGTGAAAACTGAGCAATAAAATTAGGAGAGGCTTATGTGGAATTCTGCTGTGCATTGACTTGTGCAAGAACTTGTGGCAAGTCATTTTACTTTATGTTGCTTCTGATTCGTCTCTTATTAAATAGGATTGAATGACTTCTTATTTTAGTACATAGCATGTTTAAAGTACCATGGTTGATTCTGCAGGATGCAGTAGCTAAAGGCCAGCCTGTCTAAGGGGAGGGGAAAAGACCTGGGGCTGTAATTCACGCAGATTAAGAAAGGCCCCCACAGGGCGTTATTTAGTGAGGAAAGAAGGGATTCTGTCTAATTCAGGGAATCCGCAAGGGCTTTGAGAGAGTAGATCAAAGTTCAGTTAGGTGTGGAAGGATAGCTGGGATTGCAGGCTTGCAAATGCATCAAGGTGTTGAAAAGTCTAAGATGTGTTCTAGGCACAAAGTACATTCCCGTGTGTGTGAGGCACAGAGGAGGTGAGTGGTGGGACTGTAAGACCAGAAAGACCGGTTGAGCACTGCTGTGGAGAATGCTGAGGTGAGTTTGAACACGTAGTGATTCAGCTGACAGCGGGTAGCCACTGAGAACCTGAGAGAACAGATGGAGTGATGTGACCAAATCAGAGCTAAAGAAGGATTAAGGGACAGCAGTAGGTGGATGGGATAGAGTAGAGATAGGAAGGTGGAAAACTGGTCAGGGGTCAGGTACTGTTTCAGTAGTCCTGGTGAGTCATATTTTAGCCTAAATTACAGCTGCCATAGAATAAGAAAGTGGGGAGTTATACAAGATGAATTGCAGAGCAGAAATCTTCAGGTTTTAGGAAATGATTGACTGAAGTGGGCAAAGACAAAGTAAAATCTAAGATAACTTGGTGCTTCTGAGTCTGATGGAACAAGGTTGGTAGCCACACAGTAAGGGAAAGGAGGCCCCCAGGCACTCATTGTCATGCTTGTGCAAGTGCAGAGTTGGCACCTGAGAATGAGTGCCTTTTTCAGTTGTGAGCTTGGCACCTTGCAGGGCAGTCTCTAAGTCTCCTGGGTACCATCGACAGGAGTACAGATGTCTGAGGAATTGAGGAAGAAAAGGGATGTTTCTGATTTTGGACAGGCTAAATTTAAGTGTTTGAAGTGTCCAAAGAAATATGTATAGAAAGACAATTAAAATATTATTTTCTAATTGAAAAGAATGAAGTAGGAGGAAGGGAGTGGAAGAGAAAAAGTGGATGGAATAGAAAGATAATGGGGATAGAGGGAGGGGAAGAGAGACATTGAGAAGGAGGAGGAAGGTGGGGGAGAGAACATGAGTGAATATGTCTATAAGTAGTGGCTGAATCATGGAAGTAGTTTCAATTATCCAGACTCAGGCTCAGACACTCGTGGCCTCCACAGTGTTCCTAGCATTGCAGTCATAATAAGCAGTCACTTATTTAGCACTTACAGTTATATAGCAAGTACTTACATAGTGCTGAGCATGAGCCAAACAGTGGTTTTCATACTTCATATAGATTCATTTATCTAATATCTCCAAGGAGACGTGACTTACTGAAGCCTCAAGCAGCCATGCCTGTCTCAACTGTCACGCAAACCTTGGCAGTCAGAGCCTGTGCTCTTCCGTGCTTTGTTGCCTGAATTTGGATTCCTTCAAATGGGACATGGTCCTCTTTTATCTTAAACCCAACAGCTTCACCCATTTAGTTTCTGGCCAGTCTCTGAAAGCATTTGATCCTGGCCCTAGAGGATGACTTTGGATGAGACCACCAGCACAGGGCAGAAATGTGCAGGGTGTATACAGTGGGGACCAAAGTAAAAGAGATTCCGGAGGTCATGGCGAACAAAGGACACAGATGCCACAGTAGGATCAGAATGGTGCTGAAGGACGGCAGCTGGGAGGGAGAGATGCTCCAAGGGTCAAACTTCAGAGATTACATCTGAATAAAAGCATGGAAACTGCAGAATGGAAAGTTATTTGCAATGTTTGATAGAGCAATGGAAGCAATGATGTGCATTGAACTCATTTTAAGGAAAGAGGGGGTGATGAGATGCCGAACTGAGGGATATAGAGGTCTTGATATGTGAGGGCAAAGACCCAGAGAGCAAGTGTTTCTGGCAGCCTACAGAAAGAATTCATGGATGCTACAAAGACTGGCTGTGGGTCCTGCAGAAAAACAGCAAAGAAAGAAACAGTCTTGGATTAAAATCTTTATTTTGTCCCTTACTGTGTAACCTGAGGAAAGTGGCCAAATCTGAGCCTTGCTTTGCCCATCACTAAATGAGGCTAATATTACTGAAGCCCTTCTGAAAAAGCATAGAAAACATACAGCACAGTGTCTGCTGCAGAGCAAATGTTCAGTGTATGATCAGTGCTATTAATAGAATGAATTTATTTTAAAAATTGTAATAGTATTGAGTTTTATTAAGGTATGTGAGAAGGAGTTTTTAATTTCTCAATTCTCACCAGAAAAAAGAAAAGAAATCATTAACTCCAGCTGTGCCAGTTGAATCTAAACCAGATAAACCGTCGGGAAAGGTACGAAGACAGCAGTGTCCTTTTACATGAAATAGTTACCCATATGCTCTATGTTTATCCTAATCTGATTTCTTGTGGGCAAATAATATGAGGGGGCGATTTAAAGGACCATTTTAATGAATTATTGTTTCAAGCTAATATTGAAAGTGTGGTTGGAAGTATGATTTTCACACACACATCATGTTTGTAACACTTGATATTATAACCCCTTTTTAAAAAAAAAAAACTCCAGTTTCAGCCCGTGGTGTTTACATTCCAGTTTCTCTCATGAAAATACACTTTATTTAACCACTGGTATTACTGAAGAGGTCAGGTACTTCTTTATTCTGAAATTCCTAAAAGAATCAGTCTAAACATAACAGCCTTCAAATTGTATTTCACATTTCCATAATCAGGAGAGTCCTAAAATTGTCATGTGAATATGGTAGTTGAAAAAAACAATTGAAATAATTATTTTTTATCTAAATCAAATAATACAAGGTCTTTTTCTAGATTGTTGTTTTCTCCTTTAGATACAAGTTACTGTTCATAACAAGTCATCATTAACATAAAAAATAGAGGTATGCTCATTTATTATTGTATTAGTCAGTTTTACACTATTATAAAGAACTTTCCTGAAACTGGGTAATTTATAAAGAAAAGAGGTTTAGGCTGAGCATGGTGGCTCAGGCCTGTTATCCCAGCACTTTGGGAGGCCAAGGCAGGTGGATCACAGGTCAAGATTGACACCATCCTGGCCAACTTGGTGAAACCCCATCTCTACTAAAAACACGAAAATTAGCTGGGTGCGGTGGTGTGTGCCTCTAGTCCCAGCTATTTGGGAGGCTGAGGCAGGAGAATCACTTGAACCTGGGAGGCAGAGGTTGCAGTGAGCCAAGATCATGGCACTGCATTCCAGCCTGGGCAACAGAGTGAGAATCTGTCTCAAAAAAAAAAAAAAAAAAAGAATAAAAGAGGTTTAATTGACTCCCAAGCATGGCTTGGGAGGCCTCAGGAAACTTATAATCATGGTGAAAGGGGAAGCAGTCACCTTCTTCCACAAGGCAGCAGGAGAGAGAGCATGCGAAGGAGGAACTGTCACATACTTAGAAAACAATTAGATCTCATGAGAACCCACTATCATGAAAACAGCATGGGACAATCACCCCCATGATCTAATCACCTCCCTTCCTCGACATGTGGGGATTATCATCCCTCCCTTGACACATGGGGATTACAATTTGAGATGAGATGAGACTTGGGTGAAGACTCTAGCCAACCATATCAATTATACCGATTTAAGCCAATATTAACAGAGTAAACTTGTGAGTTCTTGTAAGTTTAATGTCTCAGGTAATTTCTGTTTTATGAACCTCTTCAGGTAAGCAATAACCAAAAACCATGAATGGAATAATACAGAGTGATTCCCTTATGAAACAGATTCTATTTGGAAGAGATACCATATAGAGATTTTTAGGGGTTCTTTATCTGAATTCTGGAAAACAGTTGATAAGCAATAAATATCTAGCATTTCCCTTATCGCTTAAAGCAACGTGGTTATAATTCCCTGTATTTTGTTTTGTTTTTTGGGTTTTTTTTTTTTTTGCTTTTTTAACTGTCAGTGCATTGGACTGGCAGCTTTAATGAACTTGCACATTTGTTCATGTATGTAATGCCTTTAGACTTGTTGAAACTGTGCTTCTTATCTGAATGTAGCTTTTTATCTTTCCAGCCCAGAATTTGTACTTTGAGAAATAGTAAAGTCTGTTAGAGATCAGATTTTAACTATTTAGGAGAACTATTTGAAGAACTTTTGGCGTTTGGTGTTTTTCTACACAGAATGGCTTTTTTGTGGTTAAACTAAAAGTGAAATATGTATAACAAATAACATTTAAATATCTGCTCTTTCTTTTCCAGTCAGACATGAATGCTGCTTTGGATGACTTAATAGACACTTTAGGAGGACCTGAAGAAACCGAAGAAGAAAATACAACGTATACTGGACCAGAAGTTTCAGTATGTGATCTTGATATCTATAAAAATTCAGTGAGTAGGAGAGCAAATAAGGCCATGGTCATGAAGTACAAAAGAATCTCTAGCGAGGCCAGGCATGGTGGCTCACACCTGTAATCCCAGCACTTTGGGTGGCCAAGGTGGGCAGATCACTTGAGATCAGGAGTTAGAGATCAGCCTGGCCAACATGGTAAAACACTGTCCCTACTAAAAATACAAAAGTTAGCTGGGTGTGGTGATACATGCCTGTAATCCTACCTACTTGGGAAACTGAGGCAGGAGAATTGCTTGAACCCAGGAGGCAGAGGTTGCAGTGAGCTGAGATCGTACCACTGCACTCCAGCTTGGGCAACAAAGCCAGACTCTGTCTCAAAAAAAAAAAGGGATACCTAGTATTCTGTCATTTGCATAGAAACAGGATGATGTCAGTATCAAGACAGCAACTAAAAACTAATGTCAGGGATGGAAATGGTTTGTTGTTTGGCAGCTGCATTATAACATTGAGTTAGCAAACATTTATCGTTGTGTTAAGATTGACACTGGGATACAGCCTACTAGATCACAAAGACTTATTTTCCATCCTCAAGATTTAAGTAGAACAGACTAGAACTTGTTTTAGTTTCTCAATATTTACCACCCTCAGTTTATCCCTATTCCTAATTCCTAAAATTATATTTTCCTTGGTATTAAAAAAAAAGACATGCTGGCCAGACATGGTGGCTTGCACCTGTAATCCCAGCACTTTGGGAGACCAAGGTGGAGCAGTTCGAGACCAGCCTGGCCAACATGATGAAACCCTGTCTCTACTAAAAATACAAAAAAATTAATCAGGTGTGGTGGCAGATGCCTGTGATCCTAGCTACTCAGGAGGCTAAGGCAGGAGAACTGCTTGAACCCTGGAGGTGGAGGTCGCAGTGAGCGCGGACCTTGCCATTATACTCTAGCCTAGGCAACAAGAACGAAACTCTGTCTCAAAAAATAAAAATAAATAAAAAGATATGCCATAGACTAGACAAAAATATTTTATAACAGATATAACAAAAGATTTGTTTCTAGAATTTATAAAGAATTAAAAACAAAAACGCAACCCAATGGAAAATTGGGAGAAAACTTGACTGGCCAATAAACGAGTAAATGGAACTCTCTCTAGAAATTAGGAGAATGATATTAAAACATGGAATTAACACTACTTTGCATATATGAGATTAGCAAAAGTGTGAAAGTCTGACAATTCCTGTAGCTTTCCTATAGCTGGTGGGTGTTCATGATGAGTATTCCCTTCAACCAGTAAGTCCACCTCTAGGGAGTTTCCCAGAAAAGAGCCTTGCCCATGTGTGCAAGGAGTTACAAGAAATGGTCAAAAGTTTGGAAACATAAAATTCAGTGATTTATAGTGGTTAAAATGGATTATTCATCTATCAACATGGATACATAATAAAAACATAATTTTGAATAAAAATAATGCAGACTGGTATGTAGAATATTATACCATTTATATAACATTGGAAAATAAGGAAAGTAATGCTGGAAATTGTTTATGGATACCTACGTATGTAGAAATTGTTCTCAAATAACTAAATTGACATGCTAAAGTTCAAGATGGTGACTATTTCTGATTAACAAGGAAAGAGAATTAGGTTTCAGAATGTTAAACAGAAGATATCTACTCTATCTGTGGTTTTGTTTTCTCAGAAATTACAAATCTGATACAGTTGGGTATTGGATTATACAGAAGCTCGTTATCTTATTAACTATTCTTTTGTATCAATTGGAAACATTAGATAATGAAAGCATTTGAAAGCAAAATGTATTTAGCAATCAACTTTAGTATTTTGAATAGTTTCTAGCATTACGTGAGGTAAGCCAATTAAATATGGGTGTTTGTGTAAACTTAGAAATTTAGTTATGTAAAGTATTGGCTTCTTAATGATTTATACTTCCATAAATTAATAATGGAATAGTGTTTTAGTTTCAGAATATGCATATAACATTCTCAGCTAATTAATTACGTATTGTCCCCATGTGTATGATTTTGTTCCAGGATCCAATGAGCTCCACCTACATAGAGGAATTGGGTAAAAGAGAAGTCACAATTCCACCAAAATATAGGGAACTCTTGGCTGTAAGTAAATAACCATTTACTTTTATTTCACTTTCCTTTTTAGAATATAATTTTGTATTAGTATTTTCACAATGTTTAAAAGTTAGAAAATATAATAGTGCATGTGAAATTGTCATTACTATGAAGCTCACTGTATCGATTGGCTGGGGCTGCTGTAACCAAGTACCACAGACCAGGGATATAAACAAGAGATTGATTGTCACACAGTTCTGGAGGCTGGAAGTCTAGAATCAAGGTGTCAGCAGGGCTGGGTCCCTTGAGGGCTGTGAGGGAAAGGTATCTTCAGAGCCTCTGTTTGGCTTATAGATGGGCATCTTCCCTCTGCGTCTCCTCATACCGTCTTCCTTCTGTGTCTCTGTGCGTATCTCTGGGTCCAAATTTCTCCTTTTTATAAGGACATGCATCATCATATTGGAGTAGGGCCCACCCTAATTACTTCACCTTTACTTGGTTATTTCTATAAAAAATAAATCTGAAAATCAGGTCTCGTTCTGAGGTACTGGGGTTAGGACTTCAACATATAAATCTGGAATGAGGGGCACAATTCAGCCCACAACAAGAAATACATTTGGCCAATCTTAAGGATTGAGTCCACCTTCTCAACGTCATCAAATTGATATTTGTTTCAGAAAAAGGAAGGGATCAGAGGGCCTCCTCCAGACTCTTCGGTGAGTTTACATAAATGTCTTCTGATCTAAATTAATATTTTTTATATTTTTGATTAAGGGAACAGGGCTATCAATTCTGTATTTGAGGATTATGACTTAACTCGTCTCCAAATCAAATGGAGTTGCTGTGTGTTCAGAGAAAGGGGTTGGTGTGAGTGTTGTCTCAGTGCTCCTTAGTCTCATAAGTAGGGTTTCTGAGGGGAAGGGGAATGAAAGCAAGAAAGTATTAGGATAGAATGCATGTTCATAATGATAGAATGAGAATACTCTAACATGTAGCTCCTTTAGAAAGGAGGAAGTGGAAAATAATACTTAGCGAGTAGCCACTGTCTTCAGAACATACACTTTGATCTCTGTTGTTGCATTAACACATCTCATTTGGTAGCAAAGGAATCGCAAAAGTGATTCCTTCATTTGCTAGGTTCGCAATCCATTCTTCCCCTTGAGTGGTTTCCATAAGTCACTCATCATTGTGCCTGTTTCTTTAGAAACCCATGGGGCCAGATGATGCTATAGATGCCTTGTCATCCGACTTCACCTGTGGGTCGCCTACAGCTGCTGGAAAGAAAACTGAAAAGGAGGTATTGTTTTTACTGTTGTTAAGGGAAACTTGTTAGAAACTGTTAAACTTTAAAAGAATAGTAACTTTTTAGTTCTGGCTGTTACAGTTAAACTTTCCTCATCTGTCAATCTAATCTTTTGTATTTTATTTTTCAGAAATCTACAGAAGTTTTAAAAGCTCAGTCAGCAGGTATAATCAAAAGTGCTGCTCCACCCCAAGAGAAGAAAAGAAAGGTGGAAAAGGTATAGGCACAGTCTACCTGACAGCAGTTGCTTTCCTGAGCCTGATCTGGCTCATTCAGGATACTGCCAGTAGCACATTACGTGTGATGAGAAGCCATGATCTTTTCCCTCTTGGGTCTGTCTGGAATGCTGAAGCCAATGAGGGTTCTATTGTTCATCTCCAGGCAAGCCTTGTGTGTTTCTTTTTTTTTTGAGATGGAGTTTCGCTCTTGTTACCCAGGCTGGAGTGCAATGGCGCGATCTCAGCTCACCGCAACCTCCACCTCCTGGGTTCAAGCAATTCTCCTGCCTCAGCCTCCTGAGTAGCTGGGATTACAGGCCCGCGCCACCATGCCCAGCTAATTTTTTGTATTTTTAGTAGAGGCGGGGTTTCATCATGTTGACCAAGATGGTCTCGATCTCTTGACCTCATGATCCACCTGCCTTGGCCTCCCAAAGTGCTGGGATTACAGGCTTGAGCCACCGCGCCTGGCCCCTTGTGTGTTTCTACAACTGCTTGCGGATGATTTTAGCACAGTTGTCAAAATGGTCATGATCCAAGACCATCTCACCATGATACAGAGAAGGGCAGAAACCAGAGAAATTGAACTGGCACTCTCGGAACAAGAAACCTTCAAGTTTGATTTTCTTTTTTCTTTTTTTTGAGATGGAATCTCGCTCTATCACCCAGGCAGAGTGCTGCAGTGCAATCTCGGCTCACTGCAACCTCTGCCTCCCGGGTTCAAGCAATTCTTTGCCTCAGCCTTCCAAGTAACTAGGATTACAGGTCCTGCCACCACGCCCGGCTAATTTTTGTATTTTTAGTAGAGACAAGGTTTCACCATCTTGGCCAGTCTGGTCTTGAACTCCTGACCTCGTGGTCTACCCACCTCGGCCTCCCAGACTACTGGGATTACAGGCATGAGCCATCGCAGCTGGCCTCAAGTTTGATTTTCTAAGGGACTTTGAGCCCTGAGGATCACTAGAGGGACACTGGTACTGCCCACCACTCTCAACTGTATTTCACTATGACATCATTCTCACAAATCCCAAAAGGCAATCCTGCTGCTCTGTGCTGGCTGGGAACACATATCTCCTCTACAGTCAAGATAATGCTAAGGAACAGTTTCTATCAGAGCCGCTTGTGCCGCTCCCCTCCTGGAGTGGACAGTTTATTTTTATCTGGCAGGCTGGCGCACAGTGGTGAGCACCACACCCCTGAGAGTGGGAGTTCCTACAACGATCAGCCATCGTGCCTTCAGAGAAGGCAGCGGAGGGCCACTTCAGGCTTCCCTGCTTCCTAAGCTTAGCTGTTTTGCTAAAGGTTGTCAGAAGCCTTTATAGAGACACATTCTGAGAAAAAGAAAAACAGGGTGGTAAAAGTTTGCTATTTTCTTCTTTTATTTTGTTAAGAATATTTTATAATAATATTACTATAGCTTTATGTCTAGCTTACTAAATAAGGGGTACAGTGTGCCCCAGAGAACGCTGTTACATAGAAACGTGTCTTAGCCCCAATTGCCGCTCATTGGTAAGTTCTTTTTCTTTCTCTCCTTTGCAAGGTTTCAAATAAAGTTGCCTTTCTAGAGCACTTCCCCAATCCACAGTTCATCTTATAATCTAAAATGTATTTCACAAAGAAGTAAATGGATTGTTCAGGCTCCAGAGATGTCTTTTTTCATGCACATAATTTTTTACTTTTAACAGGACACAATGAGCGACCAAGCACTCGAGGCTCTGTCGGCTTCACTGGGCACCCGGCAAGCAGAACCTGAGCTCGACCTCAGCTCGATTAAGGAAGTTGATGAGGTACTGGCCTTCGAGTTGATTTACAAAGCCTGTTAGTCAGCATGTTACAAAACTGAATGCATGCCGCATGTTTAGAATTCTTGCACAACTTCTATTGGAGAGTAAAAGTGAACATTCTTCATTGTGTCTTATTTATTAGCAACTAAGGGGGATAGTTAAATGATTGACTTGTGAAACAGCTAGAATTTAAATATTTGAAATCAACAGGAATCTCCCTTGCTAGAGCTTAAATGACACCTGACTAAACAGGATAACAAGGAGACAGTGCATAGGGAAATAGTGAAGTTTGTCTGCTATTGTGGCAATTAGGAATTTGTATTTTCAGAAGGGTTCTGGATGCTTCTCTTTATAAGAGGAGATGCCTATACAAGGAGTGGGACGATCCTTTGTTTATCACCATGAGGAAAGATGTTGAAAATTTTGTCTCAAACTAAAATCAAGCAGCAATTACTCGGTAACTAGAGTTCCTGCATATTTAGTTCCTGCTTAATGCTGATGAATGTTTATCTCACCACACTCCAAGATCTTAACACGCCTTCTGAACCAAAGCAAGCTTATATCTGGTGTAGGAAAGTTTTAATATTAAATTATAATTTTTGTAGAATTTTTCAACTCTGTCCTCTGTGGGGAAGGAGGTAGGAAAGGAGAGAGTTGCCCGTTCCTGACAAGGCAGTATTGTGGGGGGATGGAAAGGCAGCCTGGGATCCCTAGGGGCCCACACCACCTCCATCAGCTCAGGGTAGGGGAGCTGGCAAGCATTGCTGTCACAATGCCCCATCAATGCTGTCACTTCCTGTTCTGAGTCATCAGGGAAGGGGAGTCTCCCTGACTCCCAGCAACTAGCCTTGAGTCTGGGACTACCCTGGTCCAAGATGGGCCAGTTTCTATCTTCCACTTACTTGGAGGGCTCACCGACCACAGTGTTGCACAATAAACTTTATGATGGTGAACACAGGGGAGCAGGAGAAACCGTTCCTATCCTCCAGGACCGGGTAATGTATTGGGAAGAAAGGAAATTTAATTACAATACAATATGAGATGTACATTACTTAGAGTAGCCCATAGCAGCAGTGGTAGAACCCAGGGGAGAGTCAGGAGACCAAGCTGAGTTGTGGCTTTACCACCTGTGGGACACAGGGCCACAAGTAAATTGCACTTTTGCCTCAGGCTTCTTACAGACAATTAGGGTGAGGCAATAAATGTGGGAAGGGAGGGTATAAACATGTTATAAATCCCAGGATTGAAAGAGTCTTAAGAGTGACTAAAAGCAGATAAGCAGATGTTAAAAAAGGGGACATAAAGTAATTTATTAAGCATGTTAATAACTAGTTTGAGAATCCACGTGAATGTATTAAGTTTCCTCTAGAAAACGTCGGAGTAGCAGCAAACTAAAATTCCAGCAAAAAGAACTCTTCTTTTCCACTCTTGTAATGTACTAGTTGTATTAGTCTGTTCTCATGCTGCTAATAAAGACATATGGAGACTGGGTAATTTATAAAGGAAAGAGATTTAATTGTCTCACAGTTACACATGGCTGGAAAGGCCTTATAATTATGGTGGAAGGTGAATGAGGAGCAAAGTCGTGTCTTACACGGCAGAAGGCAAGAGAGAGAGCAGATGCAGGGGAACTCCCCTTTATAAAACCATCAGATTTTGTGAGACTTATTCACTATCATGAGAACAGTACAGGAAAGCTCCACCCCCATGATTCAGTTACCTCCTACCAGGTGCCTACCATAACATGTGAGAATGACAGGAGCTACAATTCAAGATGAGATTTTGGTTGGGGACACAGCCAAGCCATATCACTGGTTTTCCTTTTTAATCATATACAAAGTATAAATGTTTCTAAAAAAGATATTTCAGTCCTTGTTAAGCTGAATTCTTAGTACCTGACTTAGTGGGTTCTTTACATCCCAGATAGTCTGATGTGGCAAGAAGGCTCAGGAAGGTCACTATCAGCCTGGAGGAGTGTCCAATGCCACCCCAGACTAGAGAGCTCTCTGTGGAAAACCACACAATACTCCAGAGAGGAGACCCATGTCTACTTGGTACTCCTGTCATCTACCATACATAAAAGTTTTTTATTCTATAATGATACCTTATTATAATTCTCCCACATTTTTAGGTGTGACTGCCTAGTCTAGTGCCATTTCAATTCAGTAGACTCTTTTCTTCTATGCCTACTATGTACAAACCACAGTGCAGGCATTTCAAGAATATAAAGATCGGAGAAGAAAATAAAAGTTCTGGCTGCATGTGTAACTCTCATGGTCACAAGCCTGAGATTAGTGGGGAGATTGTGTTAGTAGAGGTGACCCTGGATGATCCTGAAGGCTGCTGTGCCCTGACCTGGGTGGGGAGTGCTGCTCCATGATAGAATTTTTCCATATGCTGAGATAAAACATGACTGGAAATGTTTAAAAGAAAACCATGACTTCATCCTTTAATGAGAGTTTCTCAATAAAACAGTAAAATTAATTCCAAAGCATAGAACAGTACGTCTCATTAAAAGTGCTCAATAAGGCCAGCACGGTGACTCACACCTGTAATCCCAGCACTTTGGGAGGCTGAGGTGGGTGGATCACCTGAGGTAGTGAGTTCAAGACCAGCCTGACCAACATGGATAACCCTGTCTCTACTAAAACTACAAAAAATTTCTCAGGCATGGTGGTGCATGCCTGAAATCCCAGCTACTGGGGAGGCTGAGGCAGGAGAATCGCTTGAACCCAGGATGCAGAAGTTGTGGTGAGCCGAGATGGCACCATTGCACTCTAGCCTGGGCAACAAGAGTGAAACTCTGTATCAAAAGAAAAAATGTTCAGTAAGTACTAATTAATCAACTAACCAATCAGTAGAGAACTACACTCTCAGGCTAATACATAGATGGGAACCATGGGCTGGGTTGGAATTTGCCAAGTGAACCCCCTACCTTGGTTTGTAAATTAAATCCACACCTTGATATAGGTACAAATTCTTACATATTATGGGACTTCACACTACCCATCAGCAGGTTAAATTGCAAGTGTTGTGTCCTAGCAGTTAGTGATCTACTATAGAACTAGACTTTTATTTGTAATGCAGTTATTTGTTCATGGTTCAGTAAGCTAGAGAAGTCCTGGCATTAGTGAAGGGAGTCCTTTTAAAAGAGGTAAAACAAGTTATCCATAGATCACCCAAGATTTGTGATGGGATGCTTCTCCCATTTCTGAACTGGGTTTAATGTAAAAATTAGTGTTGTTTTCCCTCCCTTCCTTAGATAGCTGCCTCATTCACTAAGACAATTGAAGGCCATTAAAATAATTGCAACTAACTGCTGCACTGTGCTTACTGTTTTCAAAGGATCTCTTATTTACTTTTCTCTGGTGATCTTCACAAGTCAGTGAGCTAGACAAGGGTTATTAGTAACCACATTTTACAGCTGAAGAAACTGAACCAAAGAAAGGCTAAGTGGCTTCCCAAGGTCATAGCAGCTGGGAGCAGAGCAAGGCAGCTCCCCGGGATCCCTGGCTGGGCTGCTTTTGCTCAGTCACCCACTGCTACCTTTCTCACAGCTGCCCACCATGGTCTTGTGCTTTGTAGTTTACAAAGCCCTTCCAGATGCTTTTACCAGATTTGGTCTTCTCTGTAACACTCAGGAAGTACACAGAGGAAGTGATATCATCTCATTATGTGCATTATCCAACTACTTTTTTTTTCCCTCCACTTTCATCAGGCAAAAGCTAAAGAAGAAAAACGGGAGAAGTGTGGTGAGGATGATGAAACAGTCCCATCAGAGTACAGATTAAAACCAGCCACGGTAAATTTTTAGCTGCAGTGCATGACAACGGCAGCTGTTTTGTTGTATCTGTACCCTTGACACTGTCAAAGGACATGTCTGTCCACCATTCAGATATCAACTCTGAACACCCTGAACCCTTTTTTCTCTGCTCCCTACAGTTAAACCCCTTGACAGATGGTTTTTCCCTGCCTGGCTTCCTAAGTAGTGACCATGCTCATTAAAATCCCCAGAGATTTAAATGTTTCATTTATTAACAATTCTTACAATAGATCCTTAAACTCAGAAGGAACAATTTGGGGGTAATTCTTTTCCCTAACTGCTATATAGATAAAACCACCGTAAGTCTTCTAAGGGGTAGGTATGAATGTACAAAGTTTTACCAGTAGCCTAAGCTTAGGTGGTTTTGTTGCTGTTGTTGTTTATTATGGTGAGGATGGTAGACTAACTCCTGTCATTACATTTATAATTTACTTTTGAAATCATGCGTATAGACACATGATGGAAAATGGTTGCAATTCTTATATATGCTTAAATATGAAAAGTTTCTAGTTTTTAGAAATATTCTGAATTAGGAAACCTCATATCCAAAAAAACTAAACAGTGCTATAGATGATATCTATCTACCTCTTCACTCTAGGTGGGAGAATTAGGATTTTTTAAAAGCTTTCATTAATATAGCTACAGCTTTATTGCCAGAGAACTTTTTTTCCTATTACTCTATCCAACAGATGAAAAAAAAATTTTAACAACTTAAAGTAAATGTGTATTCTCTTTGGTAACATCTTGATTTTTACAGCTCAACTCCTGTTTTTATACTTTATGAAAAGTAAATCTGAAACAGAAATTCGTGTAAATCTTAAGTAAAAAATTAGCCAACATCTCATATCCTAGAATTCCCAGAAATAAACTTGATCGGACATGAAAGCAAAATTTTCTCATTCATTTCCAATGAATTTTAATTTCATTTACAGGATAAATATGGAAAACCACTATTGCCAGAGCCTGAAGAAAAACCCAAGGTGAGGGAATACACTTTTTTGTAATACTTAAAGACTAATAGACCTGTGAAGTATAAATTAAGATAATTTTGACAGTCCAGAGTTCACTGTGCAGACTTATATGCTAACCTAGTACAGATGAGGGGGGACCTTCTGATGCTAACACCTGGCTGATACCTGCGGCTCCTTTCCATATCTTTTAAAGATGATCTTCCTCATAAATCATTACTAGACTCTAAATTTCTAGGTAAAATTTATTGCACGCTAGAAACTGCTGTCAAGAGAGCCCTTAAGTCAGATTAAGCTAGCACTTAGAGTTCCATCCTGATGAAGTTCTGTAAGGATTCAGTATTGCCTTAAGTTAGTAGTAAACTGTCAAAATAATATTAACCAGCAGCATTTATTGATCACTTGCTATGCACTTAGCACTGCACCAAATGCTTCTTAGGTATTATATTTGTGAGTCCTCAATGAATGAGGACAGTACTGTTGCTATTCCCATTTTACAGTGAATAAATTGAGACACAGAGGGCCCATGGGAACAGCCCAAGGTCCTGCAGCTAGAAAATAGCAAGCCAAACCCAGAACTTAGACCTCAGGCCGTTCGGTGCTGGGCCCCAGCGTCTGAATCACATGGCCTTCTATCATGTTACTATTGTTAGTGACACCTTCCACATGCCCTAAACTAACACCACTCTCCTGAAAGAACAAGGGGTAGCAGAGCTTTCCTGCCAACATCCCACATAGTCATAGGAACAGAGTATGTGATCCGTGTATTTTCTTATTCAGAAGAGAAGTCATGAGGAAATAGGAAAATAATAATCACATTTTTAAAAATTATACAGATCTTCATTGGAGAGAACAGGGAATTTTATTTCAACAAAATTCTTCTGAAACTAAAATGTCAAGGGAACCTTTGACCAAGTAAAGCATTAATACTTTTGTGGTACTGAGGTGTTTAGTATTTATTTGTTTCATGACAATTTTATCTTATCATTGATAAACAAAAAATATGCACTTTATAAATTATCTTTGGGTTTTAAGTATGGCCTCATATGCGTTCATCAGAAAAAAAAATTTTTTGCTCCATGTAAACTTTTTTGCGAAGTAAACAAGAGTCCCCTTGTAATAAGGAACTTCTTATATTACAGCCTCGGAGTGAATCGGAACTCATTGATGAACTTTCAGAAGATTTTGACCGGTCTAAATGTAAAGAAAAACCATCTAAGCCAACTGAAAAGACAGAAGTATGTTTCTAAACATAAATCTCTGGTTTTGAGGTTTGTGATCTTAAAAACGTAAGACAGCCCAGGTGGATCACAAGGTCAGGAGTTCAAGACCATTCTGGCCAACATGGTGAAACCCCATTGCTACTAAAAAATACAAAAATTAACTGGGCATGGTGGCGCATGCCTGTAATCCCAGCCACCTGAGAGGCCGAGGTAGGAGAATTGCTTGAACCAGGACCCGGGAGGCGGAGGTTGCAGTGAGTTGAGATCATGCCACAGCACTCCAGCCTGGGCTACAGAATGAGACTCTGTCTCAAAATAATAATAATGTGACACAAACTATTTTAACATGAAGCAGTACATTAAAAAGCCCAATATGCCATCTTTTTTTCCATGTCATTTTTGTCTTCCTTTGTGAATGTGCTTTGTTCCCCAACCTAACCCTGATATTCTTGCAATTGAAGTCCTGCAATGACTCCTTCAGAAAAGCTCTGGAACCCGTGCCTCCCAGCTTCTGTAACTGACTTGGTTGAAGCTGTCATCACCCCTCTCCTCCCTGTTGCAGTGGCCTTTCTACAGTCTCCTTCATGTCCACTGGACTCATTTTTTCTCAAGCATGTCTGTAGTCATGCCATTCCTCCTTCTATCCCCAGGAACTTCCCATTCCTACAAAAAAAAACCTTCCCATAACCATATTCTTGACCCATTTTTCTTTCCTACCAAACTGTGTCCCTGTGTCAGTAAACTGAACGGTAAGTATGCGTGCGTCCCTGCTTTTCTCACTTGCTTCCTCTGTCTTGATTGGCCTTTCTTTCTAATTCTAGATCAACTAAAGTCTGATTTATTCTTTCAAGGCTCTGCTAAAATATGGCTTTCTTTATCTCCTGCTTTTCCCTCCCTAAACCGTATCCATCCAACGTTTATTAAGCAGAACACAACACGGCAGAAGATCTGTAGTTCTTTTTTTAATACATCACAATTAAAGCGTTTGTTACAAAGAAGAGTTTAGCTGTTTTCATCCCTCTTTAACATTTATACCAAGTTTAAGTGGGTAGCAAGTTCCGTGAACAAAGAGATCATATCCTGTTAATGACCATCTGCTGAGCACCTTGCATGTAGGATAGGCTTCCATAAATGTCTAGATTTAAAACAATTTGTTTAAAGTTTTTCTTTCTTTCTTTTCTTTCTTTCTTCTTTCTTTTTCTCTTTCTTTCCCTCCCCTCCCCCCCCCTCTTCTCTTCTCCTTTCTTTCTGAGACAAGGTCTCACTCTATCTCCTCTCCTCTCCCCTCCCCTCCCCTCCCCTCTCTCTTCTCTTCTTCTCTTCTCTTCTCTCTTTCTGAGACAAGGTCTCACTCTATCTCCCAGCTGGGAGTACAGTGGCACAGTCTGGGCTCACTGCAGCCTCAATCTCCCAGGCGCAAGCAATCTACCATGTCAGCCTCCTGAGTAGCTGAGACTACAGGTGTATTCCACCATGCTGGCTAATTTTTGTATTTTCTGAAGAGCTGGGGTTTGGCCATGTTGCCTAGGCTGATCTCAAACTCCTGGGCTCAAGCAATCCACCCACCTTGGCCTCCCAAAGTACTGGGATTACAGGCATAAGCCACCATACCCAGCCTTGAAACTTAATTCTTGTAATAAAATAAGACGGTATAGTAGCTCTCAAACTTTAGCATGCATCAGGATCACCTGGAGAGTTTGTTAAAACACAGACTGCTACACTCTACCTGCAAAGTTTCTGACTTAGTATATGGGGCGGGGGTCTAAGAATCCACATCTCTAGGTTCCCTTATGGTGCCGAGGCTATTAGTTCAAGGATTACACTTCAAGAACCGTGGTTTATTACTGCTGCCTTCCATTGCTACATAGCTATATATAAAGTGCTCTTAGATTTCTATCAACACGACATTTTACATAATGCTATATTATATAATAGGCATATTTTCTTGTTATACAAAGTGACAAATACTATAAATAATAGCAATAATTGCTCAAATTTATTGAGCTTCCTGTATTCCCAGGTACTATGCATAGCTCTTTGCCTGCATTGTCTCATAGGCCCCATACCAACCCTTCAGGTGTGGAGACTGCCATTGTTCTCATTTTACAAATGTGGAAACTCAGTTTCAGTGAGTTTCAGTAACTTGCCTAAGGTGAGAGAGAAAACCAAGCTGAAAAAATGGCAGCTGAAGGGTCTTAGCATGCTTTGACTTATTTACTATTCAACAATCCTTGGGTAGTCAAGAGAATCATGTTCACACCATATAATATAGCAGAGTGTCTTGTTGGTCTATCCTTGCTCAGGCTTATGAACCAGAATTTCTAAAGCTATTGAGAATACTTGCTTCTTTCCTCAGGAATCTCAGGGCGCTGCTCCGGCCCCTGTGGCGGAGGCTGTGCCTCGGACCTCCATGTGCAGCATACAGTCAGCACCACCTGAGCCGGCTACCTTGGTGAGTGACTCCCTGGGCATTTAAGCTTGAGAAAGTTTTCTTCCTCCTTCTGTCACTCTCGGCTGTGTGTTGCCATCATTTTATCTTATTCTGACAAATTAAAAATAAAATCTGATATAATGATAGTATCTATTATTTCTTTGGGCTTCAGGGGTGTCCTAGAAACACATACTAAGATTTAAAGTATTAATTAAATTACTCCAAACTGTATTTTTCTCTACTCTTCTGAAATTCTTTCTAGTTCCTCAGCTATTGTGGATAATCCCGCTTTTTCACTTTTTTGCATCTTTTAAGCTTATTTGGATTTCCACAGAAAGCCCAACGTCACTTTTTACTGACTTTCTTGGTAAAATAACATGCATCAAAATCATTATGATTCCTCTCCACTCTCCCAACTACAGGAGGCGACACTGACTCAGTTTCTTTCTCTTTCCTTCTTTTCATGCTTCTCTCTAGCTTTCTAATTGTCATAAGAAGTATGACATTTAACTAGCGGAATCTTTGTTTTTCTTTTGATTTTAGTGAGTTTTTTTTCCCATTAGTTAATGATAGAATTTGACTCAGGGAATAATACCTGATGGAATTATATTTCATTAATACAGAATTAGTACATCTTCCCTCTGAACACCTAACTTTCATCATATATTGTGCGCTCACTCTGGATGCTTTGCAGTGTCTTCTCATTAAATTTTCACAAGGACACTATGATGTCTGTCCTGTTCATCTTCCTATGATAGATGAGGAAAATGAGGCTTTGAGTTGACCTTGAACAATTCACTTAATATTTCAGAGCCTCGGTTGAAATGAAAGATATGGCCCCAGATCACAGCTGTCTTCAAGCGTAGTGTGGATATGGGCCAGATCTCAAGCTTACAAGTATAATTTGATCATTCCTATATGGAAAAAAGGCAGAAGGAACATGCTTGAAGGAACCACTTCCAAAGGGATTAGGAGAGGCCTGCAGGTGGAGGGCAGGATAACACTGAGAACTGAAAATAGTACCATTTTCTACAAAGACCAGTGAGCCAACAACAGACCAGCACAGAGGTGTGGAGCACTCGATGTGCCTGGCATGTGCACATTCAGTTGCTTGAGAAGAGGGGCCTTGGAAAGGATGTCACACAGTGTCTGGGATGCTGTGTGGTGGCTGCCTACTGCCTGGGAAGTCCTTGGTGCCTACTTCAAACCCCTTGAGTCCAGGGCCTCCTTTCTACCTTAGAACCTGAGCTCTCCCCAGTTTTTTGAGGTTTCAGGGCACTCTTAAAGAACTTTTTACAACATGGGTGCCAGGCCACAGTGGTAAAGAACAGAAGAGGAGGAGGGACTCTAGGAGGACTCCAGTGAAGAAAGCAGGCAAAGAGGCCGTGATTGGAGTCAAAACGACAATAGCCAGTGTTCGCTAGCAGAACTCTTGTGCAGATGGTGCAGGTGCAGAACCAAAACCTGCACCTGCACCATCTGCCTCATCTGCCAAGTGTGACTGCCAGGCCCTTAGAGGGCTCTGTTCCTTTCCAACTTTATCCTGACTATAGAGCTGAGCATTGGATTGTTAGATGACACAAAACAAAACAGAAAGCTCTTGTTCTCCCCTTCCCTGTCCTCCTTTCCAGGGCCTCAGCCCCACCAACTCTGGCCACGGTTGCCAAGGTTACTGTCACTGAGGCAGTTGGCATTTCTGGGATTGTGACACCCGAAAGCCAGAAAGAATAGCTGTGAAGTGTAATAAAGGTCAGTGGACCCAAGAAAGGCAGGAAGATTAGTGAGTAAAGGGAGACAGACCAGAGGAAGGAGATGAATGTGTTGCCTAGGTGGTTCTTGCGTGTATAAAAAGAAAATTTATTAAGGAAACCCAGAGACTTGAGTTGCAGTTTAATAATATGAAATACTACAGAAATATAAATTTCGGTCTTTATTCCTGTTTCCAGATTCCTTCGTTCTTAAAACTGCTTCTCCTCCTAGGTTTTCTTTAACTGTTTCAGTAAATTATTAAGCAAGAGCTTGGCAAAGGGCACAGGCTTAGGGAAGCAGTGGTTTCTAAAGATTCTATAGCATAGAATATGAGAAAACAGAATTGTAGTGTGAGCAAGTGTCTTAAATCATGTAGCAACTCAGATTGCTTGGATAAGACTTGGGTACCAGTACAACTATTGATATCCTTGGTAAGAGTATTGCAGCTCTTAATATTTAATTTAGGTATAATCCTGAACAGGTTAGACAGCTCAGGGATTTTTTTGTAGTTCTTGGCAATAAAACCCATGCAGTGTCTAGCCACTAGGTGGTGCTAAATCACTTTTCTAGGCTCCCTCTCCTCTTTGGTGCTCTTTCCTTTTGCAGCACAGTTTAGTGAGATGGGATCTCACTTTGCTGCGCCAGCTGATCTCGAACTCCGGGGCTCAAGCAGTCCTCCTATCTTGGCCTCCCAAAATGCTGTGATTGATTTACAGGTGTGAGCTACTGTGCTTGGTCCTGTACTCTGCATAAAAAAAAGAAGTCCTGGCCATGGCCCATTAAGTTGATTTTTATGAGCCACTGATGTACAGATCATTCTCTTTATTTTCCCTTTACACCATTTATGCTCTGTGTTCCGTGTGATTTTAAATACCAGCATGGTGATAGTTCATTACATATTGTGGGAGCACATTTCATTTTGAACAATTGGACCGCAGATAGACAGTTCCCACTGTGCCATTCAGGTTAGCTGGTCATAGGCAGTGTCACCAGAACCATCCCTGAATCCCATTTGGCCAGTAAAAGCCCTGTGAAGAGAACAGACTTCTGAGCCTCCTCCTCTGAGACGAGCCAGGCTGTCTCACAGGAAATGGAGAGGAATGGCTTCTTGTGGGCTCTCTGAAAATCTTCCCTGCGCCATCTACACAATGATCTCCATAGCACGTCTTTCTTCTTTCCTGGTATTCAGCTTCTCTGTGGTACACCTCAGTCCATTGTCTTTCTTATTTCTAAACCAATTCCGGGTTACATCTTGTAAGTTTCACAGTATCAACATACAATTTGCACAGTGTTTAATATAAGAAATTTGCTTGAATGTGAAACGTTTTTTAAACATAGATTCTAATTCAGTTGATAACTGAAGTTATTAAAAGATAACCTGTGCCTTTCATCTGAAATAATGATATGCCTTTCTGAATTGTTTATAGCATCTGTTTTAAAGGGAGTGATTACTTTAAAACCTACTTAATATGTCTACTAATGCACTTTTAGAAGGGCACAGTGCCAGACGATGCTGTAGATGCCTTGGCTGATAGCCTGGGGAAAAAGGAAGCAGATCCAGAAGATGGAAAACCTGTGATGGATAAAGTCAAGGTAATGGCAACTGAGATACTTCTAGAAAATAACTATCATTGATCACCTCCTCCCCCTGTAAATAAGTTATGAGTCATTTGTTGTTGTTGTTTTTTATTTTCTATAAAACATGAACAGCTGGCTTTTTCTATTATTGTGCATATCCTGTTTAATAAGCTAAACCGGAATAAGCAGCAGTGTTGAACCCCAGAGTGGACAGATGACATGCGCAGACCGGAGGCCTCTGAGTCTCATCTTTGCCCACCTGCACTGACATTGCAGGGACTTGGGAAGGAAGCGGCAGCTGCCTGCTGCTCCTCACAGCTGCCTTGCTGCCCAGCAGGCTTTCTGCTGGTGCCTGAGCCTGCCAGATTAAGTGGCTGTAGGAACACTAAGCATATGGCCATATGTACATTCTAACCTAATGATAGATTTGTTTACCTCAAATCTAGTCCCTCAGGCATTAATTTTATGGGGGAAAAAAATACTAACAATGAAAATGGTATAATTTTTATTCAGGAGAAAGCCAAAGAAGAAGACCGTGAAAAGCTTGGTGAAAAAGAAGAAACAATTCCTCCTGATTATCGATTAGAAGAGGTCAAGGTAAACAGGCTGGAGTCTTTTTTCTATTTTATTTTATTTCATACCGAATTCATACATATAACGAAGAGACTTGGGGGCAGACCTGGAATATAAAGATCTTGTTTCTTCACATTTCAAACACCAAATAGTATTAGTCTACTAATCACGTTAGAACACCAGATACAAAGCTAAAATATTCCTAAGTAGACTTTTGATCCTCAAGCAGAAGAAATCTAATGTCTAAGCTATCCAGTGTTCTCCTTTCTAACCCACAGCTTGTTACAATACCAGAAATATTTTAAATACCTTATGTAGATAGGAGAACTAAGATGAGGAATAGGCCAGGCATGGTGGCTCATGCCTATAATCCCAGCACTTTGGGAGGCCAAGGCAGGAGGATCCTTTGAGCCCAGGAGTTCAGAACTAGCCTTGGCAACATAATACGACCCCGTCTCTACAAAAATCAAAAACATTAGTCAGGCATGGTGGCATGTGCCTGTCCCAGGTACTTGGGAGGCTGAAGTGGGAGGATCACTTGAACCCATGAGGTAGAGCCTGCAGTGAGCCATGATCGCACCACTGCACTCCAGCCGGGGCAGCAGAGCAGGACCCTGACTCAAAAAGAAGTAAAAAATGAAAAAAATTAAAATAAAATAAGCAGCAATTATTTTATATGAGGAAAAATTTGCAACTTTCAGATGTAAGTTGGAAAAATAAGAGAGCCTATTTAACATTGAGTATAGTGATAAGTTGCCCCATTTCCTCTATTTTGAAAGTACAGATTGTGCAGAACAAGGGGGAAGACCGCGTTATAGAATCTCGTAGTTTAAATGCAGTCACCTAAATGAGGCAGATTTGTGGACAGTTGAACAAATGTCAGTCATCTTTGTAACAGGCCTGGATTAAAAGAGTATTCAACTAAACTTTATTAACAGTTCTAGAAAATCAAATTTCTCACTCATCCATGTGCTTCTCACTCATTCATGCGCACTAGCTCATTTATTTAGCAGATGCAGGCACTGGACTGAGCTCTCCTTGTTGAAAGTTTATTATTCTGGATACTTTTATATTTGCTTGCTTTCTGGGTTTTACGATTCAGTTGAAGCCATAGTATTTCCATTAATTTGGGCTTGTTCATACTTTGCTTTGCAGAGTTCCTAAAGAGCATCCTAAGGGCCACATGTTCTGTCTCCACTGAGTGCCCATTCATTAGAGGCTGGTCAAGTGCAGGTTAACTCTCTTCATGATTGGCAATTGGTTGGTGACTTGCTGTCTCCCTTGACTGAATTTAGTAGTAGTGTTTCAGGAAGCAGCTGTCCCTGATCACTTTATTCTATAGTTGTTTTATCCTTCTCTGACTTATCTCACACATTATTAGTTACCTATTACTTAGTAACATTTTCAGGCACTAGCTTCACCTCTTGTTTAAAGTCTGTGTTGGTATTCACCAACTATGCTCCCATCAGGTCTCTTCAGTGAGACTCAGCTCCTTGGGGGCAGGCTACAACCTCCCCTTCCAGACACAGGATGACGCAGCGATGGAAAATGGATTTCAGTTTGAGTATAGAGCAAAAGTACCCTGGGAGTCCCAGGCATCACTTAGAAAACTTTCTGCCTTTACAGCTAAGAGATGGTGGAGAGCAAGTCCAGGTTCAGCTTTCCCTTGTACCTGAAGAATGGTCAGAAGGCACAAGTCCGTCATGAGGGAAGCAGGTGAAACAAGTTGAATATCCCTCATCCAATGTGCCTGGGGACCAGCACTGTTTCAGATTTCAGGCTTTTCTGGATTTTGGAATATTTTCCTTATATCTGTTGAGCACCCCAATCTGAAAATCCAAAATGCCCCTGTGAGCATTTCCTTTGAGTGTCAGATCAACACTCAAAAAAGTTTCAAATTTTGGAGCATTTAAATTGTTTTCAGATTTTCAGATTAGGGATACTCACCTACTGCTTCTAAACCATTGCACCTCACATTTTCAATAAAACAAAAACCAACCTTAACCAGTTTCCCAGGTGAAATATTCCTATATATATATATGTCTTTGTATTTACTTATTTTTGCGTAGGTGGATACATGGGATTTACTATTAGTATATAGATCTTCTTTTACTAACGAGCCCCAGATGCTTTCTTCATTTTGTCCTATTACTCAAATGTGGCACTTGGAGTCGTTTACTGCTTGACATAAACTGAGCGATATGTTGCATGGTGTTTCACTGCCAGGTTAAACTCCCTGAGGGCAAGGCCTTTGTTGATGCGATTTTCTGTTGTACTGCCAATGCTTAGGTGAGGGCTTGGCACGTAGTCCATGCATATGAGTTAGATGTGTGGCTTACAAAGTTGACAGCATTTTCCAGACAACCTCTACAAAGCCCACCCCCAGGTAAGTAAGGGGCTTATCCGACACTGCCCTGCAAACCCCAATCACAGCACCACCTACCACACTATGCTGACTTTCATGTTTTCCTCCCATGATAGTCCCTGGGCTTCTGAGGTCACAAGCCATACCTCATTCAGTGTGTAGCCCCCATGACTCGGGAATGCCTGGTGCTTGTGAGCTGTTTGTTGACATAAACTAATTAGAGTGTATTCTCTGGTGAGAGAATCTATTTCCTGCCATGATGGATCTAATTTAAAATGTACAACTGCAGGTATAACAGGCCCTTTGTAATGTTTACAAGGTTTCATTACTTGGGATAAAATGTGAAATGATTTCATGCCATGCTTTTTTCCCCTGGATAGGATAAAGATGGAAAGCCACTCCTGCCGAAAGAGTCTAAGGAACAGCTTCCAGTAAGCAAACCAGTTTTCTCTGAGGATATCTTTTCCTTTTGGCCCTGGTTGCAGTGGTGTTCATTGATACGTTTCCTGGTTCTTGCAGCCCATGAGTGAAGACTTCCTTCTGGATGCTTTGTCTGAGGACTTCTCTGGGCCACAAAATGCTTCATCTCTTGTAAGTCTGAAACTCTTGGTTTTCTTTCTTTAGTTTTAGGGTGGCAGGAATAAATGGAAACTGGTGACTTAGAATCAAACTTGGGAACTCAGGAGCAATCATAAAATTAATGGCCCTCAACCCACTGTAGCCATTAAAAGTGTGTTGCACCATGAAATGTTGTCCCAATGCTGTGGATGCTTTTAGCAGTATAACTATTACCAAGTACCAGTACCCCTGTGAAAAGAGAATTGAAATGTGAGTTTATCCAAAATTACTCCTCAGACAAGTTTACCTATTGATATTTCTACAATTTATCATTTCCCAAATTGCCTCCTAAGGGAACTTAGCTCCATGTGGAATATAGAGTCCCTCAAAGGGAACTCTGTTACTAGGAAAGTTTGGACGATGTTATGTAATGTTAAGCAGGTTTCTCTACTGTAGGATATTCATGGCTTTTCATATACAAATACATAGTGAATCTGATAGAGTTCCCAAACTTAATAACTGCAGAACCTTTCCTTGTGGGGTCTGGTTTATCTATTTACTGGGAACTCAGTTTTTGTTTTTGTTTTTTTGTGACAGAGTGTCACTCTGTCACCCAGGCTGGAGTGCAGTGGCACAATCTCAGCTCACTGCAATCTCTGCCTCCCAGGTTCAAGCAATTCTTCTGCTTCAGCCACCTGAGTAGCTGGGATTACAGTTGTGCACCACCACGCCCAGCTAATTTTTGTACTTTTATTCGAGATGGGTTTTCACCATGTTAGTCAGGCTGGTCTCAAACTCCTGATCTCATGATCTGCCCACCTCAGCCTCTCGAAGTGCTGGGATTACAGGCGTGAACCACTGTACCCAGCCAGGAACTCAGTTTTTAAACCACAGAATGTATTGTTGGCAGTCAGTTGGAAAAGAGATTAATGGTTTCTATGACAGTGGCATAGAAAATATATCAGTTGGAGAATAAACAGAATGACAACTGGAAGAAATAATGATTCTTTGGAATTGCTTGAAGTCTTTGCATTTGTTGAATGAAGCAATAAAGTCCCTCAAAGAAGGGCTTTCTAACCAGAGCATGTTCTTCTCTGTACCCCTGTAAAAGCACCATGCTGCTCAGACACCTCATCCCATGACCTTCCCCTCATCCTCTTCCATACAGACCACATCACAGGCAAAGCACTCCAGCCTTGATTTAGAAACCATGAGATACAGGGAAGAATACAATATGAGAAGTATCCCAGGACTGTGGAGAGTCATATCAATACACTGATGCAGAACATATGAACAAATTGTGGGGAACACGATCTCAATTCCCCTTCCTCCTGCTGTCGTTATTACAATAGTTAGGGTTTTTTTTCTTTTAGAAATTCAAAGATTTGGAAAAAGTAACAATGCATATATATGGCCCCCTCAAAGATACGTAGCAGTGAAATGGTGAGATGAAACAACCATTTTAAAAGAATGTCTTACTCTTAAAAAAGTAGCAAAGAAAAACATTAGTGTCAACAATATAGTTAAGGAAGTAGAAATAACTAAAAGAGAACCAAATAATCAAAATAGAATGTTATTTAGGGGAAAGTTCCTAGAACTTTGGGGGAAAAGTATCACATATGGCTCATAATTAATGTTCATATAGAAAAGAGTAACTCCCGTATATACCATGCTCTTTGATCATAATAAAATAGAACATAAATGCTATATAAAAAGAAAAACTTAAAAATATTCCCCCAATAATACTGAAATCACCTTGATAATAGACTATTTTAAAACATCAAAGATATTACACATAAAAATGTTTGAGAGGCAGCTGAAGCAGTGTTCATGTGATACATTTATTGTCATAAATGCCTTCATCAATAATGGAGATAGAGAAAAGGAGAAACCTAACGAACCAAATGTTTATTGAATTTTACACTTAAAATTTCTAAAAGTTATAATAAGGTAACCACCCAAAAGAAAGTAGCAATAAGCATACCAGGAAATGAAAATAGCAGCATGGAAGTTAACTGGCCAATAGTAGTCTCTTTTGAAATAATAAATACTTTATAAAATACGAGCAAAGGCAAAAGAAGAAAACAATCTTCCAAAAAATAAAATTAAATTTTAAGAGTAATACAATAATATATGAGATCAACTCAATTATTAATAGTTTAAAGCCAATAGTCAGCTAGTTTTTATGAATTTTTAACATTTACAAAACACTGGTAAATATATTAGAGAAAATAATCTTACTAACTAAATTTAACATAAATTTGAGAAAATGCAATAATCAGTACAAGACCACAACTAAATTATTAGGAAACACTACGTACAACAATTTTCTAAGATTAAACAAAAATATAAAACTACATAATTCACAAAAAAAAACTACATAAAAAAAGAAAAAAAAAGACTGAAGAAAAGATTGCATTGGTTCTCACTCTCCTTCTCCTGAAGGTTTAAAGATGCCTCCTTTAACTGTTGAACACTCAGTTCTTATGTGGAATAAATATGTCATGAAAAAGATGGGTCACATAGTTGCATCTCTGAGTAATTATGGTACTAATCTTAAAACCTGACAAATAGTGTCAGCTAAAGTTACTTAAACCTGTAGATGTAGAAATTACATACAACATAAATAAAACATAACAAATGTTTAAGAAACTACTTGCCATTATCATAAATATTGATTCAGTAACAGGAAAATTGTCAATATATTGTAGTGGTATATCAAATAGAAACAAATTATTATGTCCATGTAAAATATATTAAATTTTACATACATTCATATTATAAATAAAAACTTTTAAAAAGTAGACAATCCCTTAATGTGTTAAAGAGGCTTTAGTTTTTAGAATCAAATATTCAATATCATGCTGGAGGCATTTTCCTTAAAAGCAAAAACTGAAAAGTTTATTGTCATTTCCGTTTATTATCGTATGGACGAATCATTACCAACACATGAAAAAGAAATGACAAACATTAAAAGGGAACATTTGAATATATTTGCGGATAGCACTGCTTGTAGATAATACATTTGCAAGTAACATTATGCCATGTATATTAGTAACAAGAGATGAGAAAATGTAATTAATATGAAATCAGATTTATGTAAACTACAAAGGAGAAATGATTAGAAAAATAGCCAGGTGCAGTGGCTCACGCCTGTAATCCCAGCACTTTGGGAGGCCGAGGCGGGTGGATCATGAGGTCAGGAGATCGAGACCATCCTGGCCAACATGGGTAAACCCCATCTCTACTAAAATAAAAAAAATTAGCTGGGCATGGTGGCGCGTGCCTGTAGTCACAGCTACTTGAGGCTGAGGCAGGAGAACTGCTTGAACCCAGGAGGCAAGATGCATTGAGCCGAGATAGTGCCACTGCACTCCAGGCACTGCACTCTGCCTAGTGACAGAGCCAGACTGTCTCAAAAAAAAGTCAAATTCTGGCAAGCAAGACCATGGGAAAACAGGCATGCTTATTCATTGCTTTTCGCAGTATGAATTCCTAGCAACATTTGAGAGGTCAGTTTGGCAGAATATAGCCAGTACCATAAAAAGACCCACTTCTAGAACTTATTCAGAGCAGTTTTAAAAGAGCTGAAAACTTTGAATAACTTAAGCGTACAACAGGAAATGTGTAAACAAACGATAGAACTCTTAAGTTATTATATGATTGCACAGTATTTAGAATAATAAATATGAGAAGAAAATAGAAACAGGATATTGCATAAAATAATGTGATAGAGAAGAAAGAGAATTTAAATTGCTTTTAAAATTATATGTTATTGGCTGGGTGTGGTGGCTCATGCCTGTAATCTCAGCACTTTGGGAGGCCAAGGCAGGTAGATCACAAGGTCAGGAGTTCAAGACCAGCCTGGCCAAGATTGTGAAACACTATTTCTACTAAAAATACAAAAATTAGCTGGGCATGATGGCCGGCACCTGTAATCCCAGCTACTCAGGACACTGAGGCAGAGAATTGCTTCAACCCAGGAGGTGGAGTTTGCAGCGAGCTGAGATCGTGCCACTGCACTCCAGCCTCGTGACAGAGCAAGACTTCACCTCAAAAATAATAATAATTTTATGTTATTATGAATTTGTTTGGATCAAGAGAATAAACAGTCATTAAGCTATCTTTAAGAGCTATTGTTAAGTGATGGCATAATTTTTTATATAACATGTTACTAATAAAATGTTTTCAATAAAAGAAATTTGAAGATTCTAAACTTGCTGCTGCCATCTCTGAAGTGGTTTCCCAAACCCCAGCTTCAACAACCCACTCTGGAGCCCCACCCCGTGATACTTCGGTAAGCAGTACATCTTATTTGGGAGATAAATATTTGTTTTTGCAGTAGCCACAGCTAGAAAGAAAGTAGGGCACCTGTTTAAAGCAAATGAAAATAGGCGGAATTATTAGGAAGATCAGGCACCTTCTATTTCAGAAGAGCCGAAACTGATAATTTAGGGAGATGGCAGAGAGTAACTTTGAAATGATTAAATGAAAAAAATATATGTGAAAAATACTATACACGTAGTCAAGGACCTTAATACTATTGTCGCCTTATGAAAATGCAAAGTGTAATAAGGTGCATTGTGTCTATATTCAAATTACTAGATTTGAAAAGTTCTTTAGCTTTCCTGATAATTGATTTTCTCCTATACATTTTTCCTTATACATGCTGTAATTTACTACCCTATATTTAACCTCAGGTTTATTTTATGGAATTGTTGTGTTTGAGCTTCTCTAAACAAACAAAAATTTTACAAACATGTCATGGAATAGCACTGTTTTCTTCCCAATTCATACCAGTAAAAATTTGTCACTTTCATACTACCAGTGGAAGAACCTCAGCATCAATATTGTTTTAATTATTTACATGCTCTGAGGCATGGCTGTGGGACCAAAGCTTTTCCAGACTTCCTTGATTAATTACCTCTGTGCAATACCAAATTATACGTTATTGAGGAGACCACAGCACATCAAATTATAAAGGGATTGCCCTAAACCAGATCGCCATCTCCTTTGGTTGAGAAAAGTGCCTCATTTGCTAGATGGAGATGAAGTAGCTTTAGTGAAGTCAGCTATGCTTCCATTCCTTTTGATGTAGCATCAAAGCATATTTAGTGCTGTAGTCTGAGATTCTGATGGATTTTCCTCCTGTTGGATCAGCTTCAGGAACATCTGAAAATATCCAGAGGCACAAATGACAAAGCCCAGACCTGACCCCGGGCAGCTCTACCATTAGCAGCTATAATCCTAGGTTATAATAAACTACTTAAAACCAGTAAAATGCCGTGTGTGTGTGTGTGTGTGTGTGTGTGTGTGTGTGTAAACATACCTAGTCCCCATGCAAAAAAAAGGAAGAATCCTTAAATCTAGGCTGCTGTTTATACTTCAGTTCTTAATATTTGGGCCAGAGATTCTTCCCTGATGAAATAATAAATATTTGCAATCAAAAACTTTTTTGCCTTTAAGAAGTAGATTTTAAAATGACACTTCTCTCATCACATTTCCCATCAGAGTCTTGTTTTTAGTTAAGATTTTATTTGAAGATGTCACTAAAACAAGGTTATAAAGCTTTATTTAGATAAAAATATTGGGCAATCAGAGTCAAATAAGCCATGATAATTCACAGGAGTTTCCTTTGCTGAGATTATTAGATTGTCACTGGCAAAGTTACATACACAGAAAGCATTTGAAAACATATTTTCAGAGATCTGTGTAATAAAATCACTCCAACAGGAAAAACTGCTTCAGAGGAAATAGAAGATCATGGATGTAGCTAAGCGTGACAGGGAAAAGCTTTATCAGTCCCAAGACCTGAGTTCTATTCACTTTTTAACAATTTGTTTTCAAGCAACTGACTTAACTTCCCTGAACTTTTTACCTCCAAAAAAAGAGTTTTTTACCTCTTAGTTCACTGAGCTCCTGCTTGGATCATGTATATGAAAACACTTTGAAAATCAGCTGGAAAGTTCTATATAGTATTGGACAGAGTTCAGCATGCTGTCTTATACAGTGTAGATGTTAAACACATTTTTAATTGATTTCATTTAGAGGCGATGTGTTGAAAAATGTTTTGAAAAAAACTTCTTAGGATTTTGCTGTAATAATACTAATAATAATTTACCATTTGTTGGGTCCTAACATACAAGTACTATGTTAAATGCCTTTTCAATCATTTGCTTTTCTCAGCAATGTAGGAGTATAGGTACTACTATTATTCACATTTCACAGCCAAGGAAACTGAGGCTCAAAGGGGTTAAATAAGCTGCCTGAATAATACAGTAAATAAATGTTAGAGGAAATAAGCCACCTTAGTTACAACATTCATTGTTATTCCAGTGGCCACATTTTTTTTCCTCTAGAATACCAGCTTCCATTTCTGCAATTTAGCTTCCATGAACTTCCTGAAACTGAAAAGAGAGATTTCCCCACCAGTTTAGAAATTCTCAGAAGTCTTTCAGGCCACTCATCACCAGTGTGGCAAAGAAGCCCCTTCTACTCTCCTGACCCCAGATCGTCTCTGGGGTTTTGTGTTCTAGGAAGTATATAAGCTCCATGGCTTCCCATAAACTGCGGGTCATGCTGCACTTTATGAAATGCACCCTCAAGATCTTAGAGTCTTATAGTGGACCCACAAAACCAAAGAAACACTCACCCTCTATTGCAGAATCCTGCTCCTTAACCATCTGACAACATCAGTGGATATTGTTTTCATATCCAGTTTTCTAATGGTGTTTAATTTCTAAATGAAAGGCACACATGATTAGTTCATTTGCTTTTGGACCCTTTATATGACCTCCAGGCCACCCACTGGGTGTGTCTCTTGATGCTGCCACTAAGACCTCCTTAACCTGGTGGGACATTCGCCAAGAGATGGGCAGGGTGGATGGAAAGTGTTGGACCTCCAACTCCAATAGGTTGACAGATGCTGCTGCTCTTCTCCTGACTTTCCATTCCCAGCCTTCTCTTCTCTGACCCTGTCTACTCCCCTGCCCCACCCCCAGATGTCTTTTTCTTCTGAGGAACAGGTTGCCTCCTGAGAAGATGGGGTTTCTGGGCTAATTTGCCTCTGACATAGATTGGCTAACGAGTGACTAATTCAGTATTATTTACTTTTTAGCAGAGTGACAAAGACCTCAATGATGCCTTGGATAAACTCTCTGATAGTCTAGGACAAAGGCAGCCTGACCCAGATGAGAACAAACCAATGGAGGATAAAGTAAAGGTAAAAAAAATAATTCACTAATTGAAATTTTAGTCCTTGGGTCTTGACTCTATCATTGTCATAGGAATATTGATATGAACTTAACCTATATTTAAAAAATGAAATTATAATGATACAGAAAAATCAATCTGTACTCCACTGGAGGGGAAGGTCACTGAATCTGTGACAAAGAGACCAGCAGAGCCTCCTGAAGGAGATTCTGGGAGGTAGGTGTGGCTTATGCATGGCTTCCTCCCATGCAACACAGGCAGTCAGCACATCCATTCAAATTAGCTATTGTCCCAGGGTTGCTTATAAATAGGCAAAGTTGTAAATATGACCTCCTTAAATGGTAAGGTACAGTGGCCTGATTTTTTTTTTAGGAAAGTAAAACCATACAGGAAAAAAAGAAAAAGATATTTTATACCTTTGGGTTCTAATCTTCTAACATGGTTTCTGAGGATAATTATTTAATCATGTATTTCAATTTAAAATATAGCTAGAAAATTCACAGATGTGAATTGACATATAGAAGCATATGGGTTTATGTATTTTAGCCAACTAGCAGTCTGTTGAAGTCATCTATGTTGTTCTGTTGCTTAAAAAATAAAAACAGACCATATGTTTTGTCTCATAAAAGTATAACAAATACTGAATGCTACATTTGACAATGTATTTTCTAAATGAAACAGGAAATGAATATTAATTATATCTGCTCACTGTTTATATAGGAAAAAGCCAAAGCTGAACATAGAGACAAGCTTGGAGAAAGAGATGACACTATCCCACCTGAATACAGACATCTCCTGGATGATAATGGACAGGTAAACTGAGGCAAACTGCTAGATCGGATTTATGCTACAAAGATCTTTACATTCAAACCTCCCTTGAAATAAATAGTAGCTGCACTCTTTTACAATAGCATAAAAACTTATCATAACTCACTGCTTTTCATGTGTCATTGAAGCTGACCAGCAGGTACATATTTATTTGATCCAATATCATTGTACATGCATATGCTAGGCTCTGTGGTATAAACAGGGTTGAATACCGTTCAGTCATTTACTGATGCTTAAGATTGATCCAAGAAATGTGATTCTCTTTTTCAAGAAAAGCTATAAAAATGACTAAGGTGATAGGATTTCAAAGGAAGTAATCTCTGTTTAAGGAGAGCAGAAGAGGGGCTGGTGTTGGGATAATCAATAGTGAAATCAATAAGGCAACTGCAAGACCTGGGATCTCCCTTTCTTCTTCTACATCACCACCAGCACTATTGAAAGTGAATACAGGCAAAGCAATACTCTCAATCACAAATTCTGTTTCTCTACTAAAAAGTCCCTGGCCTTCTGTCTTCCACATGGTAGAGGCTAGTCTTTTGTAGGTCAACCAGGACTGTTTCATGCCTCTCTCTTATTTGGTTTCTACTTTTTAGTCAATTAGATAAAAAATTACCCTTTCCATGCCTGTTCATCAAATAAACAACAAGGAAGAGCACATTATACCCTTCTCTTTCTGTACTGATTCATTTTGGTGCGTAAGATGACTCCTGATTTAAATAGCACTGTCAGCCTCAGGGTGTCCCATTATAGGAACCAATTCTCCTTGCGTGCATTCAGTATTCCTCAAGACAGCAATTCCACATCCTACTAGAGCCCTTGCCACTTTGATAGTACCAACTCACCCTGCTTGCATCCTTTGGGAAATTTATTATTCAAGGCCCTTGCTTCTGACTATGGGAAAGATCCCTGATGACTTTCTAAGTGTAATAAGCTATAGTAAATAAGATATAAAAACACAGGTAATGTTTTATAACACTTACCATTATTATTATAATGATAATCCATAATGGCAGAAGGTTCACAAATAGCGTTTCTTTCACTTCCAGGACCAGACTCTTTCATACGTTTCTCCCAAGTCTATAGAAATGATTTTAAAGAATAGAAACTAAGCAAAGCTGGTGAATAAATAGTAGGGACCCAGGTTTATTAGTTATCGCAAGTCTACACTCCATTTTATCCAAGTCAAGTCACTGGATAATAGATTCTCTGAATACCGCCTAACCCTAAGTAAACCTTTACAAAGATCTATGCTTAACCAATAGTCTGCCTTATTTTTAAGGACAAACCAGTGAAGCCACCTACAAAGAAATCAGAGGAATCAAAGGTAAAGACCGTAGGAACATATTTCCATTACATTTTGTTTTATTCTAGCCATAGGGTTATTCAGCATTTTAAAAAACTAGAACATATTGAATGCCTACTCTGCGCCTGGTACTTTGTCAAAACATGCATATACATGTGTGTGTCTATTGTTTACCTCTCAGTCTTCACAAAAGTCCTTTAAGATAGAAAACTGACGCTCAGAGAATACTGTGTGTGCATTAAAGAATAGAGGAAAATAAAACCGTCAAGATTTTATTTTTCTCTCTCCTTTACAGTACATTATTGTTAGTAAAGAATGTCAGCAAATTTTTTTCTTACAGAAACATCTTTTATTTGTAAGTGATGTGGGAAAATACACCATATTGCATTTTGCTTCTTCACTGATGGTTATTTCTACTCATCTCAGAAGTCTGCAGATGACCAAGACCCCATTGATGCTCTCTCAGGAGATCTGGACAGCTGTCCCTCCACTACAGAAACCTCACAGAACACAGCAAAGGTACTGTGCTTTTTCACATAGACTTTCTTTGAAATGTATGTGTGCGTATGTGTACATATATATAATTTTTATTTATTGATTGGTCTGTCCTGTAACAGGGTCTTACTCTGTAGCCCAGACTGGAGTGCAGTGGTTATAATCTCAGCTCACTGCAGTCTCTGCTTCCCAGGCTCATGCAATCCTCCCACCTCAGCTTCCTGAGTAGCTGGGACTACAGGCGTGCACCACCATGCCCAGCTAATTTTTGTATCTTTTGTAGAGATAGGGTTTCACCATGTTGCCAGGCTGGTCTCAAGCTCCTGGGCTCAAGTGATCCGCCAACCTCTGCCTCCCAAAGTGCTGGGATTACAGGCTTGAGCCACTGCACCTGGCCCTTATCATTTTTCAACTGTAGAATGAATCAAACGATGCCATAGAAAACCTTAAAATGAAAAGAAAAAATATCTATAATTCCACTGCCCCCACCAAACACTATTCTTTTATGGATTTCCTTTTTTTCCATATGTATGTTTTATATAATTACAGTCCACTTATGAAACATTGTGTAACATTATTTCTTAAATGTTACTTTGTAATTTCCATAGCCACCATTTTTTATCTTCACACTATTTGGTTGTGCAACAATAATGCTACGTCTGTATTCGTTTAAAGTGAGAGCAGGCCCTAACTACAGCAGGCATTCTCATGCTCTTTTGCTCTCTGGAACTTCCTCCCCTTTTCTGTCTGCTCAGCACAACTAGCGACTCTTCATTCCTCAGTGCACAGCTCAAGCACCAGCTCCTTAAGGGAAGACTTGCTCTCTGGTTACCTGTCTGTGCTTGTGTATCACACCTCTGAGCTGTGCATTTTATACATTAGTGATGTGTCTTTTACCTTAGTGCTTCTCAGACAGCAAAATGCCTGGCACTTAGCAGGTGCTCAAAACGTGATTAAAAGTGAATGAGAAATGACTGTGTAATTAAACAAGTGTGGGGCATTTTCCCTCAAGCTATACCCTCTTGTAAACCAAATAGAAGGAAAAGTGAAATGAATACCTCCTGTTGTTTTCGGAAGAGTTAATTCTGTAGATCTCAGCTTGCTGTTGCTTTGGCTGTTGGAAGGCACTGCTCTTGATCACTGAATTGTCAGTCCTTCCATATTGGTAGTTTAATTTCTAGACCACCTTAGCATCCTATCTGTCACCCCTGGTAACTTGTAATTAATGCCCTTTTGGTGAATGGACTTTATTTTCATGTAACTTACTCCAGCTTTCTCTGGTTGTTTCCATTGTTAAATTTCTCCACCATAACACTGAAAACAGGGTTGTTTTTTCCCTTTTGGCACACAAAAGCCAGACCTGATAGAGACAAACTCTATTTTGTTTTCTAAATTATATTGTGTATATTTCAGGTTTAAAACATGGTATTTTGGGATGAAATACCAGTATTTACTAGAAATAGTAAAATGGTTACTGTAGGGAAGCAGATGTACATATCTATAACCTCACACACTTACTTTCTATGACAAAAGCAGGTAAAGTTTACTTATTTAACAAAAATCCCTAACACAATTTTATCCTTAGTCCTCTTGTTGCTTTTCTCTACACCCTTGCCAGCATTTATCATCTCATTCACAAGTTCTGTTTTGATTAGCAAAATAAGGTCTGGGTGAATAATGCACCACGAGAATTGGCAGAGCATCAGTGTGACCCACATTTCTCTCCTTATTTCTATCCTGTTTCCTTCCTGCTTTAAACAATTCTCTGACACTCACCATTGTTCAAAAAATCATGACAAAAACATGCAGAGCCTTCCATTATTTAATTAAATTGGAGAATAGTCTGGATTAATTTAACTGCAGCCTAGCTAATTGCTATATGGATTGATGATAGCCATAGCCTCATTACATTTCCTTTGCTTTAGGATAAGCGCAAGAAGACTGCTTCCAGCTCCAAAGCATCTAAGAATGGAGGTAAAGCGAAGGATTCAGCAAAGGTAAATGGAGCAGTAAATATACTACAAATTAGTTTAGCAGTTTCACAGAGTGGGGTTTATCACTTCAGTCATTTAGTTTCTTACTGGAATCTATTTAGAATAAAGGATTTCTTAAAGTACTCTCTATCCCATAGTATGTCTTGTTAAAGTAATTGACTTTGTATAGATATATTTTTTTTTAAAGTAACAGGTGCTTTAAAATTCTAAATGAATGTTCTTGACACAACTCAATTTGCCTGTGTTTCCTGCCCTAATTAAAATACTACCAGAGTATGTGATGTATATAGATTTTAGAACATGGAAGTTGGAAACTTCCTATTATTAAAACTACTCAAGCTGTGATCAGAAATGAAAATTGGATTAGACAACTTCTACGTCCCTTCTAATTCCAAGAACATGTAATTCAAATGATTACTACTATGATCCCCTGGCTATAATGAGGAGTGACTCCAGTTACATCAATGCTTTTAAAACAATATATTAAAATCTTCCTATAATAGATTCCCTTAAGGGACATAAGAAACAGCATTAATAATTAAAAGTTATGCCATTATATCTCAGAATAAATACTTACTCGCCAATTATTTAATTTCAGTTGTACAAAGTACTTGATCAGCCCTTTAACAAATAATAGAAAGCATAATAACTCTATATGATGAGTGGATTTGCTGGACAGCTGTGACCTTATGTACAGGAAAAGGATCACCATAGAATGAAACATTGCCGATCAAGAATACCTATGCATATTTTATAACCTACTGTAGCCTTAAAAAAAAATAAAGCCAGGAGCCATAAATTTAGGATCAGCATCACTTAACATTATTTTTAGCTTATAAACTTAGGGAGGAAGAACTCACAATGTTTTAGACAAATGAAGAAGAGAAACTGAAAGGACCATCTTATTTTTCCCCACTGACTGCTATATTTTGTCCCCTAATTCTGAAAAGGCCATCTTATCATAATACAGAAAGAAAAGAACTCATGGATGGTTTTGCTTTCCCTTTTAGACAACAGAGGAAGCTTCCAAGCCAAAAGATGATGAAAAACATACAAGTTAAGGTTTAAACTGTCTGGTAAGTTGGGTGTTTATTGTAAATGAAGACAACTGTACCTTCTACCAGTTTCTGTGTTATGGATAAGAAAAATGAAGTCCACCTCGAGTAATTCATGTTCTCTTTATACTATTGGCATGAAATGCATACTGCAAGATCTGCAGAGTAATCAGTCATTCTCCAAAACCGCTAAATGGGATGAGTGTGCTACTGAAATGTTTAAAAATTTTAACCTTATAATTAAAAGCTTTTTAAAATATTAGGCCAGGCACTTAAAGAAAATGACCATCTGAGGCTAGTTGAATCTTTGAAATCCAAATGCTTATTACTGCAGATTATTGTGGCAAAGGAAAATTAGCATGTTACAACTTAGTGAAATGTCCTTAAGATATTGATATTCCCCAAAATACCAATACATGGTGGGGTGGGGAGAAGCTCTTTAGAGTCTGGTGAAAATTACAGGGTTTTGGGAACAAGGACAAAGGAAAAGATTAGCCACTTTTATTTGTATTTATTTTAGAAAGTAAAGTACTGTGTTTGATTATAATTTATGGTAACTGAAGAAATTGAACAGATGAAGGAATTTTTGAGACCTTCGGAGCTTGGCCCTTATCTTAATCTTCAGAAAGGGGAGGACGTACTGTAAGCCTTAAAAGCATACAAGCACTTACTGACCAAAGCCTAAAAGAAATCAAAACGTAGGTTAAATTGGGTTCAGCTCTCTCACCATGATCAATTTTTCACATAAAGAAGGAGCTATATTAATTAGAACTGCTCTAACAGTTTTCCTGAAATTAAAAAAATTCTCTTAATAATCCACTTTCATGTTGACTTACAGGAAATTCCTTATCTATTATACAATGCTGCTGCTAAGTGGTATATTTACTATGCTTCTAACAAGGAAATTACATACTAAATGATTCACTTCATTTTTTATTTGAAATTTTCAAGGTATCTGCATATAAAATCTTCAGCTGGTGGATGGTGACTTTTGAAGAACAGAAGGCTTTGGCAACAGAAAACAATTGTTCTGGGTAATTTGCTGAGTCTTTGAACATCCTAAATATTGGTTTGTTAATCTTTTCCAGAAAGAAAATGAATTTGACTGGTTCACCTGTGTTATTGTACTGAGTACTGATAAACTTTGAATTTTTTTAATTGCCTTCAATTGGGAGAGAAAGAAAGCTTTATATTTGTAAGAAATATATTTGATAAAGTTTCTTAAAGCAACACCAAAAAAAAAAAAAGCTAAGCAAACTTTTGCACATTCTACACACAGTGCCTGTAAGTCTCATTTGTATTTTCAGTTTGCACTTAAATTTTTTTGTTAGTGTTTGGAAAACAAAGCTTTAAATATTCTTCGGTGTTCTGATTTCTTTTTACCCCCTTTCTTCTTGGGCTTTTGAACTGTATTTGATGTTGCTTTGGGATTATGTTTATAAAACATAAGATATTGTATATTGGCACATATCTCCTCTTGGGCTGCTAATAATAAATTAATAATAGGTAACCTGGACAATCCAGGGAGCACCAAACCCCTTTTCAGCTTGAACTCTTCTTTGCCAGGTGTGAGGACTCTGTACCTTACAGTCAGCACAAAACACACTGAGACTTGAATCAAGTCAGCAACAGAGCAGAATAAAGGTTAGATAAGTCCCTGTGTAGCAAGTTCTGAGCATAAGAAATAAAATCTAATTCTTAGGGTACTCATTTGATTTGAACTTGGTGGTTTACGGTGTTAGTAAACTGTGCTTTCTATTATCTATACAGAAAACTCACGTAGCAACTGTGTGCTTAGAGCTATTGCCACATTAGTCCTTGCACTGTATCGCATCTGGCTTTACGGAACTTAAGTTTACCTATACAAAAAGAAACTTCTGCTTTAAAAAAATTATATATATATGAAATTTTAAATCTGCTTTTCTCCCACAGCAATTTAAGAAATAGGCTCTGATGTCCTAGAACTTTGAATGGTTTCTGAATGAAAAGCTCCTGAACATTGCACTGATATCATTGATTAGAATTTTGGTATTTTATTTCATCTTTATTTCCCAGTAGTGAATGCAAGAAAAGATGTCAGGTACATAACACAAAACAGATTGGGAATTTCTTGTTTCCAAAGGGCATGGCATTCCTTAGCATCAGATTGCAGCTTTTGTTATAGCTTAGCTGACTTGTGGTAGCAGAGCAAGCAAAAACAATAACATAGCTTAGGAATGGGCACCACATCTTGTTAACCTCCCCCACAAATACTCCCTGAAAGTCACGCTCATACCTATGGGATTTCACACTCCACCAGCTTAAAATGCTATGTCTCTGCCCATCAGAATTAGTCACTATTCTATTTTTAAGGCAACAACAAGAAAATAAAAAATACTTTTCCTGAGGGATTTCTAACTTTGTATCTAATCCTCCCATTTGGACAGTATAGGGGTTTGCTTTTTTGTTGTCGTTAAAAAAGACCTCGAAACCTTTGACACTGACAGATGAGTTTGCAAGGTATAGCTGCATTATGACTAATTTCCATGTGGATCTAGAAGTATTTTTAAATGGGATACCAAAATCTAGAAGTTTAAAGATGCCTATTATAGTAAACATTTATTTAAGGTACTCTGAATATGCCTTCTTTTTAATGAGAAATATCAAGACTTGTGTGTTTGTTAATAACTAACTGGAGTAAGCTACAGGATCTAAAGCAGCCCTTTTTACAATCAGTTAGGAGAAAATAATTGCAAATATCCACTTAGAGGCAAAGAACAATTTTTATTACCAAAAAGGTTTCTGCACATTGTTGTGGCAATATTGTATCTGTTTAGAAAATGAGCTTTTCCAAAAGCAAATGAAGTTCCTCAGGTGACCAGAACTGAAAATCAGTATTTCCATGTTTCATTAATCAAGACATAAAATACAATTAAAGCAAAATAGTTTACATTAAAATCTTGGTTGTGTATTTTTTTAAGGGAAATAGCATGGGGTAGAATTTACCAGTAATTTCTGTTTTTATTAAACTATTCACCACAACAAATATGTATAAAAATTCCAATTCCATTTTTATACCTATTTGTTGTGGTGAATGGTTTAATAAATTGGAGATTGATGTCCAGAAGTCACTCTGTTCCATCGTGTATTAGAGGAACACATTTTGACATTTTTCATATCAATCATACTCCTTTGTCTTGAAATTTTTGACCTTTGAAAAGTTCAGTTTGAACTCTTCTTTGCCAGGTGTGAAGACTTCCGCACCTTATAGTTAGCGCGAAATACACTGTGACGTTAATCCAGTCAGCGACAAAGCACAATGCAGGTTAGATAAGTCCCTGTGTAGCAAGTTTCGAGAATAAGAAGCAAAATCTAATTCTTAGGGCATTGTCTGACTTGAACTCCGTTGGTTTACCATATTAGTAAACTGTGCTTTCTATTATCTTACATAAAACCCGAGCAGCAACTGTTTGTAAAGTCTTCACAAAAGACTTCAAAGCCAAAGAGTGTCCTCAGGCTAATAGGAACAAATATTTTGTTTCACAATGTAGTATCATTTATTGGTGACTCTGTGATAATTTACTGTCAGTAAATGCCAATAACTAGTTACTTAGAAATTGTGAACTAGGCCAAATAAGAAGCAGAGAGAGAGGAAAATCACCTCCCTAAAAGGATTTTCCTACAGGCTTGAATATGCTCTGCCTTTTCAGAAGAGATACTACATCAGTCAGGGGAATAGATGACACCCAGAATTATGAGGAACGTTCTATAAAAATATTTTTTACTAAGTTTGCCAGCACTAGTCCCGCCAGGACTAGTAAAAGCCAGGCTCCCAGTGAGGCCCCTAATCCTGAAGGGATGAGGAGGGAGCAGTTGCCAAAATCCAGAGGTGGAGAAGGCTGTGTGGAAATGAGGGTCCCGTCTCAGGAGTAAAGACCCTCAGGGGAGGCCAGCCCAAGGCATCCGTAGGGGAATCAGCGAGGAGCACCTCTACCTACTCCCTCCCCCAACCCCAGCCCCAGCTCTCCGACTCCCCATTGACCAACATCCAAAGGGCAAGAAAGCTTGATGACTTGGCCTCCTGGGCATGGAGCAAGGAAGAGAAGGGTGGGCAGGGGGTCTGGCAGGGTCCATGGGGAGAGCTTTAACCCAGCCATCATCTGGCTTAGTCTCGGATCCAGGTGTTCATTGTTCAGTAGTCGACTATTCAGAGTCTTTCGAGGAGACTGATGAAAGTTTATGAGTGACAAGCATGGGGCACAGGGTTTTGGACACTGAGAGGTTTAAACATAAAATATAAAATGAGAAGAATATGGTACTTATTTCTCTGTGGCAGGGAACTCACCACTTGGGTTTACATTGCAGGGCAACACCTGTGATGAATGAAACACATGGTAGCGATAGCCCATTCATGAAAAACTAACAGCCAATCTTTTCACAGAAATAGTCAAAAAATGAGTAGGGGGGAGCCAAAACAGCCATCTCTAGTTTGAAAATACACTCAACAAAATGTTGGTGATTAAAGATAGCAGGAATCTGGCAGGGGAGAATTGTTGGTTTTGGGTTTTTTTTTTTTTTTTCTGAGATGGAGTCTTGCTCTGTTGCCCAGGCTAGAGTGCAGTGGGGCAACCTCAGCTCACTGTAACCTCCACCTCCAGGGTTCAAGCAATTCTCTGCTTCAGCCTCCTCAGTAGCTGTGATTACAGGCACCCACCACCACGCCTGGCTAATTTTTGTATTTTTAGTAGAGACAGGGCTTTAGCATCTTGGCTAATTTTTGTATTTTTAGTAGAGACAGGATTTTACCATCTTGGCTAATTTTTGTATTTTTAGGAGAGAAAGGGGTTTTACCATCTTGGCCAGGCTGGTCTTGAACTCCTGACTTTGTGATCCACCCACCTTGGCCTCCCAAAGTACTGACATTACAGGCATGAACCACTGCACCTGGCCAAAGGAGGAATTCTTACAGAAATTCTAGCTTTTCACTCTGCAGCCATACTCTGATTTTATCAAAATTCTTATCCATCCAACGGATATTTTCTTCAATGGTTTCAATTGTCTGTTGGACACAACGGAGCTGAGAACCGTTTTCTTTCAAAGAGCTGAAGAATCCTTTTACCTTGTGAGGAAAAAGTGGGTTTTAAAAATTAATTTTATTACATTAACCAGATGTAACTTTAGTTAAAAGAAAACTCAAGCCAAAATTACAGCATTTGTCAAAATACCATATAGAAGGCAGTCCCAGGTGTCTGAATAGGATTATGTACACATAAGCTATATGAAATGAGCTCATGTCTCAGGATGTCAAGTTTTGTGTTTTTTCTCTGCAGTTCTTTTGTTTATTCACAGTTGTCAGACTTTAAAAGACTTCACTGTTTACCATTTTATAATTAAGGTTTAATTGAGTGTGTCTATTTAATGTGTATTCTGTTCTCTACTCAGATGCAAACTTCATTTTTAAAAAACATGATACCTAAAAAGCAGAATGTGCAGTCTCTTCTTTGCCAAGCAAAACAGTTTCCACCACATAAGTGCCATCTCTCTCCGTGGACCTGGCGTTTTATGTTATTAGAGAAACACTGTGGGGAATGGGATTCTTAGCAAGTTATGGCGGTAAGACCCAAACCTTGCCAATTTTTTTTTATCCTAATCCACAATTCATGTATTGTTCTCTCAAGATAAAATCCATATAAAGTTCCCCATAATTTTAAAGAGATAAGAAACTCTTGCTTATCTCCTGAAAAATATCTTTGTTCTTGTTTCATCTCCAGGTATCTTAACCCCCTGAGCTCACATGACAGATAGGCTGGCTTTGCCACAGGATTGACCATTGTGCAATTCTGTTTCACCTGAAAGGGTTCTTACCCTTTCCTCATAAATTTTCACAGCATTAGTCTGTCAATTTTTGATTCAGTATTCAGGAAGCAAATGTGGGCCAAGATGTATTATTTATTCAGCATAGATTCCAGACAGCCAATTCCTTAAAAATCCATGTCATAATACCATATGATTAGTTTGGGAATAAGGAGGGAAGTAGGAATGGGCTTTAGGAAGATCAGATTTCCATTTTAAATGATGCAAGTTGATTTAAAATTATATGTCAATATGGTACAACTCTTCAATGAGCCAAAGGCCTGGGCTCCTGCTGAGCAACCTAGAAAATACTTCTTCACTTTCTATATTAAGTTGTAGCTCAACCTGTTTCATCCTCTCAGAACTCAAGACTAATTCACAGCTAATTAAAAACCACTTTGAGCACTATTCAACAGTCAAAGCACATCAATAATTTCACTGATTGCTCAAATGATTAACCCTGAAGGAGCCCATCATGATAGCTCCACTAAAAACAGACCTTCTATAAAAGTGAAGCCAGCTATTAGCCATTACTCTTACCCTTATCTGACCCAAAATCATCTTTTCTGTCTTCACCTGCCTTGGAAATGCAACATCTCAGCTGAATCTTTGATTCAAACTTGGCTCCTGAAGAAAAATTTCTGTGCAATAAGTAACACAACACAGGGATAGGAAAACAGGTTTATTCTACTAACTTGATTGAGCAAATGATTTAAGTTCTATGGAACCCAGTGTCCTCATTTGTAAAATGGGGGAGAGTATCTATACTGAAGAGCAGTGGTGAGAATGTAGTTATATAATGCAGGTAAAGTGCAGCACCCCAAACCCAGCATGTATCAGGGACTTAACCTCATCCATTTGTTCACCACTATTTACCCTGGTATTTATTCATCCCTCTGTTGTAATTACTGTGCTAGACGCTGAGGATGCAGCAGTGAATCAGGCAAGCACCCTCCCCTCATGGAGCTTACAGTCTTTTGGGGGATACAAGCAGTAAATACGATTATTGTAATAACCTCTATGAAGAAAATATGCGAGGGGTATGATAGTAACTGGGGAGATGTGGCCTGCATTGAACAGCATGGTTTTGGGGAAGGTGATTTGAGCCAATACCTCTCAGAGATAAAATTCCCCTTTCTAGTAAAAAGTTGGGGAAAGGGCAAGCCAGGCAGAGAGAAGAAAAAGCACAGAGGCATAAAGACAGGAGAAACACATGGTAGCTCAGGAGCAGGAGGAAGCTGAGTGGCTGTAGTGTTGTGAGAGAACCAGGAGAGTCAGTGGAACTGGCATCAGAGAGGTCCTCAGAAGCCAGCCATCAAGGTCGTGGACACATGGGAAGGAGGGATTTGGAATTTACTGCAAGAACAATAGGCAGGATTTTAAGATGCCAGGGTCAGTCATGGGCTGACTTGCAGTCTTAAATGTGGAAAATGTTCTGCTATTGGCACAGTGGCAAGGAGGAGGCCAGTTAGGACACTCTTGCAATAAGCAAGGCAAGAGATGAGAAAGGCTTGGGCAAAGAGAAGTGCACAGATCCAGTGCATGTGCTGAGGGAGAACCAGCAGGACTTGCATAATTAGATGTGTGGGGAAGGAAGGACTCAGGCTGACTCCTATATTTCATATGTCAGTAGTTTGCCCTCCATTATGACATCTTGGGCTCTTTAGTTTTCATGCCCTGCTTCAGGGTCTTTGCACCTGATGTTTCCTCTGCCCACAATACTTCTCTAGATGTTGACATTTCCTTCAATATATTCTTAAATGTCTCCTAGTCATCTATAAAACAGCACCAACCCTCTACCCCAATCACTTCTTTGCCTTATTCATCTTCAGAGCATGTAACTACTTGACATCTGTTGATTTGTCTGTAATTATCTGATTCCCACAGCAGAAATTTCAGCTCTGTGACAGCAAGGGTTTTGTCTATTCATTGTTATGGCCCCGTAACCTAAAATCATGCAGGGAATATATATCTTTTTTTTTTTTTTTTTTTTGAGATGGAGTTTCTCTCTTGTTACCCAGGCTGGAGTGCAATGGCGCGATCTCGGCTCACCGCAACCTCCGCCTCCTGGGTTCAGGCAATTCTCCTGCCTCAGCCTCCCGAGTAGCTGGGATTACAGGCACGCGCCACCATGCCCAGCTAATTTTTTGTATTTTTAGTAGAGATGGGGTTTCACCATGTTGACCAGGATGGTCTCGGTCTGTTGACCTTGTGATCCACCCGCCTCAGCCTCCCAAAGTGCTGGGATTACAGGCTTGAGCCACCGTGCCCGGCCCGAATATATATCTTGAATGAATTAATGAGAATGCAAATGAATGAATGAAATGCTTTGTTGCTCTAGATTTTGTCTATGGATAACTACCTTTCTGATCAAACCTTTGGACAGCTCTTCAGTCCTCACACAGACTGTCTCTGCTCTAGACCTTGCTGGAGTCCAAGCTTGAATTATTATATGCAAGTTAATTTTACAAGCCAGGACGAGGCCACTGAAAACTGAAAAAAGCTGAGACTGTAAAAACCCTTTATTCTTTTTCATTTCTAAAGCTCTCTCCCCATCTCAAGCTAGAAAATAGTGTAACCAGACACAATGGAACCACTCCTAAAAAATGTAATATTAGCTTCTTGGCTTTTGTCTAAATGTACCATAATTTAAGAGCCATGTAAAATTTGTTCCATGACTTTACCTTAGGAAAACTTATTATAGAAGGGACATCACAGAACTCAATGACCCACACATCAAAGTCCTCAAGTTTAGGACTGAGGAAAAGTCTGCTTTTTAGAAAACATGTATGTTTCATGTTCTCTTTTTCAGACGATGAGACGATGACAGCCATGGTCATCACCTGTCCCTTATGCATCTTTTTGTCCTTCATTTTAACATTTCTTTTATACATGGATCTTAAAGCTGCCTGAAATTCTTTCTCAAGGTAGATGGCATATATAGTAAGTAACAGGGAACCATGAACTTGGATGGTTTATTTAAAAACCTAGATTCCAGACCTGCCCTTTAGCAATAGCTGGATGACCACTTCCATCATTTATAACTCCAGTGTTCACTTTTAACATCCTTAAACAAAGACTAATTGTCTCAGTAATTTTATGAGTCCTAAGGTTTTTAATGCAGAGCTAAGGCCTTTTAACATTTCTGAGAAGGGGCAGTTTTCACTAGTTTGCCTGCAACCAACTTAGGCTTCTGTCAACACTATAGCATCCAAAAATAATTTCTAAATGAGAAAATCATTTCTAACTCACCACACCCTCAAAGTATTTTGTCTACCCATATTAATTAGCTAATTTTCATTTATGTTTAAAAAGACATACCTCTTCAAGCCGTGTTCTTGTGGAGAATTGATTTGTTGTACCCATTACCATGTGGGCTATGGAAGGTGAGCCAAGTTCAAATCTAGAGAGGTAAATATTCAAAAACAGGTTGTGAAGTATTTATTCATTTAACATATATTTTAAGGGCCTCCTATATATAATAGGTTTTAACTAAAAGCTAATTGGTGTGAAAAATATAAAATATGATATCTATCCAATGGGTTAAGATCTAGCTATAAAGAATAATATATACCAACAGTTTAATAAAAGGTAAGTATCCAAGAGAAAATGACAGAGGCAGGAAGTACTATAAGAGTTAGACAAAGACAGATGCAAACAAGCAAACGTGCTCATGGAAGACCAGGGTGAATGGTGAGGAGGAAGGCTTCAGATAAGTCTATGGGCTCAGGAAGGGGCTATACCAGATGGAACGGAAAACATCCCTGTCCAGATTCACTAGTTAGCACTGAATTCCAGTTTTATGTTTTCTACAAATATTTTAAGTAATTTCTACTTGCCTATCTTCAACCAAAAAGTACCTTTAGACTGTTCTTTTACAAGCAACAAGGCTACAACACAGTAGGGTTATGAACTTACCCAGTCACAGCACAATTTTTGGCACTACTTACTTTTGTACAAGTTTGTTCCAGTTTTCCCTCAGAAATTGCCAGGCCAATGGGTATCCAACTGGGTTCCTGCCAATTAATGTTAGAATGCCTGGAAACTCCTGAGTTTTTATTTTATCACCCTTAAAGCTTTCATCTAGTATCCTGGAAGAATTAAGAAAAGAAATGTTAGCAATAAATAGGCGATGAAACATATGACTCACTGCAATAAAATTACTTGTAAAAGAAAAAAAAAGTCTGCCAATAACAAAGGTTAAAAAGATAAATGGGTAACCAGAATCCTGATAAACCCACTATAGCTACATAATAAAAACTAACATTTATAATATAGTGTTTATAACACCCATTCTCATATACCCTCTCATTTGTTCAAAAGAATAGTTAAGGAAGAGTAGCTCTAGTAAATATTTTAAATGTGTTCTCATTTTAAAGATACACAAATGTTTATGCCTTTAAATTTAAATATTTTTCCTAACACCTGGTTCTCCCTAATTATTTGCTATTCTTATTAGATGTGTGCTGACTTGCAGTATGTTCCCAGCAGAATAGACAGTTCCTGGCCAAGAAAACAAAAATAGATGCCAGAATGATCTAATTAAGTCTAATTTCCCTTGGCCACATGAACATGAATGAACAACTGACTTACCATTGAAGCTTTTCCTTATTTTGGGTTATGCAGAGGGCAAATTCAATTTGGTTTTTCTCAGTACTAGACAAAGAAGACTGATATTTACTATAAAGAAAATCCCAGCCTTCTGTGCTCTGGGCCCCCACAGCAAACACTGCCAAGGTCACGTCGACAGGCAGACTATAGAAAGGAACACACCCAGTGAGAATCTGAGATGCAGTAAGTACTTTTAGAGGCATAATGGTGACCAATTATGAACTGTTAAACTGTCCCCCTGATCAGAGAAGCATGCCTGGAAATATAAACAAAAACAACTCATTTCCTTCAGTTATACTTTATGAAAGAGGCAAGAGAAAAATATCTAAAATTAGGTTTTAAGTAGCCTTCTCAAAAATGTAACATGCCATTTTTATAAATATCCACATATTTAAATACTTTAATGATGCAGGGTGACTTTATAGGTGATTGCCTTTCAAGCCAAAAGAAAGAAATTCAAACTATATTTAAAATTTATACCATGATCACAAGTCAGGACTCCAGTGGGCCCGCTGTTTGGATTTCTTTAAGCTGAAGCATGTAGATTGTTGGCACAAATGTTTCCTGGGTGGGATTTAAGCTCCAAATGCGAAAGGACTGAAGTGTAGCAAGAATAGGCATTTCCAGATATGGGAAAAGCCTACCTTGCTTAGACAGTGTCTACAATTACTGTCTCCCGGTCAGGGACTTTGGAAGCCCAAAGAAACTACTATAAAATACAATGCCTATGTTTCTCTATGGCATGGCTGTCACAGTTCAATACGACTTTACATGGCCTTTACGAAAACAGGAATTATTCCAATATCATCATAACTCCCCAGATATTTGACTTTTATGCACAGAAGTGCCCTCCTAGCATTTCTTAAAGTTGAGAGATACATAGATAAAAAGTAATTTATTTTCCAAAAAAAGGGCAGTGGTAGACACTTATACTTTTTGTTTTCACTAATGTTTAGTACCAGCAATGGAAAACAGAAAAGATACCCTTTACATCAACAAAGTCAGTAAGGACTGACCTCAAGTTTCCATTGGATTCCTTCCACTTTCTGAAATAGTCTTCTGCCCTGCGTACGCACGGCTGATACTTGCGCACACAGGCGAGGAGGAGTAGCTGACTCCGCAGCATTCGCTCTGAGACTGAGCCCTCGTCTGTCCATGTCTGCTTATCAATGAGGTCCCGTAGCAGCCTTATGAGGAAGCCCTGAGGGCGTTGTACAGGGGAACAGGGACCAGTATTGTCACAAGTCATTTCATGTTAATATAATCCATTATGGTTTCAGAGGATAGGGGCTAATTTTTAAAGCATTATCTAACTTTTACTGTATAAATCATGCAGCAACATCTACATTTAATTATAAAAGGGTCAAAAACAATAAATATTGATGAACGACTTTCATATTTTCATAACAAACTTTTATTAGATATCCTATCTACTTAAAATCAGGATGAACCGCCACTTTTAAAAACAAACTAAAAGAGAGTATGTGACCAAATTTTGAGAGCAAATTATGCAACAAGACTTCATGATATTTTACCAAGAATAACAATTTTGTGCCTCTTCCTCTAGTACCATTAAGAGTCCCAGAAAATCTTAATGTCAGCCATCATAACAGGAAAGGAAAATAAAAGGTTTGTGAAATAAAGGAAATAACAAACCCATGCAAATTAAGTAGAGTCTAAGAATGCCATTGCTAGTTTTAGTGCCAAATAAAACCAAAATCTTTGCTAATCCATCCAGATACTGAATTAATATTTATTTGCTTTTCATTAATATATATATGAAGACATATACAAACACACACCCACACACCCACACTCTTTTTAACACACCAAGAAATAATGTAACTATTTTATTTCAGGCTTTTACCTTGAATTGAGTTTCCACTTCATTCATATCTCTTTTCTCCATTAACTTATACATAGGAATCAGCTCATTCAACCCTTGAAACACGGGCATAATTTCAGTTTCATGTTTCAAGTACAGGGATAAATCCAAGGCCTTTTCAATGGACAGCTTCCCAATGCTGACCAAGAGACACCATGGTTAGTGGTTTTAAAAGTAAATCCGGAAAGTCAAGTTTTTGCCTCAAAATATATTTTAATCTTCCAGCAAAACAAGCCAATCATATATAAATGTTCCTTTTAAATGGATAACTATGGCCAGGCGCAGTGGCTCACGCCTGTAATCCCAGCACTTTGGGAGGCTGAGGCAGGCGGATCATCTGAGGTGCGGAGTTTAAGACTAGCCTGGCCAACATGATGAAACTCCATCTTTACTAAAAATACAAAAAATAGCCAGGCATGGTGGCACACGCCTGTAATCTCACCTACTTGCTACTTGGGAGGCTGAGGCAAGAGAATCACTTGAACCCGAGAGGCAGAGGCAGTGAGCTGAGATCGTACCACCACACTCCAGCCTGGGGGACAAAGCAAGACTCCATCTCCAATAAATATATGAATAAACAACTACTATATAAATCTCTCTTCTATCACATATAACACAACATCTGACATGTTTACACTGGGGAGGAAGTTTCTCAAATAGTAACATCCAGGGCTAACATATGGATAAGCCAGAATAGAAGCACATCAGCATCCGTCCCTGTGAAACACTAGATTATGTGCTGAACTTCTGAAGTAAGCAAGGGACTTCCATCAAAGACCCTTCAGGGAGCCTGGTCAAACAGACTATCATTGGGAAAGAAATATGAGTCCCTAGAGGAAACATATTTTCTTCACCATTTCAAAAGACACTGCATATCCACAGAAACCCTTCATTTTAGAGGGTCGGTGTTAATAACCTCAGTGATGGGGCATATATATGTTTTAAAAAAAGAAAAAGCCCTCTAAGGCTCAAGCAGAAATATTCCACAGAAGGGAGTTATTTTAGGCAGAAAGAAACAGGTAAGCAGTCCTTAACTTTCTCCCCTATTCCTTTTTCTTACTTCGGGAGGCCCAGTGTGGTGGTGAGAAGAACAAGAAGGCACTCAACATTTAGGACAGAGGGATATGCATATGATGAGAAACAGGGATAATCCTTCCCACCTGTGTGGTTCCTCTGAGGACTTCAGATCTGCCTACATGTTGAAGAAGTTTGAGTTTTAGGCTTCAGGAGCATTTCCTTAAAAACCATTGTCGGACCAGGCATGGTGGCTCGCACCTGTAATCCTAGCACTTTGGGAGGCCAAGGTGGGTTGGTCACTTGAGGTCTGGAGTTCAAGACCAGCCTGACCAACATGGTGAGACCCTGTCTCTACTAAAAATACAAAAAAATGAGCTGGGCATGGTGGCACATGCCTGTAGTCTCAGCTTCTCAGAGGCTGAGGCAGGAGAATTGATTGAACCCAGGAGGTAGAGGTTGCAGTGAGTGGAGGTTGCACCATTGCACTCAAGCCTGGGCAACAGAGCAAGACACCGTCTCAAAAAAAAAAAAAAAAAAGGATAGTGTTAACTTTGTCTTCACCCACTCAAAGATTATTTGGTTGAGCTATATTCCATAGAGACGTTACAGTGTTCAGGTATCTGATTTAGGAAAGAAAAAAAATCCCTTCTTTAATCCAAGGAATGTAATGCAAACAACTTGGGCCTGAGTCAGTGAGTCTTCTAAGAAGCCTTCAAGGCTGTTAAAGATCCAGTGATGGGAGAAACCTGATCCAGTATAGCAGGGCCAGAAGAAGCTGCAGGACTAGGCAAGGAGCTTCACCAAGATGTTGATCTCCTGGTTATCTATACTTCTGCCTCAGTATGATCTGAATTGCCAATGAGAAAGATTGAAATACAGATTCCTTCCTTCAAGTTCCTTAGCAGTCACAGAGTGGAGGTTAATTATAAGGCTAAAAGCAATCTTGGGTTGTTGGAAGAACTTAGAGGAAAGCACCTTTCAACTTCTTGTTATTAATCATTTTTGTCTCTAGAAATCAAGAATTTGAACGATAACAACTGCTTTCAAAAATAAACCACAACTTTGTGCAGTATTACCTGACAAGCTGAAATGCATTGTTAATGAGACTCGCCCGGTCATTACTGCTGAGTGCTGTGTGTGTTGCTTTTAAAAGGCCAGTCAAAGAGTCCCATCCGTCATTCTCGTAATGTACGATGTAGTAGCCACTCATGCCTACATTAAATTTGATCCATTCCACCTCTTCTGGGAGGATGAGCACATCTAGAGTAAATAAAATAAATCAAAGCTCCATTTGCTCCCTTGCCTGATGAAAGCTTTTCTGATCAGAGACTGGGCAAGGAAAATAGAGATGAGTTTAATACTGAACAACTTGAAATCATCACTTACTTCTTTCAGAAACCAGAAAACAGCAACTCAATAGACAAAAGCTAACACTAGCTTTAAACATCAATTTTGTAAGAGTTATAGATCTATGAAAAGAATGTGCAACCACATCTCTGGCCATACATATGATATAACCTAATAATGTTAACAAAGTAACAGGGAATGTTCACTGGTAATCCCTCCTTTTTAGCATTATATAATTCGACTATTGTAATCTCTATCTGGCAAGATATTGGCCATTCTTCTTTGAAACCAGAAAGCATTTTCAATCTGATCCCTTTTGCTTTAACCAAGATAAATAGCAAAAGAAATAGCATTTCAATCCTACACGTTTTCACATTCCTCCTTGAATTAAACTCGTTATTTCCGAAACAAATTACCTGTTTTTGTTTTCAACAAAAATCGATGGACCGTGTCTGATTTGCTAGTGATGAATGTCAATGGAACATGCCACAGGTACCTAAAAGAAAGGAGAGATGGATTGCTCATTTGCTGATTCAATTCAACAAGCAGTTACTAAATCACATGTCATGTGCCAGGCACTGGTTGATTTAGAACAAGATAGTACCAAAACTGCTATGGCCAAGTTCTCAAAACATCCCAAGTTTGTTTTCCAGCTTTGTAAGGAGTGTCAGCTCAGGCACTATTTCTCTTTCTTGGACTCCTTGAGTAGAGCTAGGAATTTGGACTTATGTGAACCCTGAAAGCCTTTTTACAGTGATTGGCTGATTCTATCTCAGATGCCTGACTTTAGGAGTCACGTGTCGCCTGAACTGTATACTAGGAAGAACACAATGTCACCTCCTTGGCATTCCTGTCAATGATATGTAAGCTAAATATGATCATGGAGAAACAATAGAAAATCCAAATTGAAAGACATTCTATAAAATAACTGGCCTGTACTCTTCCAAAATAATATCAAGAAGCTCAAAAAAGACTGAAGAGTTGTTTCAGAAAAAATGGAGACCAAAACCATGCAACAACTAAATAAAATATGTGATCCTGTATTGAATCCTAAATCAGAACTTATTTTCTGTTTTGCTATAAGGATATTTTTAGGACAATTGGAAAAAGTTGAATGGGATTTGTAGATTAGATAATAGTAATGTATCAAGTATATTTCCCTATTTTGATAATTGTACTATGGTTATGGTTATACAAGTGAATCTTCTTGGGTTTTTTGTTTTTGAGATGAAGTTTCACTCTTCTTGCCCAGGCTGGAGTACAGTGGCAAGATCTCAGCTCACTGCAACCTCTACCTCCTCAGTTCAAGCTACTCTCCTGCCTTAGTCTCCTGAGTAGCTGGGACTACAGGTGCCCACCACCATGCCCGACTAATTTTTATATTTTTAGAAGAGACAGGGTTTCACCATGTTGGCCAGGCTGGTCTCAAACTCCTGACCTCAAGTGATCTGTCCACCTCAGCCTGCCAAAGTGCTGGGATTACAGGCGTGAGCCACCACACCTGGCCGTGAATGTTCTTGTTTTTTAGAAAATACTATGCTGAAGCATTTAAGTGTGAAGGAGAATCATGTCACCAACTTACTGTCAAACAGTTCAGAAAAACATAAGCCAAGTATATATATGCACACACACACATAGATATGTATACAGGTGTCTATATAGATAGATGGATATAGATTAATCAAGATTTAAAGCCTCCTTAATCCTTTTGGGAAGATGGAAGATGGAGGTGTGTATATGTGTGTGTGTGTATACACACACACACACACATACGTATATATAGAGAGAGAGGTGAAGAAAGTAAAGAAGAGTTATATCTAGTAAAGGATACATGGGAATTGTGGTGCTATTCTTGTAACTTCTCTATAAGTCTGAAACTGTTTCAAGATAAAAGAATTTTTTAACGGTGTCTATCTGGAGTCAATCTAGTTGCAGCATCTTGTTTCTAATAATATTCTTCTATAGCATTAAGCTTACAAACAGGTTCCAAATCTAACTCAGAAGACGACAACCAAGTCTTTCATAATTCTCAGAAATCACCTAACTTATGCTGTCCTTAGCTCCAGCCAAATGCTAGGCACTATTGTAATCTAGTAGCAATTGCTCAGGTTGGAGCTGATTTCAAGCCAGTAACCAGAAATTACCATCCTATCAAATTACAAAATATGAATGTTAAAGTAATTATATCATAAACTTTATTGAGATGAACCAAGGTTTAAAGCCTCCTTAACCCTTTTGGGAAGATAAGGACAGGGAATATAAGTCAACTTCATAGCTACACAGATGCAGTTGAAATATTTTGGCAGTAGCGGTAAGGGCATTATTTCAAAAGCAAGGTTTCATCCTACAAGGCAGACATTACCTAGACAACAAAGCAGATTTTACTCTGTGAGCATTACCCAGTGTCTGGGGTGCCGTCAGATCCCTTCAGGTAGTGCTCTTGCTTCATGTGCACGTTCCTCCCGCTCACTGTGATGGTTATCAGGGGGAAACCCTTCTGCAGTGTCCAAGTGTTCATCATGCTTTTCACATCCAGGCCTTCCTGATGCCAGTGCTGGTGTGTACACAAAAAGGCATACACATCACCCACTTAATCCAACTCTAAGAAAAGACAGAACACCAGCTCATGCTCAAACAGTCCCTACCAGTTGCCAAGTCCCTCTTTGGAGCGCTTTCTGATCCCTTCCTCCGCTGTCTCCAGCCATCACACCTCTAGTAGAGTACCAACTGTTTGCTTGCCATTTTCCTCCACTACACGTGTGTCTAGAGGACAAGCAGCATACCTAGTTCTGCCAGGCACACTTTGGAGCTGGCAATAACACTGGGCACAAATCAAGCATGTGAATGAAGGAAGGAAGAGAAGGGAGAGAAAGTGCCAGCTTTTCAGTACCTACATAACTATGCTGGTTTTCAGACAAGCGAGGTGGAAACAATGTTCAGTCAAGAGCCTGTGTTTCTAAAGTGACAACACACAGATGACCACCTCACTCAACAAGTAGTGGGAACTCAAAAGGAACTATGTTCTTTGATACAAAAAAAGCTTTTAAGAAAGGATTTAAGAGGTAGTAAAGGCCGGGAGCTGTGGCTCACGCCTCTATAATCCTAGCACATTAAGAGGCTGAGGTAGGCAGATCACTTAAGGTCACAAGTTCAAGACCAGCCTGGTCAACATGGTGAAATTCCGTCTCTACTAAGAATACAAAAATTAGCTTGGCATAGTGGTGCCTGCCTGTAATCCCAGCTACCTGGGAGGCTGAGGCAAGAGAATCACTGGAACTACGGAGGCAGGGGCTATAGTGAGGTGACATCACACCACTGCATTCCAGCCTGGGTGACAGAGTGAGACTCTGTCTCAAAAAAAAGGTAGTATAAAGATAAAATGTGCCACAGGAAGAATCCAGAAACTACTGAATAAACCAATTTCTAGAAACAAAAAAAGCCAAGAAAATAAAAATATAAAAAGAAAAAGAAAGATAAAATTCTATTGAATCTCCAGACTCACCCTCAGCTTCCCCTGAAAACATCCCATAAGACCAGATAAACAGAGACTCAGGCCGTTTTGTGACTCGAGGTTATGAAAACTTTATAGTGTAGCAGTTAAAAATGTGAGTTCGATCTAACTTCAAACCTCTCCTCTGCAATTTACCAATCATATGTCTTTGGATTTCATGTTCTCAACTTTAAAAGTAGGGATAGTAATAGTCCCCAGCTCATGGGTTTATTATGAAGAGTAAAGGAGATAATACATGTAAGCGCTTAACATGTGCCTGATACATGGCAAGTGTTCAAGAATGCTCACTGACAAATCTTTGTACAAATGCAGAGCTCTGGAAATGACTGACATATCCTTTTGACTGCTACAATGCAGCTGTAATCTGCTGTAGAAACATGTCATAAATCCACTGCTGTCCAAAGTGAAGCTGAAGAAATTAGTACCAGTGAGAAGCATTACCAAAGAAAGCTCTGCAACCCTCCTGTATACAGTTTCAGATAAATTGAAAAAGATTATGAGTCTGGTATAGTTTAAATGCAGTCTTATCTGGAATGAGGGTGATATAATCAAGAACCTCAGAAAGTCTGGCACAGAGCTATCTTTTAAAGAATATGTAGTAAAACAATGTGCTTGGGGGAACATGTAGAGATGTAGAAACTTACTGAGGATGAAGATGAATGCTGACTTCTAGGGCAAAAGCCATCCATCTCTTGTATGCCATATGTAGGGCAAATCTAAAACCCAAAATAAACACATCACTCTTATTTCTATAGAAAACAAATCTTCTCAGAGGGATTAACATGATGCAGGGAAAACAAAACAAGATGATAAGCCTGTCAATCCCAAATGCAGAGATATTCAAAAACATACTCACACTTGCCATACTATCCCACAGGTCCTCGTTTTTTGTATTTTTATAGCTATGCTTCTGGAGATACTGTACAATGCCAATTCTAAATGCATCAGCACTAAGATACTCCCTTAGCATATTCAGAATACAAGCTCCCTGAAAAGATAATAGAAATAATTGTTATCTACAGTTTTTGGTTGCAATCTCATCTGAAATCCCATATTCTTTTGCAATAAAACACATTTCTTAGAAAAGGCAACTGCAGTAACATTGTTAATGTCTGGCAATTTGCGAAACAGGGTAAGCAGGTTTAACCTGGACCTGTTTAGGCAGGGGATTTGTCTAATGTGATTGTTTATGCTCTCAGCCCACTGAAGCCCTTATTTTCTATCAGGAGCCATGCCTCTCCGTGGGGTAAATTAGCAGCATCTGTCAACTCCCTTTGTTCACATGTGAATGGATAATGGTGCTGATCAAACATTGGACCTTGAGCCACTATCTGGCTCTCCCTCTGCCAATTCAGGGCAGGTCTAGAGACAGGCAGGTACAACAAGGGGTGGAACACTAAAGGTGGAAGCAGAGGTAGAGGCCAGGGGAAGGAAAAGTGGCTATGTCCAGGGAGCCCAGGCAGCCTAGAGCACCAGAGGGCTGATGGGGCTGGAGTCACAATGAGAAGGGGGACAAGATTATTCCCAGACACCCTGTATTCCTGGGCAAAGGGCTCCTTTCCTCTCCACTCCCATTACCACGAATGGTGAATCACAAACTCAAATGCCTCCAGTGGCATATGACAGGGTATATAAATGAAAGAAGTAGTCCAAGGATAAGAAGAATGCTCTTACATTCTTTTTCCCCTGGACTTTCAACGGAAACATGCAAGCAAGAAACACGTTTCTGTTTGCTACCAAAACAACAGCCACGCACAGATGACAAATGGCAGCTCATTCTCAGCCTCAGTGAGGAGAAGACGGTAGAACAGTTGGGAACGGTAGGGAAAGTGGAACAGCAGAGCCCTGATCTTACAAATAGTGGACAACTTAGCTCCAGCTTCTGCTGCAAAGGAAATACAGCGGCCAAATCCTCCTTCTTCTCCCCCAAGAGAAGCTAGAAATCTAGATTTTTACATAGAATCTCCCAATTATTAAATTGTGAGCAACAATCCTCAACTCTGTTACTAAACACTGTGCAAGACAGTTATTTGCATTTCAACAATATTAACTGTTTCTGAAGGTCCTGAAAAGTAAGCTACATGAGGGCAGGAATTTTTATCTAGTATAAAGTTGATGCTCAATAACCGAAACACCTGTTTGTTGAATGATGAATAAAAGCAGAGGTTCCGTAAGCCATGGATTTTCAACCCAAGAAAGAGTATATGAAGAACTTCCCACAAAATGATCTTTAGGGTTATGAGCCAAACTGCAAGTTAGGCCTAAAAGAGTTAACTGCAGCCAGCAGGGGTCAAGAGAGAAGGTATTCAATCTGGGTTTAACCCCACAACCTTGCCTATAACTTCTCCGCCCCAGTATGTATAACTTTAGTATCCAAACTATATCCCTATACTCAATCTACTTTTACCTTATCATAAGAAACATCATCAAACATCTCCCGGATCTGAGCAGGATTCTCCACAGCTGTAGACACAGGGTGTGAGGAATTTAAAGCATCTACCTCCATCGCACTGAAACATTTGCCAAAGAAATAATCTTTCTATTGAGACAGAAGAAAGAAAACATCACCTATGATTTACATTCAGATAAAAAATGTCAAAGGAGGGAGGTTTATCTGAGACAAGAAGCCTATACTTCACATTTTGGGGCAAACCTATTCCATCTTTCCTAATATTTATGAAATGAAATAGAATTACTGTCTTCTAAAAACCACCTACGAAACAATGATTTTAGGCAAACATTATAGATTTTGTTCATCTTAAATACTTCAGAATAAAGAAAATTTCATATTAACCTAAAAATGAAACCATTATGCCTATAGCCAAACAGCAACAAAACAAGAAACTAAACTGTATAGTAATTTCAACATTTCCAATCATTGTCTATACTGTTTTAGAGCAAAAATATTTAGCTTTAAAAATGTGATGAAAAGAAATGGAGAACCTTAACCTTAACATATTATCCTTTGAGCACAATAGCTCAAAGGATAATATGTATTCATAATCATTGTTTTTACCAAAGATTATATAGAAACAAGAAAATATTTATGATCCATTATAGTGAAATATTGATATATACTTTATAATTATGTTCACAGGCAGATGAAAATAGGAAGCAGTAAGTATTTACAAATGAAAAGAGTCATTGGAGTAGGATGAAAAAATTTTACATAAAGGAAGTTTAATTTTGCTATATGTGATTTTCTCAAGTTAAACATGGTGATTTAAAAAACAAACCATATGGCAGTTCCAGAGCAATAAATTTGCGACCCAGAAGCCTAGGTTGTTATACAATCAGATGTACAGTCACCTTAAGTATAACTCATTTGATTTGGCAAATAGGGTCCTATTGAGATAACAGCAATGTGTACCTAATAATTCTGCAATGAGCAACCTGAAGGTTGGGAAAATTAAATGGAATGTTTAGGCTGCCATCATTTCTATTTCTTTGATATTAAGAAAGATAAAATTTGACAATTCCAAACAATCACAGATTCACAACTGAGTTTGCAAGTAAGTCTTTGTGATATATCTTGAAAGTTCATTAGCATTTTTGCAACATGATTCATATCCAAATTGTCAAGGAAATTATCAATGAAATGTTTTTCTAAGTTCTATATTAAAAGATTGGGAAATATTTTCCAGCAATATTGAACAAAACAACACATTAACCTAACATGTAAAAAGATAAATAAGTACTTACAACTTTCAGTTCAGGATGGGTCACGCTGACAGACACAAACTCCATAAATTTGGCAAACCCCTCATTTAGCCAAAGGTCATTCCACCATTCCATAGTGACCAGGTTCCCAAACCACTAAAAGGACAACATGACTCAGTTTATTCACACATTTTCATGGAGACTGAATACCTATTAACTAGACTGGCAGCCATAAGCAAAGACATTCAGAAAGAAGTATATTTTAGATGTCTAATATAAGTTTATGAATGTTAACATATATTTATAGGACTGATATTTAATGAAGGTAAAAATAAAAAACTTTTATAAAACATTAAACCTAATGCTTTGCAGAAACAGTTTTTCCTAAGAAAAAAAGACAAAGTACAAATTATAATAAATAAATAGCTTTATATGTCCCATAAAAGCAATATAAACATAGTTTATACTTTTTAAAATGTGAGTGAGCTTATACCTGGTGAGCCAGTTCATGGGCCACAAACATTGTGATGTGAAGCTTACTTGATGCAGAAGACTTTTCTGCATCAAACAACAGAGCAGATTCTCTATATGTTGTCAGTCCCCAGTTTTCCATAGCACCAGACTGAAAGTCGGGAATAGCAGCAAGATCTTGGGAAGGAAATAATAAAATACATTATCAATCTCTAAGCTATACATTCCCCTGAACATGGATATCTTCAGAATGGATAGGTGTTTGAACCAAAGGAAAAGCTAAGCTACCTGTGTAGAATCATGGAGCTCTAGAATGGAAGAACCTTTCACGATGGAGAAAAAGAGGCTCAGTGACTCAGCATCACTTTGCCGTAAATGTGGCAAAATCAGACTTGCGACTTGCATCTCAGGCCTCTTTTTTTTTTTTTTTTTTGGAAACAGGGTCTCACTCTGTCACTCATACTGGAGTGCATTTACAGTTGTGTAATTACACCTCACTGCAGCCTCAACCTCCCAAGCTCAGGTGATCTTCCCACCTCAGCCTTCCAGGTAGCTAAGACTACAGGAGTACACCCCTATACTCAGCTAACTTTTTTGTATTTTTTGTGGAAACAAGGTTTTGCCATGTCACCCAGGCTGGTCTCAAACTCCTGGGCTCAAGTAATCCACCTGCCTAGGCCTCCCAAATTGCTGAGATTACAAGACATGAGCCACCGTACCGGGCCTCTTCAGGCCTCTTGAGTCCATTTCTAACCTTCTGATGATGAGTTTGGAAATTCAAAAACTTAACAATTGTAACAATCCACTCTATTTTGGATGCTCAAGACCCACAATAGTTTTAAGGGCTTATGTAAGAAAGAAAATGCAGAGTGTCTTACACCATATAAATCTATTCATTCAAAACAGTTTATTGAGTATCCTCTGTGTTCCTGCCAAGCAGGTGCCAGGAATGAAAAAATGTGGCTTCTTCCCTCTGCTGTCTGCCCACTAATAAAATCAGAAGGCAAAAGAGTCCCCATGCCATGTGCCTCAGGAACTGTACAAAGATCTGCTTTCTTTACTATCACTAGAAGTTACTGTACATATCAAGGGTGAGGAGAAGCTCAGAAAGATCAACTACAGGTTTGTCACTTGCTGGGGTTTTTATGGCTTGAGGGGCTGCTGAGGTAACCACAGGGATGCACCAATTATAATGACAAATCTATGACTGTGTTCATCAGACGTTATGTGTAATATCTGTGCAAAATCTCTACCTTGTTTGGGTAGGGGATATGGTATGCTGAAATAATCCTCATAAAATTCTAGAAGAGTCACTGCAGCATCCAGTGCATAATCTGCTTGATTTATCTTGTCTGGCACAGCATATACAGAAACCTAAAGAGAAAGGCACAAGAAAGGAATGCAAATACCTTAAGTGGCTTCTCTCCACATTGTATGGAAGACTGACATTAACGTCTTTATATTGTGGGAGATGGTTGCCGATACTGAAGAAAATAATTAGGAATTACATTTCTTGCATTAATGCTGACTGTTCCTGGTCAATCCCCCTTCTGGAAACAATGACAAATGCTGGATAACATATACAAAGTCTTCTTACATGTGTTTATGAGATGGCAAATGAGAAAGTACGATTTAGAAGCAAAAGCAAAATGACAGCTGGACCCTCTGATGTCCTGCGAGCACTGCAACCAGCTTTAGCCCGAAGGCACTAGCCCAACACAGCTACACTTGAGCTTTGGTTCCGATGGCGTTGAAGGACTCAGGAGACAAGAGACCAAGTCCAGGGCCTGCCCAAAGTAGAAAGTCTAACAAGACATACAACCCCTGCATAAAGCTAGAACCCAAAGGCCAGGCCTTCAGTGTAAAGGTAAACTAGAAATAACTACCCTTTCTCAAGGAAACTACAAGTAAAGTGATCCCTGGGCCAGTAAGTACTCCCAAGAGTACTTACTCTGCAAGAGCAAATACATTTTCTCTCTGGAATAATCCACTTTAGAATCAGGCAACATAAGCTCACAGACATAATTCACAATACAAACAAAGAAACAAGATACCATAAGCGAGAGTCAGCAGAAACAACAAACCACAAAATCAGATACACAAATACTTCAGATAAAACAATTACCAGACACAGAATATATAATATGTATGCTTAATGTGTTTAAAGAAATTAAAGAATTAAAAATATTAGTATAGATTAGACATTATAAAAATAATCATTTCTAAGAGATCCAGATAAGTGGCAAAACAATGGGCAGGTGTTTTTGCTGATAGTTTCACTGCTGAATTAAGAATGTTTCCTTCATCTAAGTCTCAAGTCACCTTCAAATCACCAGGTAAGTAAAGGTATCTCCACAATAATAAGAAGTCTCAGCACTAGAGGAACAAAAGCTATTCAGCAGTGAATCCCCATCTATTCAGGCCCCAGTGAAAACCAGCACAAATGTATAAGGTGTCTTCATATAAGGTATCCCCTCCTCCCCTCAGAAAAACCTGTTTGCATTCCGAGCCATGGCACACAGTTGTATAGGTTGCTCACTATGCAACAGTACCCAGATGAGGAACACCTGCTCCTTGAAACAAGATTTTTCTCTCCAGCAGTCCAGTATTCCCTGGCCCAAATGCCCTTCCCCACAGCCTCTGGCTATTTCAAGCAGGTTCTCTATCTTCCTTATCATAGCCAGAAATCCCCTGCCAGATAGTAAAATTTACTTCCAAACTGCAGAAAGAAATAACCAGAAGCAACCTTAGAGACCATTGCAGGATCTAGTCCAGGTTATACCTTCCAAAGAAGTAAATACTAAGTTCCAGAGGGAATAGGCCAAGGTTAGAGAGTAAGTCAGCGGTGAAGCCAGGAACATGACTCAGGCCAGGCCACACTCTCTCCATGTTGTTATTAGAACTTCACTATACAAATCAGCATCTGTGACAATAGCCTGGCCAACCATCCCGGTTTGCCTGAGGTTGAGGAGGTTCCCAGGATGCAGGACTTCTGGGATTTTGTTATTTGGTTTTTTGTTTGTTTGTTTAGACACGTGGTTTTCCTCTGTTGCCTGGGCTGGAAGACACAATCATACCTCATTGAAGCCTCAAACTCCTGGTGCCAAGGGATCCTCCCACTTCAGCCTCCCTAGCAGCTAGGACTACAAGGAACCATGCCTGGCTAATTATTTTATTTTATTTTTTGTAGAGACATGTTTTCACAGGGTAGTCTCAAACCTGTGGCCTCAAGCGATTCTTTTGCCTCAGTCTCCCAGCGTTGGGTTTACAGGCATGAGCCACTGCACTCAGCCAGACTTCCAGTTTTAAAACCAGCACAACCAGGCAAACCAGAGCAAGTTGGTCATCATATGTGAGAATCCTAGACTCACCTTGACTCCACTTTTGGTCATCTTGCTGACAGATGCAAAATCTGAAATAATGAAGGCCACCAGATAGGTGCTCATCTTCACAGTGACATCAAAATGGTCTTCTATGAGTCCTTCAGCAATAGTCACAGATTTCACCTAAAATCAGAATCATTCAAATTATCAAGTAATCCAATTATCCAATACACCAAACATGAGAAAATTCCTAATTACCAAACATAATATTAAAAGTATATCAATCCCAGCACTTGGGGAGTCCGAGGCAGGCAGATTGCTTGAGCTCAGGAGTTTGGAACCAGCCTGAACAACATGGGGAAACCTTGTCTATACAAAAAAAATACAAAAATTAGCCCTGTGGGTAGTGCATGCCTCTAGTCCCAGCTACTGGGGGGCTGAGGTGGGAGGATGGCTTGAGCCAACAAGGTGGCGGTTGCCGTGAACCAAGATTGACCCACTGCACCCCTGCCTGGGCGACAGAGCCAGACCCTGTCTAATGACACTTCTATAATTACTTTAAAAGTTATCTTTCCTGGCCGGGCACGGTGGCTTAAGCCTGTAATCCCAGCACTTTGGGAGGACGAGGCGGGTGGATCACGAGGTCAACAGATCGAGACCATCCTGGTCAACATGGTGAAACCCCGTCTTTACTAAAAAACACAAAAAATTAGCTGGGCATGGTGGTGGGTACCTGTAATCCCCAGCTACTCAGGAGGCTGAGGCAGGAGAATCGCCTGAACCCAGGAGGTGGAGGTTGCGGTGAGCCGAGATCGTGCCATTGCACTCCAGCCTGGGTAACAAGAGCAAAACTCCGTCTCAAAAAAAAAAAAAAAAGTTATCTTTCCAATATCTAATTGTAATTTAGATTTAAGGTCAAACTGTTCTACTCAATTTCTTTTTCATTGAGATATAATTCACATACCATAAAACTTACCATTTTAAAGTTTACAATTCAGTGGCTCTTAATGTGATCACAAAGTTGCACAACTATCAACACTCAACTTCTTTTAAATAATTCAGGTGATTGCAAACAGACTAATAACTGGCATATGTGGATTGATAACATGGATGAGACAAAGCAAAACTGAGACTGTGAGTTTTGCCAAGATGCGGCTAGTCCACATGTCCTTAAATACAGGACATGTGAATTATCTGGAAATTTTGAGAATTATCTGGAATGCAATGTCAAGCATATACTCAATGGGGAAAATACATAACCCTCTAGCACCTAAAAAGAGCTTCCATTCTTCTATATAACTGAAAATACCTATACCTGGGCCTGATCCTGCAAAGCTTCTTCCAAACTTAGATTTGCTTCATTGGAATCACCTTTTTAAGTGCAATCATAGCGTAAAGGTGGGATATGGTTAACAGAGGTACGGTCTTGGAGGTCTGCCCCCAAAGAAGAAAGTCTAATACCTCAGCAATGAGAAGCACTGAGATGAGACCTTGGAGAAAGAATCACCCAGAATTAGCTGGGTGCAACCATGGTAACAGGCATTTTCCCTGTAATCCTATATTCTTGTCTATTGCTATGCCCTCATCTTTTTTTTTTTGAGAGAGAGATAGGGCCCTGCTATGTTGCCCTGGCTAGTCTTGGACTCCTGACCTCAAGTAATCCTCTTCTTCTGCCTCTCAAAGTACTAGGATTACAAACATAAGCCACCTCACCCGGCCCTCATCCTTCTTTTTTTTTTTTTTTTTAAGATGGAGTTTCGCTCTTGTTACCCAGGCTGGAGTGCAATGGCACGATCTCGGCTCACCGCAACCTCCGCCTCCTGGGTTCAGGCAATTCTCCTGCCTCAGCCTCCTGAGTAGCTGGGATTACAGGCATGCGCCACCATGCCCAGCTAACTTTTTGTATTTTAATAGAGACGGGGTTTCACCACGTTGACCAGGATGGTCTCAATCTCTTGACCTCGAGATCCACCTGCCTCGTCCTCCCAAAGTGCTGGGATTACAGGCGTGAGCCACCGTGCCCGGCCGCCCTCATCCTTCTTAATACCCATCAGCCACCAACTTCTGGTCATTTGGTCATTCAAACTAATTCTGCTAGCCAGCCTTAGATTACTCTGAGAGGATCTCAAATCCTCTTTTCTTTTTAAATGCATTCTGGTTCTGCCCACGTACAACAAAAATTTCCTTTTCTTTTCTTTTTTTACAGAGTCTCGCTCTGTCACCCAGGCTGGCGTGCAATGACGTGATCTCGGCTCACTGCAACCTCTGCCTCCCGAGTTCAAGCGACTCTCCTGCCTCAGTCCCCCAAGTAGCTGGGATTACAGGCATGTGCCACCACACCTGGCTAATTTTGTTAATAGAGACAGGGTTTTACCATGGTGGCCAGGCTGGTCTTGAACTCCTGACCTCAGGCGCTCCGCCTGCCTCAGCCTCCCAAAGTACTGGGATTAAAAGCATAAGCCACCGCACCTGGCCAAAAATTTCCATTCTCTCGTTGTTAATTATTAGGAAAGTAACCTGATTAAATTAATTCAAATTTAAATGTGGTTAATTTCTGCCCCATGCCCCAAAGCTTCAATGTTCCAATGGTATATATTTTGTTTTTCTGGTCTCTAAAAAGATATTTTGAGACCCCATTGTTCTCTCCCTCAGCTCAACATCTGCAGCTTGAGCTCAGACCACTCATATTAGATTTCTGTTAGTGAGAAGTGTTTCTGTCCAAAGGGACAAGCTTGCATTAGAAGTCTTCCTATCTTAAAAAAAAAAAAAAAAAAAAAGAATAAGTTTTCCTATCTTCAACAAGTGGATCCTGGATATTCATGTATTTAGACTGTAGCATCTTCATGGAGCTTCCAAAGCTGCAGGCCTTCCCTCTACAAGCCTACAAATTTCTCCTCTAATCCTGTTTGGTCCTTCAGTCTCTCCTGTCTCCTTCCCAGCCCTGATCCTTTGTTCTCCTAGAACTATGACTCACCAATTCAAGAACTCACTTCTGTCCCAGCGAAGAATACCATAAAACTGGGGGAGAGGACTATATTTTGAAAAAGCACATTCTGTATTTTAAATTTATATTAGACAAACAGCATAATTGTTTCTGGTCTTTTCATACACAAGGGTAAAAGTGGGGACAAAAGCCCTTGGCTGGTAGGAATTTGCAGAAGAGTGTTTTTTACAGAAGAGAGCTCTCTGGCATGGGGATGGGAGATGCGAATCTTGTTTGAAGAAGGCATCCTTATGGTACTCGAAGGCAGGTATAGAGTTTTAAGGTTGGGAAGTACCATACTGGAGGTTGGTCTGTGGCTCTCAGTGTTTCTCCATGCTAAGACACTGCTTCCCTGGTCAGCACAGGGATGAAGTCCATCCCTCAGGACTCTAGACAAAGCCTATTCTACCCTGAGTCTCATCCCCAGTGAGTTTCTCTCAACAAAGGATGTGCTTACAGGAGGTGTTACACACCAGTTGCAGAATGATGACCCAGCTGATGCTTTTCTAAACTACCAGAATCAAAGGATAATGGCACTGAATAGTTTTATTCATTTCTAGCAACTTTTAAAAATCAGAGAAAATGCTGTCTACCTCTGCTTTGAAATTGGACAATAATGGTTTCCCTTGGGAAGCTAAGCTATCTATCATTACTTACCTTTGGCAGCATAATATTCGGAAAAGATTACTTTTATTCTCTTTTTCTGTCTGCCCAATTTTGTACATTCAGTTATAAATTATATAGTGAATATTACTATATTGTATATGTAAATTCTAGAAAATTACTATATGCCAAAAATATGGCCTTATTAAAAAAGCATTCTCTTCAAAATAATTTTAAAAGATCATATGAGAAAATGAGGTTGAAAGTGCTTTGTGAACGGCACTACTATTTAAACCTAACCTGAATTTCTTACTCCACTTCCCTCCATCAGCATGTGTAACCTGGAATGTCACTGTTACTGAAATCTTGCATTTTTAGGGGCAGTTTTTACTTTGATTACATATAACTGTGGCTTGAAACAAAAGCATGGGGTGTAAATGAAAAGAAAAGTTAGCAACTATCTGCCAGGCAATAAAACAAAACAGGTGAACCAATGTTGACTGTCCCTGGGGTAGTGTAAGTCACAGAGAATCAGTAGATTTTCCTGTAGCAAATACCTAGGAGTGCAGACTCACCAATGGCATATTGGAGATGGCTAGATGCCTTGGCTCTCTTCTAATTTTGATTGAGAAACTTGCTTTGAAGGCAGGTTCATCAAAGCAGGGAAAGGCCATTCTAGCTGCAGTGGGTTCAAATTGTGTTGATGCAAGTATCCTAAAATTAAGGCAGGTGAAATAAAAATTGAGCACAAAGCACCGGGAACTCTAAACCAGGTGTTTGTTTGCTTTTTAATTCCTAAAGTTACTATAAGATGGATGGATTTTACTACTAAAAATATTTTACATGACAAAAGCTATCATAAACTAAGTTAAAAGATAAGTTAGGCCAGGCATGGTCACGGTGGCTTACGTCTGTAATCCTAACGTTTTTTTGGGAAGCTGAGGTGGGAGGATTACTTGAGTCCAGGAGTGTGAGACCAACCTGGGCAACACAGTGGAACCCCATCTCTACCAAAAATACAAAAATTAGCCAAGCATGGTCGTGCATGCCTGTAGTCCTAGCTACTTGGGAGGCAGAGGTGGGAGGATGGTTTGAGCCCAGGAGGCAGAGGTTTCAGTGACCTGAGATTGCACCATTGCACTCCAGGCTGGGTGACAGAACCAGACCCTGTCTCAAAAAAAAAAAAAAAAAAAAAGGAAACAAAACTGGGAAAATTCATTTAAGAGATATGTGAGAAAGAGAGGAAGAGTTAATAGCTTTAACAGATAGTGAGATCCTAAAACTGTGTAAAAGAACATCCAACAACCAAGGAAATCTCAGGCAAAGTCAGTTCATAAACAGGTAATTAATGAAAGAAGAACCTACAAATCATTAACAAACATATCAAAGGCTGCTCAACTTCCTTAATCAAAGTTATGTAAATTAAAATTATTTTGGAGCCTTTTTTGCTCTAAGAAGACTGCCAATATATAGTATTGGTGAGGGGTGAGAAAAAAATGACAAGAAATCAAAAATGTATAGGCTCTTTGATTTACCAATTTTACTTCTAGGCATTTATTCTAAAGAAATAATTTACAAAGATGTTCACCAAAGTGTTGTTGATACTGAAAAGTTGAAAATAACTTCATTTCTATTGCCAAAGGATTGAAGTTATTAATGTACAAACATATATTTTAATAAAATCATTAAAATGATGCCTAGTAATAATCATTTATATAAAATATCTTCCCAACGTATTAAGTTAAAAAATTTTCCTTGTAAAAGAGAAAAGATAACAATTCCACTTATATAAAATAACATATATGCACATCCAGAAAGAAGTCTGGGAGAATATTCCACTGAAATAGAAGCAGTGGTTAGTTGAGGGGGCTATGAGTGAAATAAATTTTACTTTTTTACCTTGATAAAATTGAAAAACAAATTAGTATAATCTACTAATAAATAAAATTCCATTTTAAAACTTGGCACAAAATCTCCCCCAAATAAGTCTCCTCCTTAAAAACAGAATCAAAGCAAGTCGAGTAGAGATCTCTAAAAAAAAGTTTTAACGGAGATGAAAGTATTTCCTCTAATAGGCTGCTGATAGGATTTGCTGAAGTCCTAACCTGTGCACGTGACCTTATTTGAACACAGGGTCTTTACAGGTATAATTGAGTGAAGAAGTGGCCACCAGGCTGGGCCCTAATCCGGTATGGCTGGTTTCCTTACAAGATGATGGAGACTGGGACACAGGGAAACAGAATGGCCATGGGACAACAGATGGAGAGACTGGAATGAACATGCAGCGCGCGGCATGGAGTGCCAGGGATCCAAGGCCACCGCCAGATGCTGGGAAGACACAAGGACGGATTCTATCCCACATCTGGAGGGAGCACAGGCCTGCTGACACCTTTATTTCAGATTTCCAGCCTCCAGACCTGAGAGAGAACACATTTTGTTGCTTATAGCCACCCAGTCTGTGCTTCATTACAACAGCCCTAGGAAACGAATGCACAGGTCAGGAAAATGAAACATGTTTATTATGTCTCTGAAATCTAACTACATAAACAAATAGATATTCACTCTGATATTCCCTGTGGGGGGGAAATTGGTTAAAATAGAATTTTAAAATGAGATTTAAAAGCAAGGGAAAAAGCCATTTTTAACACTATAAAGAAGATGCAAAAGCAAAACTGAAGATAAAGTTCAACAACAAAGGGAATTTTAAAAGACAATCCATCCGAAATAATGAATTTAGCATGGACAGCACTTGCAGTTTAAGAGAAAAAAAAATACCTCAGTTCCCCTTCCTTGGTTCTGTAGGTGCTTTTGTAAAATCCGTGGAGAGTCTCTGAAAGATTGCCAGCATAGTGAATGACAACCGTGTATAGGAGCCCTGGAAGGAGGGGCTCAGGAGCCAGCAGCGCAATTTGCTCCTGAGCGTGATGTTCCAGGACCTGCAGCGGTTCTTCTGACAGCCTCTCTCCAGCTCCCTTCCTGAGGGTGGCCGTAGATATCTGTAGGTGGTGACTATGCAGAATGATGGTGCTGGTGGGCTGACTGGCTGTGATTTCTACTTCCGTGGTTCCCCAGAAGGTCGACTTGGTGAGGTTTGCATGGATCAGGAGATCATAATGAACTGGGATGATGTACTCAGGAAGTCGGATTTTATTCCAAGGAAATAGTGTCCCATTACTACCTTTTGGAGATGCTTCACTGCTCTGACACCATGAAGGAGTGGACACAGTTAAGAGAGCCAACAGTGAAAAAAGCAGAAATGACATTGTTGCAAGGGACCATTTGAGGGACGGAAATACCATCTTCTTGCTCAAACTACCTAGTGGAACAAATGTACAAAAGCAAAAATACATGTCACTAAAATGTTATTGACACAACATAATTTCAGCATGTATCCCCAGCATTCACAGAAACAGACACAAACTCCCAAAAGTACTACGTCTTTTCCAGAGAATAAAGGGACCTTCCCTATGTTATGGTTTCATGTAAGGAAGATGTTTATGGTTAGCAATAATCATTAACACCTAGTAGAAAGCATCATTTCATGTTCAAAGTTTAAATTAACTCTATGTGTCAGGGTTCTTGGTTTTAAGCAACAGAACAAGCAAGCTCTGGCTGATGTAAACAGAAAGGGAATCATTAGGGGATCCTGAGTGGCTCACTGAATGGGTCACAGAGTTGCAGGACATTTGGGAAACCAAGCTCACGAAATAGGCAAAACCAAAACCACTTGAGAGGAACATCTGACCAAGCTACCACTCCTCACTGACACTGGACCTTGGAGAAAGCCACTGTCGTGCCTTGGAAATCAAATGCCGTCACTGCTGCTGCCGCCACCACTAGAATGAGGTCTCCACTGCCCCTGGTAGTGATGGCAACCTTTAATAACATCAGTGTCTTCCTCAAATCGTCATGCCAAAAATTAATTACATATTTATTTAGCCAGGAAGAGATTAAAGAGTTCAATTTTCCCATTAGTTTGTGACAAACGTATCAGTCACCCACACTCTGTCTTAAAATCATCCACCAAGTATGTGTTGAATGCCTGTTACACACAGGCAGTGTGTGGAGTCCTGTGTGGGATAAAATAATACACAAGATACTGAACCTTTACCCTCAAAAACTTCAAAATCTGGAAGGACAGAAAACACACATGCACAAATAATAAAACACAATATGGAAAGTGTAAAATATTTTTAATATAATAATAAAAGGTGTTGGGAATAATGAAATTATATTTCCAAAGAGAAAGAGTGACTCTGACTACAGTGACTCCTTGGGATGCCTTCACACAAAAGCATTTGACTGTGAAAGGATACGTTAGATTTCTAAATGAAGGAGAGCATAAACAGGATCACAGGTAGAGCAAACCAGGGCAGGAGCTAAGCCACAAAGAGGGGACATAGAGGCAGCTCAGACAATTGATGTGGACAGAAGGGAACTCCCAGAGGACTTGATGGAGAATGGTTATATGAAAGGCAGGGAAAAGAGTAATTCCAAGATTCTACCAAGAACATGTGGGAGTCATGCTGCAGACCATATTTTGCACTTCATTTTAATGGCCATCAGACATAAAAGCAATGTGAATTTTAAGGGAGTTGGCCATCCATGCCCCAAGAATCAAATATAAGTTTTTATTTCTCTTATACAAAAACACACCTTTCTAATGGGCCTTTGCCAAGCAGGGCCCTACCAGGTGAATGCAAGTGATTGGCCCATCACCTCTTGCTCCAGTTGGGAAAAGCAGCAACCCTACAATGTGGAGCAGCAACCCTACAATGTGGATCCCTCGAAGTGTTCACAGTACATGGAATTCTCCTTCTCTGAGATGTCAAGTTTCTCAACTCTGGCTGCATATGAATGTGACCTAGGAAGCATTTAAAATTGTCAATGCCTGAGTCCTTATTGACAACAATTAGACTGGAATCTATGGTGATAAGATCAGGGTATGCTTTTTGGATTGTTTGATTTCTAGTTTGGGTTTTTTTTTTTTGTTTTTTTTTTAATAAAAACTGTCCAGAGATTTTACTGAGAAGCCAAGGTTGAACAGCTCATCCCGGCCAAACCCTGGCTTTCCCCTTTCAACTATATGTGATGAGATGCTACTTCAAGGCAATGACTCATGTACGTTCTTTAACCCCTCACTTCCTTGCTACCTTCCCAAATGCACAGCTCAAGGTACCTCCCTTCTCCTTACCTCTGGAGCAATATGGAGGCTAAACAGAAAGGATACCTACACAGTAAAGAGGGTCTTGGAAATCTCATAATCCCAGTTTAAAAGGCACCACCCAGATGAGACAGGAAGTGTGAACAGAGAGAACTTTTTTTTTCCTTTTTAGTTGGGGAACTAGAGAGTAAACGGAACTTGCGTTCTGCTTTCCATATGGAATTACTGGCAGCAACAGCTTAACGAGCATTGCCCTTGCCCCAAGATGGGATCCAGAGGGCTCTGTGAGGGTGGCAAGCTCAAGCATGTAAGGACTCTGAGAGATCTCCAACAGCCCCAGAGGAGATCCATAAATTCCAACTGGTTCTGAGCTGACAGAAAGGCTGATGGGCTACCGAAGGGGTTGGTACTGAGACCTGGTATCAGAGGGGTTGGGTCCATGCAGGGGCCAAAGAGAAACAGTTGTGCCTCAAGGAGGATGCAGTGCATGAGTGGGGCTTGGTTAAAAAAAAAAAACAAAAACATTTTGCACATGACTGGGGTGTGGTAAAAACTCCATGTAGTGAATAAAGGGCTTCACTGATAAATTATCCTATCAATTCCCAACAGTAGGCTACATCCAAGATTCTGTGACCATGTGCCAATGTGTTTAGCTCTTCTGAAAAATTTGCTCCTTTGGCTTTGCTTCCAAATAGTAAGTGTTGCAATTTGAAACATGGCCTTTCACGGTTGTGGCTGGTCTCCTAGGGTCTGGTTTTGCTAACAAGTTTCTGAAAGGGATGCAGTTAAAAAAAAGAAAGCTCTCAAAAACAGTAGTTTACTCAACATCAGCAGCTCTTCCAAAGAGAAGTACAATTCTCTTTGAAGTTAAACTGTACTAACACATAAAGGAATAGAAGCCAAGGAGGAAAAAGAACTAATATTTACTAAGCTCCTTCAAAGTGTCAGACACTTTGCACATGCTCACTCTCTCTAATAACCTATTCTTCTCATTTCAAGGTGAGGTAACTGAAGCAAAGAAACATTCATGTAACTTTGCCAAGTTCATACAACTTGTCCAAATGCAATCCAAGTCTGTGTGAGTATAAACTCCCTGCTCTTTCAGCTTCATCAAGATCTCTTCAATTTATTTTACTTTATTTTATTTTTGTTTTATGATGGAGTCTCACTCTTGTCACCCAAGCTGGAGTGCAGTGGTGCAACCTCAGCTCACTGCAACCTCTCCCTCCAGGGTTCAAGGAACTTTCATGCCTCAGTCTCCCAAGTAGCTGGGATTATAGGTATGTGCCACCATGCCCGGCTAATTTTTGTATTTTTAGTAGAGACAGGGTTTCACCAGTTGGCTAGTCTGGTCTCAAACTCCTGAGCTCAGGTGATCTGCTGCCCCAGCTCCCATAGTGCTGGGATTACCGGTGTGAGTCACTGCGCCCGGTCTAAGAGCTCTTCTTAAACTTCTGCTTTTACTTTCTGATTTACTATTTGGTGCTCTACTCATTTTTCCTTTGCATGTTATCGAGACTCACAATGCACAGTTTTATTTAGAATGCCAAGTAGTAGACTCTGCTATTTTTTCTACAAATATGGTTACACACACACACACACACACACACACAGTAGATATACACATACATATACAAGTAAAATTATAAAGATACAGTAATATACATATTAGGCTTACAGCCAGAATACCTGGCTTTGAGTTCTTGCTCTGCCACCTACTGTGCAAGTTATTTAATCCCATTTTGATTTTCTTCATGTGTGAAATGAAATAATAATAATAGCTCTCTCACAAGATTGTGGTAAAGATTAAATGAGTTAAAACATTTTCAATCATTCATTCCACAAACACTTATTGAGAGCCTATTATGTGGGAGGGTTTTTTCTGGTATTATCAGTACAAGGCAGCACAGGTCCCTGATCTCAAAGAACTTAAAATCAGAGGTGGGAGTTTTAAGAAGTTTACACAAGAATTTTATAGCAACTAATTGTGGTTAGAGATATAAAGGAAAACACACATATACCAGAAGAGAATAACAGCAGACTGATTATCCAGGGAGGATCCAAGATGGCCGACCACTAACAGCTCAGGATTGTAGCTCCCAGTGAAAGCCCAGAGAACGAGACGACGCCACACTTTTAGACAAATTTTCGTCACTCACCGATCAGCCGATTCCCAGTGGAGGAGCCCCACGGGTGGCCAGCGCGACTCTTGTGGCCGCCGCAGCGGTTTTGCCGGCGTCTCGGCGCAGCAGCTCTTCATGCAGAGCCAACGGGACTGCTTCCCCTACTGACCGGAGTTTGGAGCTCCGGGAAGTCAGAGCCGCTTGTTGCAGACTCAAGAGGGAAGCCAGACCAGAGATTCCCGGGCAGAAGAGCACCATCAGTCTTACCGCTGCTATTTAGGCTGCCACAGTGGGTTGCTTGGATCCCAACACTGGGAATCAATAAGTCAGACGTCGACTCAGAAAACTAATTAGAAAGGCGGTTCATCTACAATGAAGGGAAAAAAACAGCCTAAGAAGGCCGAGTATACTCAAAATCAGAACCCATCAGCAACAGAACAAGCCCTGATGGAAAAGGACTCATCAGCAACCGAACAAGCCCTGATGGAAAAGGACTCATCAGTAACGGAACAAGCCCTGATGGAAAAGGACTGTGTTCCATTATCTGAAGTAGGCTTTAAAAGGTGGATGATAAGAAACTTCTGGGAGTTAAAGGAACTCGTTCTAACCCAATGTAAAGAAACTAAGAACTTGGAAAAACGGTTAGATGAAATGTTGAAAAGAACAGACAATATAGAGAGGAATACAAATGAACTTATGGAGTTGAAAAATACAACACGAGAACTTAGTGAAATATGTACAAGCTTAAACAGCCGAATGGATCAAGCAGAAGAAAGGGTATCAGAGGTCGAAGATCAACTTAATGAAACAAAACAACAAGACAAGAATAGAGAAAAAAGGATAAAAAGGAATGAGCAAAGTCTCCAAGCAATATGGGACTATGTGAAAAGACCTAATATACGCTTGATTGGTGTACCTGAATGTGACGGAGAGAATGAATTCAAGCTGGAAAATACTCTCCAGGACATTATCCAGGAAAATTTTCCTAATTTAGCAAAGCAGGACACTATTCAACCCCAGGCAATACAGAGAACACCACAAAGATATTCCTCAAGAAGACCAACCCCAAGGCACATAATCGTTAGATTTACCAAGATCGAAACGAAGGAGAAAATATTAAGGGCAGCCAGAGAGAAAGATCAAGTTACCCATAAAGGTAAGCCTATTAGGCTTACAGCAGATCTCTCAACGGAAACCCTACAAGCTAGAAGAGAGTGGGGGCCAATATTCAATATACTTAATCAACAGAACTTTCAGCCCAGAATTTCATATCCTGCCAATTTAAGCTTTACATTTGAAGGAAAAATAAAATTTTTTAGGAACAAGCAAGTACTCAGAGATTTTATTACCACCAGGCCTGCTTTACAAGAACTTCTAAAAGAAGCACTATACACAGAAAGGAACAACCAGTATGACCCTTTCTAAAAATACACCAAAAAGTAAAGAGCATTAACATAAAGAAGAATTTTTATCAACAAAAGGACAAAATAGCCAGTTAATATCAAACAGCAGCAACCCTAAATTTAAATCGACCAAATCTCCCAATCAAAAGATACAGACAAAATCTAACGGTATATCCAAAGATATACATAGACTCAAAATAAAGGGTTGGAAAAAAAAACGTACCAACCAAATGGAGAGCAAAAATAAATAAATAAAAAGCAGGAGTTGCAATTTTCACATTTGACAAAATAGATTTCAAAGCTACAAGGATAAAAGGATTAATGTAATAATAAGAGATCTTAACACCCAGATACATAAGACCCATAATGAGATTTAGATTCAACGAGACAGAAAATTGATAACGATATCCAGGACTGGAACTAAGATCCAGAACAAATAAACTCAATAGAGCTCTCCATTTTAAACACACAAAATATACATTATCCACAAAATCTAATGATATATCTAAAGATATACAAAGACTCAAAACAAGGAGATGGAAAAAAACCAACCAAATGGAGAGCAAAAATAAATAAATAAAAAGCAGGAGTTGCAATTCTCACACTTAATAAAATAGATTTCAAAGCTACAAGGATGCAAGGGTAAAAGGATTAATGCAACAATAAGAGATCTTAACACCCAGATACATAAGACACATAATGAGATTTAGATTCAACGAGACAACAAATTGATAACGATATCCAGGACTTGAACTCAGAGCCAGAACTAATAAACACAATAGAGGTCTCCATTTTAAATACATAAAATATACATTAACCACTTTAAATACTCAAAATATTGATCGGCCATTATTGAAACCCACTTTAGGAATGAAGTAATATTTCTTTTTCCCTCTTTTTCTTTTTTTCCCCTTAAAAAAAAAAAAAGAGAATAACAGCAGACTAATTTCCACTGGGCACTCTCTGAGAATATTTTAGCTGAGACTTAAAGGACAGACACAAGTTAACTGAGAAAAAAGGGACGGGGAGCGTGTTCCAAGTAGGGAGAACAGCAAGCATTTTGCAGGCTCAGAGAAGTAGAAAGTACTGGTTATGAAAGCCAGTGAACTTGAAACACAAGTTCAAGGCAAAGATGCAACAGGAGAGGCAGGCAGGGGCCAGAGTATCACACAGCATTAAAGGCACGTTAAGGATTTCAGATGGCATCCTAAGTGCAATGAGAAGCTGCTGGAAGGGTTTTGAGGTAGGAGGTCTTAGGGTTTCTTTCATGTTGCAAGAAAATCAACCCAGTTAATGTGTGAAAAATGGAAGACTGAAAGGAAGCAAGCGTAAAGGCCAAGAGGCCCATTAGTAGTCTAGATAAAGTAGGCTTGGGCTTGTGCTGGGGTGATGCTGAGAGAGGGGAGACAGGAGAGAGAGAATACATTATAGATGGATTCAACATCCACATCTGCAGTGGATTGGAAGTCGGGGATGAGGGAGAAAACGATCAGGGATGACTGCCAGGTTTCTTGAATTAACATGTGGATAGCCACAGGTGCTCATTATTGAGATGGAGCAGCCTAGAGGTGGAACAGATTTAAAGGGGAGGAGAAGAAATCTTGAGTTCTTTTTTTAACATGCTTAATTTGTGATGTCCATGAGATATTTAAGGAGAAATATCAAGCAGGCAGGTTTAGAGCCCGCAAATAGGGGTTTTAAAGGACTTTTCTGTACTTGACTATATTCCTTTAAAGGTTTAAAAATGATTGTCCTTTGGCCTCTGATCAAAGTAAAGCATCTGTCACAGTCAATTACTTCACAGGAAGAAAGAGTTCAAGATATTTTAGGAGCGTTATTTGAGCTGCCTGAGGTGATTCCGACTTTTCCCAATCACCAAGGAAGTCAGGGGCAACTGGTTGGGTTATTTCACCCTTCCTTTTACTGGGGCACTATTGGATATGAAATAGATCATCAGCATGGAGGTTCTTCTAAAGTTTTCTGAATAATGAAATTAACAAGTATTGTTGGTAACTAATAAAAATGCTGAATTGAATTTGAAAAAAAAAAAATACTAGAATGTTTCCATTCAGGCCCCACATGAAAATGTGCCACTTAGTATAATTCCAAATCTTTAGGGAAGAGACAACTTTGCCCAGCGTTAAAGTTTTTTTGTTTTGTTTTGTTGGTTGTTGACCATGTCCTGAGTTGAGGCGAATACTCTAGGTGTTTAATAGGAAACAGACAATTTCTTTCTGATCTTAGCCTACACAAAGAAATCCAAAAGTGTAAGAGTGTGGTCTTCCCCGCCCCCTCATAAAATTAACTTTCAGGCCCACCTGGCCAGTGAAGCACCCTGATAGGAAACTTAATTTGCGTCAAAAGGGGAGCTTTATCTGAATAAACCCAGCCAGAGCCAGAGCGAAGGGGAGAGAGAACTGCCAACCAGAACAGGAGAAGCAGGGAGCGAAGTGACCTTGAGGACACGCACGGCCCGCGCATTCCACCCCACCGATCGTTAACCCAAAGTCTCTGGGTTTCTCTGGCAGCTCCGGGCAGGTGCCCTCCTCGGCCTAACCCTGCCGCCCGCCCCGCGCGGGATCGATGGCCTGCAGGGCTGGCAGGCACCCAGGCGCTAGGCGGAGCGCCGAGGGAGGCTGTCGCCGGCGGAAGAGCGGGGAGACCCGCGGAGCAGGCGCGCCGGGCACGCGCCCGGAGGGACAGGGATCGGGACCCGGACCCGCGGGGTGGGCCCGCCGCCGACCCGCCGGACACCTCGCAGACCCGCCGGGCATCCAGCAGACCTGGGCCTAGCCAGCCACTCCCCCACGCCCTTCCCGCGCCCCGCCTCCGTCCTCCCGCGCCCCAGGCCTTCAGGCCTTCAGGCCTCCCTCGGGGACTCAGGGAAAAGGCGGGTGTCGCCTTCTCCTCTAGGCCCGCAGTCCCCTCCCCGCGGCTCGAGAGCGCTGTACCTGGGGATCTGGGGCCGGGCTCACCCTCGCGCCGCCGCCGCCACCGCCGCTAGCCTCGCCGCCCCGGACCGAAAGTGAAAGTGGAGCCTAGGGAGCGACGGGCGGGCGTGGAGCGGAGCTTCGACTGGAGCCCTAGCTGCCGGCGGGAAAGCCCCTGGCTAAGGCGGGAGCTGGGGAAAGGGTAACCCGGAGTGTGGCCGAGCGAGGGAAGCCGCAGCTCCCAGGAAGGGAATTGGTAAATGGGCGCTGCACGCCCGGGAAGCTGCAGGATGCGAGGTGGGGGATCAGACGGGGAGGTGCACGCCTTTCTGAACGTGGATCCTTCTGTGTGTGTGTGTGTGTGTTTTGAGATGGTTCCTGTTTTTGTCTTTATTTATTTTTTTTAATTCTGTAGCGTTGCGAGGGCAATGGATGTGCAGCAAAGGGCCGGTGCTCAATTGGGGACCGAGGCCAGGCTGGCGCTCACAGTCCGCCAAGCCTAGACGCGCTCGATGCCCATTGGACTACTAGGTGTCCGTCACCCCGCCCCTGCAAATGGGCTGAGAGCTCTTGGCTCGCCTTCTAAAGAAACAGGAACCCAGAAGTACTCTGGTTTTTTCTTGTGTTTTGTTTGTCTGTTTGTTTGAGGCAGAGGCTGGCTCTCTCGCGGAGGCTAGAGTGCAGTGGCGCGATCTTAGCTCACCGCAACCTCCACCTGCCGGGTTCAAGCGATTCTTTCTCCTGCGTCAGCCTCCCGAGTAGCTGGGGTCAGTGTCCCGAGTAGCACACTACCATGCCCGGCTAATTTTTGTATTTTTAGTAGAGAGGGGGTTTCACCATATTGGTCAGGCGGGTCTCAAACTCCTGACCTCATGATCCACCCGCCTCGCCCCCCAAAGTGCTGGAATTACAGGCGTGAGCCACCGAGCCTGGCCCCCAGAAGTATTCTGTTGTGGCAAATGCTGCACCCTCTGGGGCTTCAGTAGAGAATGACTACAGTGGGAAATACTGTAGCCGAGGAGGGCAGGTTAGAGATGGCCCCCAGGACTTTCCTGCATTACCAAGAGGCTGTACCCTAAGGATTGGCCGCTTCCCTCATCAACACGTTCCCTCTATTTTTCAAAGTAAATGGCCATTTCTTCATTCCTAAGAACAATTAAAGCTGCATAAAGTGGCCAAAAAGCCCATCTTTAAACAGTTGAGAGTAAACGAGGTAAGAAGCCAAGGAAACACAAACATTGAAACACCAAATGCTACAAGTTCATTACCAGAAAGGGGCCCTGATCCAGACCGCAAGAGAGGGTTCTTAGATTTTGCAAGAAAGAATTTGAGGGGAGGTCCATGGAGTGAAGTGAAAGCAAGTAATTAAGAAAATGAAGGAATAAAAGAATGGCTACTCATAGGCAGAGCACCCCCGAAAACTATTGATTGTCTGTTTTTAGGGTTTTTTCTTGATCATATGCTAAACAAGGGCATTGGGGGAAAATCTTGCAAAAGCCAAGGCAAGGGCCTGAAGCCCCAGCATGTTCTCATATAAACATAGAATTAGAAAAGAATTAGAAATATTCCTATATATAATCATATATAATCACCTAGCTATTCATATGTAATCGTAAATATATACATATATATAATCCTATAATCTTTATTCTTACTAATAAGTCTCAGGTCAAGAAGTATGGGACTGACGTGGCATTGGAAAAGAGGTGACTCTAAGACAAGATGCTCTAAGTCCTCTGTCATGCCCACATAAGGGCTGCTGGAGGACACCTTGGCTGTGCGACTGTGCCAGCGCTGTGAAAGTGCCTGCTATTTAGCCATCTAGGGAAGGAGACATCTGAGATGGCCGAGACCTCTCTCTTGTCTGGGGAGTTAGGAGAAAACTTTGCTTCTCCAAGCTCTTGTGGTAGTCCTGACGGCTATCAGGGAGGCCTGCAGACATCTGGGGACTTAACTATCTCTATGTGGTGCTGTGCTTCAGCGGTCACATTCCATGTCTATTTCAAGTTCTGCTTCTGTACCTGGTTCCTCTTTTTCTTAGAAGATAAGAATTAGTAATAGTAACAGAAGTCTGAGTGACCTTGTTATTTCTTGACAAGTATGAAGAACATGCTGACGCCTTAGGTTTTTCTCCTCCCCTCAGCTTCTTCAAAGTCTTGGGCCCCCTATCTCTAAGACACTGATTTACCTGACCCTATCACTGACCACCATTAATTACCTCATCCTACCTGCCCTTCCCCCTGCTTTGTACTCAATAAAAGTCAGAGTGTCCGGACACTCGGGGCCACTGCTGGTCTCTGCGTTTTGGGTAGCAGTGGACCCCTGGGCCCAAACTCTCTTTTCTCTCTCTCTGTGTCCTGATTCTTTATTTCCAGTTTCTCATCTCCACACCAGCAGGGAGGAACTCACTGGACCCTATAGAGCTGGACCCTATAGAAGGGGTGAATTATTCATGCCTATCCTTTTTAGACCATATAGGGTAGCTTCCTGATGTTGCCAGGCCATTTGTAAACTGTCATGGAGCTGGTGTGGGCATAGCTGTGAGGACCAGAGGTCACTCTCATTGCCATCCTGGTTTTGGTGGGTTTTGGCCAGCTTCCTTACTGCAGCCTGTTTTATGAGCACTCGCCTGTTCTCCTTCACCTTTTCACTTTCACCACCTCAAACCATCAGAGATGCCTTTTAAATTCCTCTTCCCTCTTGGACAGGGGTCGATGTCCAACATTCTCCTGAATCCCACTTCCTGGTTCTCCCCTAAAGCTGTGCTGCTGCTTAGCACTCCTCAAGGAAAACAGCAACTTTCTCAGCCTCCCTGATCTGTGTGGGAGTGTGATTCCTGTTCTCACTTACAGACCTGCGGGGAACCAAGAAGGTTAAATGAGGACAGACAGCTCTGAAGGGACCATCTTCCACATTGACAGAACCATAATGAGTTTGGGGAGATCTTGGTTCTGAGACAGTGCTGCTCAGTCCCACGCAGGTACCAGCCCTGACCCCTGCCCTGCAGAAGTCATAAGCCATGATTCATGCTGTTAGGAGCAGTTTTCATTCTTAACCTTTCTGGTCTATCTCTTCCTGATCAGTTTGTCGGCCACTCCCTTTCTCAAAGTATTTCTGCTCATGACACCTAAAAAAAAAAGAAAAAAAAAAAAAGATTCATGACCTGAATCTTGTGCCTACCTCCTATCTCATTCTGTGACTTAGAAAGTCTAACCTCCTGGGAGTGTAACCCAGTAGGTCTCAGCCTTATTTTACTCGGCTTCTATTCAAGTTGGAGTTGCTCTGGTTCCAACGCTTCTGACAATTTGGTGAGTGGGCCACGGTCCCAGTGGGAACAGGACCCTTTTTATGCGGTTCTCAGACTTTCTTTTCCCATGTCTTTACTGGCCTTCTTTCCTTTGAGAATGTGGGATCCCAAGTCACTGGAACAGTATTTCTTATTTTTTTTTTTCAATCTCATGTTTCCTTTTGAAAAATATATTTCATTCTGCCTATTCTCTCTAATCAAGGACATTTTATAATATAAAGATGAACACCCTATTCCAAGACTCAACTATGGTGGGATCCAGGGAAGTTTTTTCACTAAAATTCAACAAGAAACAAGGACTCTAAGATCTGGTAATTTCTGCATGTTCAGAATTTGGCAGGAGGCATCGGTGTAGGGTTCAGCCCTACAGGGCCCTGTGAGTCCCTCTCTGCTGGTATGGAGACGAGAAACTGTGGAAATAAAAGACACAAGACACAAAGAAAGAGAAAACAGAGTTTGGGCCCAGGTGTCCACTGCCAGCCAAAGCACGGAGTCCAGCTGTGGCCCGGAGTGCCTGGACACTGACTTTTATTGAGTACAAAGCAGGGGGAAGGGCAGGTAGGATGAGGTACTGGCTGTCAGTGATAGGGTCAGGTAAATCACGTGCCTTGGTGACAGGGGCCCAAGACTTTGAAGAAGCCGAGGTGAGGAGAAAACCTAAGGTGTCAGCACTTTCTTCATACTTGTCAAGAAATAACAAGGTCACTCAGACTTCTGTTACTATTACTAATTCTTATCTTCTAAGAAAAAGAGGAACCAGGAGCAGAAGCAGAACTTGAAAGTAGACCGCTGAAGCACAGCACCACATAGAGACAATTAAGTCCCCGGATGTCGATGGGTCTCCCTGATAGCCGTCAGGCCTACCACAAGACCTTGAAGAAGCGGAGTTTTCTCCTCACTCCCCAAGGAAGGAGACCTCTCAGCCATCTTGGATGTCTCATTCCCTAGCTGGCTAAACAGTGTGTGCTTTCACAGCGCTGACACTGTCGCACAGCCAAGGCGTCCTCCAGCAGCCCTTATGCCGGCGACAGAGGACTTAGAGCATCTTGTCTTAGGGTCACCTCTTTTCCAACTCCACGTCAGTCCCATACTTCTTGACCTGAGACTTTTTAAAGATTATATGATTATATGTATGTATATATTAATGATTACACATGAATAGCTACGTGGTTGTGATTATATATAGGAATATATATAACTATATCCTAATACTTTTCTAAGTCTCTGTTTATGGGAGAACATGCTGAGGCTTCAGGCCCTTGCCTCGGCTCTTGCAGGGTTTCACCCCCAGACTGCATCACCTTTTTATCACCTGAACGCTGAACACACACTGCTTCTCACATTGCATCAGCTAGAACAAGGAGGGGTTGGTAAACACTAATAATATTGTGAACCATATAGTGTAGGAGGGCTGGTTGGCCAGTTAAGCTCATCCGTTGCTTCTCAGTGTCTTAAGCCTCAGAGGTGAGCCAGAGGAATGAGGGGAATGAGGGAGGTTCTTCTCAGGCCTAAGCCAGTGAAACATGTACCACTTTGAGCTATTACTTAAAAAATATTGAATTCTAAATATTGTCAAGTAATGTTCAATTTTGCTGTAATTGATTCAGTTCTGCTTTCATTAGCTTTTAGTCAATTAATGTCAGCATTTGGCTCATTTCTCCTGTTTTGATGCCAAAGGTACTCCTCTTCTAATCATATTACCACTCTCCTTTTTGATGTAAAATCTCACGCAGAATCATGGTATAGAAAACAGACAAAAGCAGGCCTGCTCTGATTAAACAGGGCAGCTCCACCCAGTCAGCCTTGCCCACTGCCACCTGGCCCCTCCACATACACTGTGGTTCCTGGGACTCTTCC